TCCACCATCTCCTCTCCTTCAGACGAGCTACTACTATCCGACTCCTCATCCTCTATTATCTCAGCTAAAGCCTCTGCTACAAGGGCAGCACCAGCTGAAGGGGACCTAGGCAGCTGAATTGCCCTCCGGGCAGGTGAAAAACCGGAAGCAGGGGAAAAACCGGAAGCAGCAGGAAAGGCAGGTATGGGTGGAAAGCCTGGAATGGGCGAGAGTGGAGAGGTAGGGGCGAAGGGGCGGCTCCCAGTGGAAGACAGGAATCGGCTATTTGGTGAAAGGAGGCTGTTACTGGAAGAATGGAGTCGGTTATTAGCGAAATGGGGGCGGCTAATTGGCGAAAGGCGATTAGGAAAAACGTAGTGGCCAGTAGTAGAGGAAAGGATTTCACTCCGCCTCTGGAAGAAGCTGCTTCCAGTAGCAGCAATTGTTTCGCCATGTGGCAAGCGCTGCTGCACTGGCACCGCCTGCTGCTGCAAGGGGAGATTCTGCAAAGGAGGATTCTGCGAGGGGAGATTCTGCGAAGGAAGATTCTGCGAAGGGAGGTTCTGCAGAGGAAGGTTCGGAGGAAGATTCTGCGCGCGAAAAGCAGCAGCTGAGGAGAAAGGGCTATGCATACCCCCCTCATGCATTTCATCGGGGTTGAAGCTAAAACTATCAGCAGACGCTGCTCTCCTGTGCCCTTGCCCTCCCCTCCCCATCCTCCCCCCCATTCCCCCCCTGTTGCTGTTGCTGCTGTTGTTGTTGACTCGGTTAGGGCTGCACCAGCGGGGGGGGCGAGCTAGGGACGGGCCAGTTGGGGCGATAGGAGAGTTTCTGCTACCTTCACGGCTGCTTTCATTCTGCCTGGCTTCGTGAATTTGCCTGCCTGACTGGTTGGGTCCAGAGAGCTGCTCATGCTGTCTCGTTGAGGACTTCTGAGGCTGGTTGGGTCCAGACAGTTGAGGCGCCTCAAAAATGCCTTCATTCTGCCTGGCCTCGAGATTCTGCCTGCCTGGCTGGTTGGGCAAAGAGTGCACGTGGAGTCTCGTTGACTGGCTGTGACTGATCTCTTGCTCAGACTGATTGTGCTGCGGTATTAAGTGGTTATTCCCCTGAGGATGCGGTGGAAAGCGGTTGCGATGACGGGACGGGTGGAGGGCGGCTGAAGGGGAGAGGGTAGGAGAGGAGGACGGGGAGGGGGAGGAGGAGGAGGTGGAGGGGAGGGACTGGGCAGTGCGTGGGGAGGAGCGGCGAGGGTGCAGCGGTGGGAGCGAGTGAGGAGAGTAGTGAGGAGGGGAGTGAGGAGAGAGGGAGTGGGGAATGGTGTCAGGAGGACAGGGAGTGGAAGGGGTGCTGTGGCTGCGAGGGTATGCGAGGGAGTTTCGCTGGCGGGAGCGGGAGGTTGGGGGTGAAACCGAGGCAGGCGGTTGGGTGGAACGCCTACGAGAACGAGAGGAGGACGAATCAACACCGACAGCAGCAGCAGGAGCAGCAGCAGCAGAAGCAACAGCAGCAGCAGCAGCAGCAGCAGAAGAAGCAGCAGGAAGAACTTCAGCAGTGGTGCGGAGATAACTCGTCAAAGTTGTGCTGCTAGTGATTGTGCTGGTAACAGTAGGGACAGTGCCACGTGGCAACTGATCATTCGGTTGAGGCCCCTCGCCTTGAACCTGCCCTTTTTGCCACTGCATGAGCAGCTGCTGCAGCACCTGCTGCTGCTCCGAGGTGGTCCCTATTGCTAGCTTCCTGGGCCTCTCACTCTGCTGCAGCCCACTCTGCTGCTTTGGCGACTCACTCTCACGTGGCCTCTCCTGAACCGGAGCCTGCTGCTGCTGCTGTCCTTTCTGCGACTCCCCTTTCTGCTGCTCTCCCTTCACATGCTCAACTGTCCCCTGCTGCAATTGCGGTTGCTCAGTTCCCTGCCCTTGTATTCTTCCCTGCTCCCTTCCCTCTCCTTCTATCTGCTGCTCCTTGCCATCTCCCTCACCACGCGCCTCCTCCTGCGCTTCCCCCTGTTCCGCCCCCTGCGCCTCCCCCTGCTCCGCCCCCTGCGCCTCTTTCTGCGCCTTCCCCTTCTCCTGCTCCTCCTGCTCCTTCACCTTCTCCCGCTCCCCCTCCCGCTCCTTCTGCTCCTGCTGCTGCTGCTCATCCTCACGCCCCTTCACCCTAGCTGCCAAGCCACCATCCAGAGACAACGCCCTTGTCACATGAATGTCCTCGTTATTAGCTGCTTCACTTCCCCCAGAAACCCTAAATCCCTTTTCTGCAACTCCTGGCTGCTCGTCGTAACAATAATCCTGCTCCTCCTGAGAGATCACTACCTTCCCCTCCTGAATCTCCGATATACGCGTCTCCTGTCCTGCTATAAGCTTCTCCTGTCTTGGGATTTGCTCTGATAAACTTCTCATAATACCCAGTTTTCCTCCCCTGCCTTCCCCTCCAGAATCACAACCCTCAACGCCGATACCCTCATGTGGCACCTCCTGACGTGGCACACGCTGTTGCTGACGTGGCTCCAGCGGCTGCTGCTGCTGCTGCTGCTGCTGCTGCTGCTGCTGCTGCTGCTGCTGCTGCTGCTTTCCCGTGTGAAACGGCAGGCGGCGCTGCCACCAGTGGCCTAGCCTCACCTGTAGCTTCTTCCTCGGAATCTGCTGCATCTGATGCATTTGCCGGAGTAACCTCATTGGACTTCGCCAGCTTCCCTTTTCGCCCTCCCCTTCAGTACCCGCTAATCTCGCCGATCTGGATCGGGAAATGTAAGAAACTCGGAAATTAGCATCTGTGGTGTAGCTGGGAGCCTCATTCCAGGCTGAGTGATCGTTTTTATCTGCCACGTCATCACTACCTTCTGCACTTTCTCCTGCTTCCCCTTCCCCTTCTCCTTCTCCTCCTCTTTCAGCAACGGAAGCAGCAAAAGCAGAAGCAGAAGCGAACTCGCCCTCGCTCTCTCCTGCTCCATCTTTCACATCTGATGGATGGTCCAGATCGCCTGTCGGTAAGCTGTGAAACCTGGTCAGCTGCCGTCGATTTTCCCCAAGGTCCTTCATTTCTCCAGATAACCGGACCCCGCTGCTCGCACCACTACCGCTGCCGCTGCTGCCATTGTGGGTTCTACCTTGCTCCTCCACATTGCTGGTCGCATTTTTTAAGTTAGTAACAAGGAAACCGCTGCGTACAGGGAGACAGGTGCTTTCCGTCGCGTTCCCGGAGCTACTAGTACTTAACCGCCGGCTGGTGCTACTACTGCTGCTGCCGTCGATTCTGCTGCTGCTGCCGCCGTCAGATCTGCTGCTGCTGCTGCTGCCGTCAATTCTACCGCTTCTGCTTCCGATGCCATCGATTTTGATAGGGCTCCCCCCGCCGAGCCTCCAGCTGCTTTTCAAGCTCATGCTCCGTAACGCAATATCGAAACTCTTTCTAACGGAACCCTGCGCATTTTCCCCGTCGTTACTGTCAGATTTCCTGATCCATCCTCGTTTTGCACCAGCATTCGCGGAACCTTCTCGCGCGCTCTCCAGCGACCGCCTTTCGGCACGAGGCGCTCCGTTAGACGCGCCGTTATACGCGATATTAGCTTCATCCGGAACGCGGAAATTTGTCGCTTCATCGGGAGCAGACTCAGCGACTGGGCTTAGAGGCAAGACGCTCACCTCGGACGCTGACGACGACTCCATTCAGCCGAAACAATAAAGCTTGACGTTTTCCCTAAGCGTGAGAAATCATAACGCGGATGCGACAGGAAACCCTTCTCACACAATGCGTGCCGAATCCTGAAGTCGGAGTGTGACAATCGCAATCCTACACACACCTACCCTGCTCTGCACACAATCCGAGGCATTTGGATGTTGTACGCGCGCTCGATCTGTCAGTGGGTTCACGACACCATGGTCCATGTCACGATGATCCCAAGGCCATGGCGTATGGCCAATGGCCCACCTGGGCTTCTGTGTTCGAGCGGTACGGAAAGTTGCTGAAGAAGCTTCGGTCTATGGTGGTGTGAACTGTGAAGGAAAGATGCGGGGGAAGGGGAGGGGCAGAGGTAGGGGAAGCGGAGGTTGCGGGTGGGAGCCTGCCCGCCCCGGGCGCGTTTCCTGCCGCTTCCGCGCGCCACGATCGCTGGCGTGATGGTCCCCGGGCCTGTGGTGGTGGCGAAGCGAAGTGGGCGAGGCGAGCGCGTGTATCCAGCTCAGATACACGTGCCCAGAATCGTTACCAATTTGTGACGAAACATATGCATGTTACATCGTGGTTGATATCAACCTAAGGCTATACTTCAATAAATATGAGAAATCTTTAAAAAAAGCATAAATGTTGTTTTATAATGTTTTTCCTTTCTTCTGGATAAATTTTAACAGAAAAAAAATAGTCGGTTTAGGGAATAAGGATGTGGGTTGATGCTAAATTTCAAATATAGAGCTGCTAGTGAAGTTATAGTCACAAAAGCTAGTCGTGACGGGATCATGTTCTACCGAGTATAGATCTCGTGGCTGGTGTGCACCCTCCAAGTCAGTCGCGTCTTCCAGAAGCACTTCAGCACGAGGGTTTCTGTTGGCGGCCGAATCGACGGACATTAACATGTCAGACCATCATCATCGACGGCTCTCGCTAACCCAAAACGCAGGCGGGTGTCTGTCTGCGAAGCTTGCTTCCCTCCCAAGATTCTCCCGTCTTCCAACTTTCACAGGACCTCCAAAAGGGAGATTCTCAAGGCAGTCCTCGCTTTTCGTATGACCCCGAGGTCCCCCTAGGACACTTTCTGACTTCTCGATCTTAGGTGTGAGCTGTCCTTTCGCCTAGGGAATGCTGGAATCATACTTGCTTGCTTCCAAGCTTCAGCATCTGTATATCCTGTAGCTGATTCTTCTCGGTGACCAGGTTCAGCTCGAGACTTCCGTCGCCCGTGACCTTGTACCTCGCCTCATTTCGGCTAGCGTCCGCACTTGTTTGTTTAGTCGCTGTTGCGCGTGCTACCCGGTTGCGCTCCGATCGAAATCCTTGTTACGACATCGTAGCAACATCTCGGCGACATGGGTGGAGGCAACGGACAGAAGGCCAAGATGGCTCGCGAGAAGGCCCAGGCCAAGATGCAGGCTAACCGAGGTACAGTAACGTATCGACCTTTATCTCTCTTTACTTGCCTGTCATCATTAGTTTCTTAGGGTTTGTAGCGAGTGAATTTGTATCGTGCCACACGACCACGACATTCGTTGCTTTTCTCGTTTCACCAGATGCCTACCACCGTCAAGTCGATTTTTGAGGCGCCTCAAAAACTTTTCTCGTTTCACCAGATGCCTACCACCGTCAAGTCGTAGGCCTATGTGGATCATGTCTGGTCGTAGCCTATTAAGTTTGTCGATGGCTCAATAAGAGGAGTTATTCGATAAAACACGACCTTCATTTGTTGCTTATGCTCTTTTGTATTCCGTTGCTTTCCTCTTCACTGTTCAATTTGGTTGAGTAGTTTGCATTTCAAAGCTTTCGACTCTCTCCTCTCTCTACCCCCGTTTCCCCTCTCCCCTTCTCCTCTCTCTTCTCACCCCCTCTCTCCCTTTCACGTCCCATGTCTCCCTCTCCTTCCTTCTCCTTCCTACAGGCAGTCAGCTTGAGGTGAACCAAAAGGCTATGAGCATTCAGGTAAGATGCTTTCTGGTTGTCAGCTCAGCTGTCAGGTGATGTCATTTTCTCGCCTTCTTGGATAATTCTATGCTGTCGTTTGGGTCGTACAGATTCTCACTTTGTCTAGCCGGCTCTTCCGACTTCAGTCGATCAATTGTGTAGTTAATCCTAGGCGTTTCTTCAGAGAAGCTGCAACATACTGACGCCGCTTTACCTTCACCCTGCTGCATCTGGCATGTGTTGACCTGTTCTGCTTTCTCTCTCCTCTTTTCTCCGTCTCTGCAGTGCAAGGTGTGCATGCAAACGTTCATCTGCACGACGAACGAGGCCAAGTGCAGAGAACACGCAGACGCACGGCACCCCAAGCACGACTTCTATGTGTGCTTCCCACATCTCAAGCAGTGATCGCACTTCAAGGTACATGTGCTAGGGTTTGGGCAATCTGGAAGGCGAGATAGAAGCGAGAAGTCGATTTTTGAGTCGACCCAAAATTCCACTTTTTGGGTTGTCTTCAAAATCGACTTCTCACACAAGGTACATGTTCTAGGGTTTGGGTAATCTGGAAGGCGAGATAGAAGTGAGTCAGGCTGCGTTTTGAGTCGACTCAAAAGTCGCCCCAAGCACGACTTCTATCAGTGCTTCCCTCATCTCAAGCAGTGACGGGACCTAAGGGTACGTGTTCGGGTCTGGATAGTTTTGAAGGGGAAAAAGAAGTGAGTCAGGCTGCGGCATATATGTGGAGAGGGGCGGGTAGTGGGGTGGGGGGGGAGAGGGAGGGGGGGGGAGGGGGGGTGATGGGAGGGAAGAGGGGCGAGGGAAGGGAGGGAAGGGGTGAAAAAGGGGTTTGGTGGGGAAGGGGGTGTGAAGGGAAAGGAAAAGGGTTTGAGCATGATTACATGACTTCTGTTTTAACATGAATGAGAGGTAAGCCAGTTCATTGTAGAAGCGTGGATGGGCTTACGGACCCTAAAAGAGACTGTGGAGAGGATGGGGAGACTGAAAGGGGATGGCACCTTGCATACGAGTGCAGGAGTGTACATTTTAAGTTAAGGGGTTTTGACTGCGAACAGCACATGCTTCTTCCTAGTGCTCTCCCATCTGCCGCTCATCTAGGATGTTTCAGGTGTTTTCCTTCCAAGTGATCAATATAATTATTTTTTCGGCATGCGGTTCTTGAGGTGTCTCAGCTTGGTTTCCCCCCCAATTGCTGTCTGTTGCCCACCTGGTGTTTTTGTGCAGGCATGTGTCTGAAGCCTAATGTGCAGGGAACCGGCTCTCTAGCAGTTATACACCTGATCCAAGCTTTTGATTGTCTGCTTAGCTTCTGATTTTTTGCTCTCTTCTGTTGCGTACGTGCATTTTGTTATGGAAAACGGCAGTCTTCTTTGTCTTACGGTAGCTTGTCGCACGGTACCATCTCTCGGGACGTTCTCTAGCTTCCCGGTTTGCTGCAGTGCTTTCATCAGTCGAACACGTAGCGCTTCATTTCAGCTTATACGGTACACCGTTGGTTTCAGCTTGGTAACGTGTTCATACGGTGTGGATTTGTTGAGCAGAACGAACTGTACACCTCTCACATGCAGTTCAAATGCGTTCATTAATCTATGTGGGTGTGATTCAGGTGCAAGGTTGTTAGAATAAGGAGTAACTTAGGAGTAACATAGGTTTAGGATGCCTAGGCTTAGAAGCCTAGGCAAGGAGGGTAAGGAGAAGATTGTCGAGAAAAGGAAGGGGTTTCACTATTGAGCAAAGGGTACAAATAGGAGAGACGCAAGGTATACCACCAACAGTTAAATGTAATGCTACACTAAGCTACAACTACATGCAGTTATAACAATATAACTTTGACATCCCCCCTTAACTGCATGCAGTTATAGCCAATTGCAAAACACAACCTGCGGGGGTACACCAAGCAGTAGCACGCAAGAGCAATGACAACCAGTGCAGTGGTGGCAGAAACAGCTGCAGCAAGTCCTGAGGCAAGAAAGAGAGAAAGGAGACAAAGTGCTGTGGCGCATCTAGTTTGCAGCTCAACAGCAAAGAAGACGAACGGAGAAAGGAGACAAAGTGCTGTGGCGCATCTAGTTTGCAGCTCAACAGCAAAGAAGACGAACGGAGAAAGGAGACAAAGTGCTGTGGCGCATCTAGTTTGCAGCTCAACAGCAAAGAAGACGAACGGAGAAAGGAGACAAAGTGCTGTGGCGCATCTAGTTTGCAGCTCAACAGCAAAGAAGACGAACGAGGTGTCAGAATGTTATTATTATCTAGCCTGTAGTGGGGTGCTCTATAGCGAGTACAACCCAGTTAGGGTTTGCTATATGTACCCCAACTGCTGCTAGTGAAATCCCCTCTCCTTTCTTCATTCTTGTTTCTTCCTTCTAGTTTTGTCATGGTATCAGAGCAGGTCGACCTGTTGGGTCGATCCTGTGGGTGGGCCCACCACCAAATGCTTCCGCTGCTGTTCTACTGGTCGCGCGACGCCTCCTTCCTGCCGCCGCGCGGAGCGCGCGGCGAATTTTTTTTTACGGATTTTTCATCCCGCCGCGCGCTCGGGGCGTGCGGCGGGTTTCTCCCCGCCGTGCGCCCCGAGGCGCGCGGCGGTTTCCTCCCGTGGGGGATGCCCGCGTCCCCCCGATCCCGTCGCCCGCGGCCCCGCTTTCCCGTCGCCCGCGGCCCCTCGGACCCGTCGCCCGCGGCCCCCCGATCCCGTCGCCCAAGGCCCCTCGGTCCCGTCGCCCGCGGCCCCCCGATCCCGTCGCCCGCGGCCCCGCTTTCCCGTCGCCCGCGGCCCCGCTTTCCCGTCGCCCGCGGCCCCTCGGTCCCGTCGCCCGCGGCCCCCCGATCCCGTCGCCCGCGGCCCCGCTTTCCCGTCGCCCGCGGCCCCTCAATTCCGTCGCCCGCGGCCCCGCTTTCCCGTCGCCCGCGGCCCCTCGGTCCCGTCGCCCGCGGCCCCCCCCCCCCCAATTTCCGTCGCGGCGCCCTAAGGAGCCGCGCGCGGCCCCTCGCTGCCCCGTGGTGGCGTCCTGGGGGCCGCGCGCCGTCCCCCTCGCCGTCCCCCGCGCTCCTTCCCCCGTTCCGCCCGTTTTAGGGTTTGGGGGTGGAGAGTGTGGGGGTGGCGGCTATGGGGGTGTCGGTTGTGAGTTCCTCCCCCTGCTCCTCCTCCTCCCTCGTCTCCCTCTGCTACAGCTGCCGCTGAGGGGGGTGGTGTGTGGGAGCCTAGGGTTTGGGGTTTAAGGGGGGTACCGTCGGAGTGGAGCTAGGGTTTGAAGCAGGGGGTGTGTGTCGAGGGGTGTGGGACAGTTGGAGGAGGTTGAGCGGAGGTTGCCGTCGTGTCGTACGCAGCGCCTGTACTCCGGGGCACTCATTCCCGGTAGCTCAGAGAGCCGGTTGCGCCGTCGCCTGTGGGTCCGTTGCTCCTGCCGCGCATATTAGCCGCGGAGCCTGTTACTCCTGTACTCCGGGGCACTCATTCCCGGTAGCCACGTTGTCGCACCAGAGCCGTCTGTTGCCCGTGTGTCTGCAGCTTCAGTCGTCGCCTCCTATCTACTCTCCTCTCGCCAGCCCTCCTCCTCCTCACTTGCCCCTTTTGTGACTGCCTCTAGCTTTGCTCATAATTGTGCACCTTAAACTATTGCTTCTTGCTTGTGCTCAGAATGTGTGGTGACATCGTGATCCACCCTGAGCTTGTACTGCTTTGTTTCCTCTGCTGATTACACCCCACTTTGGCTATGGGGGTGTGTCAGAATATTATGCTCTAGCCTGTAGTGGGGTGCTCTGTAGCGAGTACAACCCTTCTAGGGTTTGCTATTTGTATCCCCATTCTTGCTAGTTCAGTCCTCTCTCTTTTGCCTAATTCTCTCGACATGGTATCAGAGCAGGTCGACCCCCTTGGGTCGATCCTGTGGGTGGGCCCGCCACCTAACTGCTTCCGCTGCTGTTCTGCTTCTCGCGCGCCTCGGGCGCGCGCCGCCTTCTTCCTGCCGCGCGGCGAAATTTTTAGGGTTTTTCATCCCGCCGTGCGCTCGGGGCGTACGGCGGTTTTCTGCCCGCCGTGCGCCCCGAGGCGCGCGGCGGTTTTCTGCCCGTCGCGGCGCCCTGGGGGCCCGCGCGTCGTCCTCCTCCCGTCGCCTCGTCGCGGCGCCCTGGGGGCCCGCGCGCCGCCCCCTCCCGTCGCCTCGTCGCGGCGCCTTGGGGGCCCGCGCGTCCCCCCCCTCCCGTCGCCTCGTCGCGGCGCCTTGGGGGCCCGCGCGCGGCCCCTCCCGTCGCCCGTCGAGCCGCCCTCGGGGGGCCCGCGCCCTGCTTCTTCGTGGCGCCCAGGAGCCACCCCGCCGCCTCCCTTTCCCTCCGTGCCCCGCCCCTGCTGCTTCCTGCGCTCCTGCCTGCGTTAGGGTTTGGGGGTGGCGGGCATGGGGGTGACCGGTGTGGGTAACCTGCAGCTCCTCCTCCTCCTCCGTCTCCCACTGCTGCAGCTGCCGCTGAGGGGGGTGGGTGTGTGGGAGCCGAGGGTTTAGGGTTTAAGGGGGGTGACGTGGGAGTGGAGCTAGGGGTGCAGCAGGGGGTGTGTGAGAGGGGCGTGGGACGGTCGGGGGAGGTTGCGTGGAGGTAGCCGTCGTGACGCCAGCAGCGCCAGTAGTCCGGATGCCCTCGCGCGTTTCGGTAGCCCAGCGAGCCTGCTTCGCCAGTCGCCTGTGGGTCCGTTGCTCCTGTGTGTGCTCGTCGTAGCCGCAGAGCCAGATACTCCCGTAGTCCGGTGCCCTCGTGCGCTCGGTAGCCACTGTGCGCGCCGCTCCTGTTGCCCGTGTGTCTGCAGCTTCAGTCAGCGCCTTTCATCTTCTCGCCCTCACAGTCTCTCCTCCTCCTCATTTGCCCTCTGTGATCACCTCTAGCTTTGCTTATAATTGTGAACTATTACTATGCCTGCTCATTGTGCTGATTACACCCCACTTTGGCTATGGGGGTGTGTCAGAATGTTATTATTATCTAGCCTGTAGTGGGGTGCTCTATAGCGAGTACAACCCAGTTAGGGTTTGCTATATGTACCCCAACTGCTGCTAGTGAAATCCCCTCTCCTTTCTTCATTCTTGTTTATTCCTTCTAGTTTTGTCACGAGGCGTCAGGGGCTGCAGCTGTAGGTGCCACGGTAGCAGTGGGCGGCATCTGCAGATGCGTGGTTGCTGTTTCCACGCGGGAGGCGACCAGATACGACGGATACAAGGAGTAGCGAGAAGAACGAAATAGAGAGGGAGAAGAACGAGAGAGAAATAAAGCAGATTACTCCCATCCCCCCTCAACTGCTCTCCCCCCCCCCCTACACCACCAAGTGCTGCAGGGAGAGAGGAAGAGGGAAGGGAGGGACGGCCTGCTGGTGATTCACACCCGCCACCCCACGTCTCCCCCTCCCCCCCTCCCCACGACGGAAGTCGCGGAAGGAAGGGCGGGTGGGGGGGGCGACGGTAGCTGCTGCTGGCGCTATCGCTGGCGCCTGGCGCTGGCGTAGACGTTGGCGCTGGCGCTGGCGCTCGCGGCTAGCCGTGGCGCTGGCGCTCGTCGCTAGCGTCCGCGCAGGCGCCTGGCGAGGCGCTGGACGGGCTGCGGGCGACGGGAACGGGGGGCCGCGGGCGACGGGAACGGGGGGCCGCGGGCGACGGGAACGGGGGGCCGCGGGCGACGGGAACGGGGGGCCGCGGGCGACGGGAACGGGGGGCCGCGGGCGACGGGAACGGGGGGCCGCGGGCGACGGGAACGGGGGGGCCGCGGGCGACGGGAACGGGGGGCCGCGGGCGACGGGAACGGGGGGGCCGCGGGCGACGGGAACGGGGGGCCGCGGGCGACGGGAACGGGGGGCCGCGGGCGACGGGAACGGGGGGCCGCGGGCGACGGGAACGGGGGGGCCGCGGGCGACGGGAACGGGGGGGCCGCGGGCGACGGGAACGGGCCGCGTGGCGAGGAAACGGCGCGGGGCGATGCGGGGGCCGCGGGTCGACGAGACAGAAAAAAAAATGCGCATTTCGCGCTGAGACAAGGGCGGGCCCATGTTCCTTAGAAGAGATCGAGGTCCTTAGACCGGGACTAGCTCTGATAGCATGTTAGAATAAGGAGTAACTTAGGAGTAACTTAGGTTTAGGATGCCTAGGCTTAGAAGCCTAGGCAAGGAGGGTAAGGAGAAGATTGTCGAGAAAAGGAAGGGGTTTCACTATTGAGCAAAGGGTACAAATAGGAGAGACGCAAGGTATACCACCAACAGTTAAATGTAATGCTACACTAAGCTACAACTACATGCAGTTATAACAATATAACTTTGACAAAGGTCTGCTTGTGTTTCAAGAGTCTGCTACACCTCATGTCCAGGCCTCGTTCAGAGCCACGTGCCCCGAATACAGCCTCCCATTGGTCGATCTCAGCTCGTCGATCAGACGGTTCCAATTCGACGCTAGTGCGCCGACGAAATAATCCGCCTGCGTCGTGATGATGAGATTTGCGAAAATCTCCCCCGTGCGCTGCTTGTCCTTCACGTGCTCCTCCTGCATCTGCATCGCACTCGTCACTCGGCCGCTCGTGGTGTAGTGGAAGGTCCAATCCGGGAAGTTGGACGTTTCCTCGATCACACTCTGCCAGTGAGGGAGCAGGAGGGGGGAGGGTAAGGAGGAGAATGGGGAGATGTAGGGAAGAACTCATTGGGGAGTGGTGGAATGCGGTTTGAGTTTTCCCATTAGGTCAATTACGATCTAAAAGGGAGCTACAGAGAATGTAGGAGCTCTAGAATCTCCTAACAAGCAGATCCACTAATTCACGTGCATCTCAGTGCTGAGACACACGTGCTCAAGCCAGGTTCGGCACGTGCTCAAGCCAGGTTCGGCACGTGCGCCCGCAACTAAAAGCACTACCTCACCTGCATGCATGAATGTAAAAGGTACTCCTTATAAGCAGACACACATGCTCACCTTCACACATGCATGTACCCCTTATAAGCAGACAAACCCAGAAGCTCACCTGCATCTCTGTGCTGAGCCACACATGCTCCATATTTGGCAAGTGCGCCCGCAACTTATAAGACTAGCCCACCAGGATGCATGAATATACAGTGTACCCCATATAAGCAGACACACACGCTCACCTCCATCTCTGTGCTGTGCCACACATGCTCCAGGTTCGGCACGTGCGTCCAAAGCACTAACTCACCTGCATGCATGACTGTACCCCTTGTCAGCAGACCCACTGTCTCACCTGCATCACCGTGCTGAGCCACACATGCTCCAGGTTCGGCATATGTGCACGCAACTTATACCACTAACTCACCTGGTTGAGTGTACCCCTTATAAGCAGACCCACAGGCTCACCTGTACACAGAAGCTCGCCTGCATCCCTGTGCTGAGCCACACATGCTCCAGGTTCGGCACATGCGCCCACAACTTGAAGAAATACCTCATCTGCATGCATGACTTGTACAATGTACCCTTTTTGAGCAGTTCCACTGCCTCACCTGCATCTCTGTGCTGAGCCACACATGCTCCAGGTTCGGCACGTGCGCCCGCAACTTGTACATAAAATACATGTAAGTCGCGAAGAAGTGTAGCTTCATCTCGAGGTATTTGTCGCTCAGCCGCACGTGCAAGCTGACGTACGGCCGGAATATAAACGGTTCGTCTTGTAACGAGGAAAACTCCACCGCCGCACCTCCCCCCGCATTCGCACTCCCCGCTCCCACACACGCCTCAGACTCATTACACCTCGTTCCCACACACCCTGCAAACCCCTTCATCTGCCATACAGTCCCCGCTAGGCTCGACTTGTATGCGACGGAAGGGGGAACAGCAGAAGAGGCGTCAGGGAGGGTGTTCAAGTGTTGGGATTCCGGAGTGTTGGGGGGTGTGGAGTGGCGGATGGATTGCTGCTGGGCTGTAGCGGCTACTACCCGCTCTGCTACAGCCATCCCGTAGGTGTTGTGTCGCACGCGGTTGGTGATGTGGCAGAGGAGAGCCGAGGGCCAGCGCATGAGAAACCGGGCAGTTTGGGACCTCCACCAGCGTTCCTGTTTAATGGGACGAGGGGTGGTGGAGGGGGGAGAGAGAAACAGGGCGTATACGGTTGGTGATGTGGCAGAGGAGTGCCGAGGGCCAGCGCATGAGAAACCGGGCAGTTTGGGACCTCCACCAACGCTCCTGGTTATGGAACAAGAAATGGGAAGGAGGGGGAAACAGCAGAAGAGACGTCGGGGAGAGTGTTTAAGTGCTGGGATACAGGAGCGTTGGGGGGTGTGGACTGGAGTGTAGATTGCTGCTTGGTTGTAGCGGCTACAATGTGGCACGATACAAGTGGCAGCACGGCACATTACAGTCAGTCCGGCATGTGCTCATCACCCCAACGTTCTGCTCACCCCAACGTTCTGCTCACCCCAATGTGGTTGTCATTGGGAACCCAGATTCTCCCCAGCTGCTCAATCGTGAACGGATGATCCAACTCGGGGGGTCTGCCGTCTGGAGCCACCCAGAGGCTGCAGTAGTGAGGGTATGGAAAAGGTGTGGAGAGGGAAGAGAGGGTAGGGAGAGAGGGAAGAGAGGGTAGGGAGAGAGGGAAGAGAGGGTAGGGAGAGAGGGAAGAGAGGGTAGGGAGAGAGGGAAGAGAGGGTACGGAAAGAGGGAAGAGCCGATGAGAGGGAGAATTCAGAGAAGTGCCATGCCATTGCAGATGATTTCTTGAGTAGCCGAAGCCAGCACGGTCTCCTTGGTGTCGTTAAACAGAGCCATGGGCGCTGCTGTTCTGCTTCTTCTGCTGCTTCTTGGTCTACCAACACACGTGTAAATGAACAGGACTCTTGGCTAGAGAGAGAGGAGGAGCACCCACCTGGCAGCTCTAGCGGCGTCGTGGTGGTAGTGGGTGTCGTTACAGATGACCACTTGAGTGGCCGAGGCCAGCATACGTGGCACATCAACCACACCCACCCATGCACACCTTGCATGCAGCCCACCCACCCACCCACCTGGCAGCTCTAGCAGCGTCGTGGTGGTAGTGGGTGTCGTTGCAAATGACCACTTGAGTAGCCGATGCCAACACTGTTTCCTTGCTGTCATTAAAAAGAGCGATAGGTGCTGCTGCCTCTGCTGCCAGCGCGACCTTGAGGCAGTCTGGGGAGGCCACCGGGAAGAAGTAGCACTCCCACTCGCCCTCCTGTCCAATGTCTGGGGGAAGGGGATACGGCGGGCACATGGGTGGGCAAGAGGACAGTCAATGAGGGGAGACAGGCCACCTTGAGGCAGTCTGGGGAGGCCACGGGGAAGAAGTAGCACTCCCACTCGCCCTCCGCCCGATATCTGGGGTGTGATGCACATGGGAATGGGAAAGGCCAGGCAAGGGGAGACACTGAGGACGGAAGATTGTGGGGGAGTGCTTTGTGTGCCGAATTCTTCCCCAGCATACTCCCCACCATTCGGGAAAAAGGAGGGATGGTTCTCTAAATACCAAGGAGTGTGCGAGGGGCGTGGTGAGTGCATGGGGTGGTGAGTGCATGGGGTGGTGAGTGCATGGGGTGGTGAGTGCATGGGGTGGTGAGTGCATGGGGTGGTGAGTGCATGGGGTGGTGAGTGCATGGGGTGGTGAGTGCATGGGGTGGTGAGTGCATGGGGTGGTGAGTGCATGGGGTGGTGAGTGCATGGGGTGGTGAGTGCATGGGGTGGTGAGTGCATGGGGTGGTGAGTGCATGGGGTGGTGAGTGCATGGGGTGGTGAGTGCATGGGGTGGTGAGTGCATGGGGTGGTGAGTGCATGGGGTGGTGAGTGCATGGGGTGGTGAGTGCATGGGGTGGTGAGTGCATGGGGTGGTGAGTGCATGGGGTGGTGAGTGCATGGGGTGGTGAGTGCATGGGGTGGTGAGTGCATGGGGTGGTGAGTGCATGGGGTGGTGAGTGCATGGGGTGGTGAGTGCATGGGGTGGTGAGTGCATGGGGTGGTGAGTGCATGGGGTGGTGAGTGCATGGGGTGGTGAGTGCATGGGGTGGTGAGTGCATGGGGTGGTGAGTGCATGGGGTGGTGAGTGCATGGGGTGGTGAGTGCATGGGGTGGTGAGTGCATGGGGTGGTGAGTGCATGGGGTGGTGAGTGCATGGGGTGGTGAGTGCATGGGGTGGTGAGTGCATGGGGTGGTGAGTGCATGGGGTGGTGAGTGCATGGGGTGGTGAGTGCATGGGGTGGTGAGTGCATGGGGTGGTGAGTGCATGGGGTGGTGAGTGCATGGGGTGGTGAGTGCATGGGGTGGTGAGTGCATGGGGTGGTGAGTGCATGGGGTGGTGAGTGCATGGGGTGGTGAGTGCATGGGGTGGTGAGTGCATGGGGTGGTGAGTGCATGGGGTGGTGAGTGCATGGGGTGGTGAGTGCATGGGGTGGTGAGTGCATGGGGTGGTGAGCGCATGGGGTGGTGAGTGCATGGGGTGGTGAGTGCATGGGGTGGTGAGTGCATGGGGTGGTGAGTGCATGGGGTGGTGAGTGCATGGGGTGGTGAGTGCATGGGGTGGTGAGTGCATGGGGTGGTGAGTGCATGGGGTGGTGAGTGCATGGGGTGGTGAGTGCATGGGGTGGTGAGTGCATGGGGTGGTGAGTGCATGGGGTGGTGAGTGCATGGGGTGGTGAGTGCATGGGGTGGTGAGTGCATGGGGTGGTGAGTGCATGGGGTGGTGAGCGCATGGGGTGGTGAGTGCATGGGGTGGTGAGTGCATGGGGTGGTGAGTGCATGGGGTGGTGAGTGCATGGGGTGGTGAGTGCATGGGGTGGTGAGTGCATGGGGTGGTGAGTGCATGGGGTGGTGAGTGCATGGGGTGGTGAGTGCATGGGGTGGTGAGTGCATGGGGTGGTGAGTGCATGGGGTGGTGAGTGCATGGGGTGGTGAGTGCATGGGGTGGTGAGTGCATGGGGTGGTGAGTGCATGGGGTGGTGAGCGCATGGGGTGGTGAGTGCATGGGGTGGTGAGTGCATGGGGTGGTGAGTGCATGGGGTGGTGAGTGCATGGGGTGGTGAGTGCATGGGGTGGTGAGTGCATGGGGTGGTGAGTGCATGGGGTGGTGAGTGCATGGGGTGGTGAGTGCATGGGGTGGTGAGTGCATGGGGTGGTGAGTGCATGGGGTGGTGAGTGCATGGGGTGGTGAGTGCATGGGGTGGTGAGTGCATGGGGTGGTGAGTGCATGGGGTGGTGAGCGCATGGGGTGGTGAGTGCATGGGGTGGTGAGTGCATGGGGTGGTGAGTGCATGGGGTGGTGAGTGCATGGGGTGGTGAGTGCATGGGGTGGTGAGTGCATGGGGTGGTGAGTGCATGGGGTGGTGAGTGCATGGGGTGGTGAGTGCATGGGGTGGTGAGCGCATGGGGTGGTGAGTGCATGGGGTGGTGAGTGCATGGGGTGGTGAGTGCATGGGGTGGTGAGTGCATGGGGTGGTGAGTGCATGGGGTGGTGAGTGCATGGGGTGGTGAGTGCATGGGGTGGTGAGTGCATGGGGTGGTGAGTGCATGGGGTGGTGAGTGCATGGGGTGGTGAGTGCATGGGGTGGTGAGTGCATGGGGTGGTGAGTGCATGGGGTGGTGAGTGCATGGGGTGGTGAGTGCAAGGGGTGGTGAGTGCATGGGGTGGTGAGTGCATGGGGTGGTGAGTGCATGGGGTGGTGAGTGCATGGGGTGGTGAGTGCATGGGGTGGTGAGTGCATGGGGTGGTGAGTGCATGGGGTGGTGAGTGCATGGGGTGGTGAGTGCATGGGGTGGTGAGTGCATGGGGTGGTGAGTGCATGGGGTGGTGAGTGCATGGGGTGGTGAGTGCATGGGGTGGTGAGTGCATGGGGTGGTGAGCGCATGGGGTGGTGAGTGCATGGGGTGGTGAGTGCATGGGGTGGTGAGTGCATGGGGTGGTGAGTGCATGGGGTGGTGAGTGCATGGGGTGGTGAGTGCATGGGGTGGTGAGTGCATGGGGTGGTGAGTGCATGGGGTGGTGAGTGCATGGGGTGGTGAGTGCATGGGATGAGTACCTGCGCACTCGATGCACTCCCTACCTGTATCCTCCCACCCTCACCTGCGCATTCCTGCCCGCTAGCACGGTGGAAGGTGCGAGGGCGGATGACGAGCGTCCTGTTGTGCCGCACAGCCGCGTTCAGAAACGACCCCATCACATGGACCATGTTGCCGGTGCCATGGTGCTTGGGGGAAATGCACTGGGAGGTGCTTTGGGAAGTGCTTTAGGAAGGTGTTTGGTGTGCTCATTACCTGCGCACTCCTGTCCGCTGGCGCGGTGGAAGGTGCGAGGCCGAATAACAAGCGTCCTGTTGTGCCGCACAGCCGCGTTCAGAAACGACCCCATCACATGCACCATGTTGCCGGTGCCATGGTGCTTGGGGGTTGGCGTCAGTGCGTGGGGGAATGGTGCTTGGGCGGCCAGAGCTTGGAGTGGTGAGTGCTTGGGGGAACACACCTGCACACTCCTGCCCACTGGCGCGGTGGAAGGTGCGGGGCCGAATCACGAGCGTCCTGTTGTGCCGCACAGCCGCGTTCAGAAACGACCCCATCACATGCACCATGTTGCCGGTGCCGTGGTGCTTGGGCGGCCAGTCCGTAATCATTAGCCGCCGCCCCGCACAGCTGGCGGGGAACTGCCGCTCCCACAGGTCCCGCTGGAAGACACGTGTCAGCGCGAGATTCGCCGCGTCAGAGCCGCGGATCTGGGGTTTTCGGAGAGGGTTTGGGTGAAGGAGGAAACGGGAGGGGAGGGTGGGGGAGGAGGGCGTGAGGAGGGGAAATAGGGAGTGAGGAGTGAATGTGGAAGGGACAGTGGGGGGAAGAGGAGATTTTATAAACAGGTGTTATCCACAAGTTGCGATCCTGTGGTCCACAAGTTGCGATCCTGTGGTCCACAAGTTGCGATCCTGTGGTCCACAAGTTGCGATCCTGTGGTCCACAAGTTGCGATCACGTATCTTTGACCCAGAGTGCTTGTGACATGCAGTTGCAGCACTTGCCCTTTGTTTTGAGTCGACTCAAAACTAAGTTGCGAGCACGTATCTTTGACCCAGAGTGCTTGTGGCGTGCAGCTGCAGCACTTGCCCTTTGAGTCGACTCAAAAGTCACTTGACCGGTCGCACACACTCACCCAACCACCCACCCACCCACTCACTTTGGGCCATTGCTACTTGCAGTGTGCACAATCTACCACTAACCTCCCACCTGCACGAAACACTCACACAGGGCGGTTGTGACGTGCAGTTGCAGCACTTGCCCAGTGGGGTCCTCCCCATGCGACCACCTCTCCTCGGCTTTCACCCTCAGAGTTGTCTTGGCCGTGCAGTCCTTTCTAGATGGGGCAATATATGACTTGATAATCGACTCACAGGGAAGAGACTTACCCAGAGCGGCTGGGGCGTGCAGTTGCAGCACTTGCCCGGCCGAACCCACTCAGGGTCCTCCCCGTTTGCCCCCCTCGCCTCTGCTTTCACCCTCAGCGCAGTCTTGGCAGTGCAGTCCCCTCTATGTGGGGCAAGCTCTAAATATGGACTCGGAAAACACTCAGAAACACACTCACCCAGGGGGGTTGAGGCGTGCAGTTGCAGCACTTGCCCGGTCGCACCCACTCAGGTCCTCCCCATGTGCTCCCCGCGCCTCTGCCTTCACCCTCAGAGATACTGTCTTGGCCGTGCAGTCCCCTCTATGTGGGGCAAGCTTACTCGGAAAACACTCAGAAACACACTCACCCAGGGGGGCTGGGGCGTGCAGTTGCAGCACTTGCCCGGTCGCACCCACTCAGGTCCTCCCCATGTGGCCCCCTCGCCTCTGCCTTCACTCTCAGTGTTGTCTTGGCCGTGCAGTCCTCTCTAGGTGGGGCACCGGAGGGCAAGTTTTGACTATCCACTCAACAAACACTCACCAATCACTCACCAAGGACGAGTCAATGCAACAAACACTCAACAAGCACTCACCCAGGGCGGTTGGGGCGTGCAGTTGCAGCACTTGCCCGGCCGAACCCACTCAGGGTCCTCCCCGTTCGCCCCCCTCGCCTCTGCCTTCACCCTCAGAGCTGTCTTGACAGTGCAGTCCTCCAGGTGGGGCGCGGGAGGGACGTCCGGGGGGAAGGAGAGCGGCGAGGGGGAGCGCGTGGTGTCTTCTCCAAGGTTATACACCTTGGTCCAGGACTGTAGAGAGGTGGAGAGGGGTGACGAGGGGTGGGGAGGGGCGGGGAGGGTGGGGAGCAGTAACGGGGAAGCTGATGAGCTATGCTGCAGTGATGCATCTGCCTTCACCCTCAGAGCGGTCTTGGCGGTGCAGTCCTCAAAGTGGGGTGCTGGAGGGACGTCCGGGGGGAAGGAGAGCGGCGAGGGGGAGCGTGTGGTGTCTTCTCCAAGGTTATACACCTTGGTCCACGCCTGTAGAGGGGCGGGGAGGAGTGGGGAGGGTTGAGAGCAGTCTTGGCGATGCAGTCCTCTAAGTGGGGTGCTGGGAGGACGTCCGGAGGGAAGGAGAGCGGCGAGGGGGAGCGCGTGGTGTCTTCTCCAAGGTTATACACCTTGGTCCACGCCTGAGAAGGGTGGAGAGGGGTGGGGAGGGGTGGGGAGGGGTGGGGAGGGGTGGGGAGGGGTGGGGAGTAGTAAAGGGGAAGCGGATGAGCTATGATGCAGATTCGCCTCTCCCTTCACCCTCAGAGAAGTCTTGACAGCTCAATCCTCTAGGTGCGGTGCAGGGGGGACGTCCGGGGGGAAGGAGAGCGGCGAGGGGGAGCGCGTGGTGTCGTCTGCCAGGTTGTAGACTTTGGTCCAGGTTGCTTCTGCAAACTCTTTCGCAAACTTTTTCGCGAACTCTTCCGCTCCCCCAAACCATCTTTCCCACCAGCATAGGACCCTACCTCGTGTAAGCGCTTCGCGGCTTCCGCTAATTCCGGGCTGATCTGCGGCATGCCGTGTCCCGCGGGGATCGCAGCGCCAAGCACGGTGAGTGCCAAGAGCGGGACCAGAACCCATCTGCTGCCGCACATCCGCGACATAGTTTGTCCCGTGAAGAAGCCACTTTTCGTGTATTTTCTTAGGTGTCTCAAAATGCGCTCTGTGACACGAGTCAGAAAGTCAAATGCTTCAGAAACGACGACGAGTCGCGATTAGATGTAAACCGCTGCTTCGCGGGTTTCGCTAATTTCGCAAAATTCGGCAATAGTTCGACCCTGACGAAACATCAAATGGGCTTGCAGCCGCAGGAAAGGTGGGATTGTGATGTGGACTCCTGACAGAGAAACACAAGGCTCGGCTCGCACTACTGATCCCCAGTTGAAATAGCCTGGCTCGGATGATTTACGGTAGGAACACAAGGCCGTGTTGAAAGCTGGCGGGTCTGACTGAAGTAAGGAGCGGGAAATGTGGACGCGTACGCGATACAAGACGACTTCGTCAGTCGACCAACCCAGTGAGAGGGGGTGGTTGGTTTGGCGACCGTACGGAACTCCCAAGGCTTGTGACGGGTAGGAAAACTCGATAATACAACAAGTTTTTCTCGATGTTCAGTAACACCGAGCACAATACTCGCACGCTAGCCTTTGTGACACATACTGGCACTTAACTTTCGCTAAGTGTTCCGAACTTCCCACATTTGTTCTGTTCTTATCTTGCTAGAAAATCAAGTTTCCAACTTCAAAACACGTTCGAGCTCACTGCACACGCCCTCACCGCTCCCCCAGCGAAAACATCGAGGGCTCACCTTGGGAGACTTCTGGGCCAGGCACAGATACCTGCCCTGGGAATTGTTCGACTAGCGGACAGTCCACCGAATTCTGAAGGCCACCCTTTCGTGTACTGGCTACGGGTGCTCGAGCTCCCTTGGATTTATATCGCAATTTCAAAAGCTTGCCGTTATTTCGAGTCAGCTTTTGTCGAGGACTCCCACATTGCGACAATGAGTGCAAGCGTGAGGACGCACGCCTTGCTGCCCTCGCGTACACTCCATCCCCGATACAAACCACACGACTCCCTTCACGCGTTCAACCTTCCGTCCTTTCAAACTGCAAACCTCTTCGCAAACCTTCCGCGAAAAACGTCCCTCCGCTTCCCCTTCCGGTCCCCTTCCCCCGCGCTGGTCACCGCGCAAGCGGGGAGAGGCTTCGGAAAGAAGCCGGCGGCCGGCAGCAAGGCCAAGCCGGCCGGCAGCAGCGCCGGCGGCAGCAAACTGCTGGAGGAGCTTGGCGCCGCTGGAGCGTCAGGATCTGCGCCGGCGGGAAAAGCGGGGGGAGCGGGGGCGGAAGCGGCGGAAGCTGCGGTGTGTCCGTGCGGGGGGGGCGGGGAGGGGGAGAAGCGCGCATACAAGGAGTGCTGCGCGCGGTACCATGGGGGGGTGAAGGAACCAGACGCTGTTTCTCTCATGAGTGAGTTGTAACTGGTGTGCGTAACATGGTAACCATTGCAGTACCATAGGATAAATTCTGGGCGCACGGTAAAATGGAGGGGTGAAGGAACCAGACGCAGTTTCCCTCGTGAGTGAGTACACTGCACTTATGGATACCAAAATCTTCGTAGGTAACATGGTAACCATGCTGTACCATCGCGAGGGGGGGCGGGTGAGGAGGGGGGGGGAGGGGAGGAGTGGGGGTGTGAAGGAAGGAACCAGACGCTTTTTTTTTCTCATGAGTGAGCACACCGAAATTATGGTTACCAGAATCTTGGTGCGTAACATGGTTACCTTTGTGGTACCATGGGGGGGTGGAGGAACTAGGCGCCTTAAACCCTGAACCTTTATGAAGTGATACCCTTCTCTTCCTTTCCAGAGGCGCGCTACTCAGCCTTCGCCTTTTGAGGCTCCTCAAAATACACCTCAGGTGCCTTAAACCCTGAACCTTTGTGCAATGATACCCTTCTCTTTCTTTGATCCCCTTCGCTTCCTTTCCAGAGGCCCGGCACTCGGCCTTTGCCAAGGGTGTGATTCCCTACATCGTGCGCACAACACATGAAGACAACCCCAACATGGGCCCCGGGTGGAGCAGAGGGGCGCAGCACACCACCACCACTCCTCAACCCTTTTCCCTCTCTCACCGCTCCGGATCTCTCCCTTCAACTCTGAACACCCCGTGTCGTGTCTCCTTGCTTCCAGAGGCACGCTATTCTGCTTTTGCCAAGGGTGTGATTCCCTACATAGTGCGCACAACACATGAGGACAACCCCAAGAGGAGATGGCACCCTGGGGAGCAGAGGGGCGCAACACACATGCTGAGATCCCGTACATGCCTGCCCTCCTTTTCTCCCCCTCCAGAGGCACGCTATTCTGCTTTTGCCAAGGGTGTGATTCCCTGCATAGTGCGCACAACACATGAGGACAACCCCAACATGGCACCCGGGGGAGCAGATGGGCGCAACACACCCAATTCTGATCCCTTACTTTCCTGCCCTCCTCCCCCTCTTGCAGAGGCACGCTATACTGCTTTTTCCAAGGGTGTGATTCCGTACATTGTACGCACAACACATGAAGACAACCCCAACATGGCCCCCGGGAGATCAGAGGGGTTCAACACACTGAGTCTTGATCCTTTACTTGCCCTCGCACCTTTCCAATTTCTCCCTTTCCAGAGGCACGCTACTCAGCCTTTGCAAAGGGTGTGATTCCCTACATCGTGCGCACAACGCACGAAGACAACCCCAACATGGCACCCGGGGGAGCGGAGGGGCGCAACACAACTCTCCTCAACCCTTTCCTGCTCTTCTCTTGCCACCCACCTCTCTGAACCCTCCTTGTATCCTTGCTTCCAGAGGCGCGTTACTCGGCCTTTGCAAAGGGTGTGATTCCCTACATTGTACGGACGACACATGAAGACAACTCCAACATGGCACCGGGGGGAGCAGAGGGGCGCAAGAAGTTAACTGCAGACTGTGAGGAGACGTGCAAGCGGCTGGTCTTCAAACGCCTGGAGATTCTCTCAACGGAGGCGGGCGAGAATGATGATGTGAGTGCAGCAATGTCATGCCCCTGGTGTTGGTGAGTGTTCCCCGGGGGAGCAGAGGGGCGCAAGAAGCTGACTGCAGACTGCGAGGAGACGTGCAAGCGACTGGTGTTCAAACGCCGCGAGATCCTATCGACCGAGGAGGGGGAGAATGATGACGTGAGTGTACGGGATGTGACTGTATTGGTGTCTACGCGAGGTGATTCTTGAGTTGGTGTAAAACTGGCGCCCGGAGGTGCAGAGGGGCGCAAGAAGCTGACGGCTGACTGCGAGGAGACGTGCAAGCGGCTGGTCTTCAAACGGCTTGAGATCCTATCGACCGAGGAGGGGGAGAATGATGACGTGAGTGCAGCAATGTGATGATGTCATGGCCCCTGGTGTGAGTGTTCCCCGGGGCAGCAGAGGGACGCAAGAAGCTCACTGCTGACTGCAAGGAGACGTGCAAGCGGCTGGTGTTCAAACGCCTCGAGATTCTTTCCACAGAGGAGGGGGAGAATGATGACGTGAGTGGAATGGTGTGGTTGTGACCCTGTGATTGTGGCAGTGTGATTGTAGCAGGGTGCATGACATAGCTTGTGAGGAGAAATGCAAGCGCCTGGTCTTCAAACGCCTCGAGATCCTTTCCACAGACGAGGGAGAGAATGATGATGTGAGTGTAGGGGATGTGCATGTAGGGAGTGTGGCTGTGGCACCACCACCACCCAACAACCAAATCCTCATCCAGCCCTCTCAACTTTGGACTCAACTGAAAAGTCAACTTTGCATGTAGGGAGTGTGGCTGTGACACCACCACCACCCGACAACCAAATCCTCACCCCCCCCTCTCTACTTGCCTACCATATTCCCCCTTCTCTCACCCCGCCCCCTACTTTCCACAGGAGGCCTTTGTCTCGTTAAGAGCAGTCTATGCGTACAACCACGGCACCACCACCGAAATAAAATCATTGTTGAGAAGACGTGCTTTGTGGGCGACCCAGACTCAGGCCGCTGGCTCTACCGCGAGATAACCCCCCTGGATGCTCTAACTGACTCCCCTTTCTCCCCCACTCCCTCGTTCCTTCCCTTCCCCCACAGGAGGCCTTCGTCTCGTTCCGAGCAATCTACGCCTACAAGCACGGCACCACCACTGACAACCAGATCCTAGTCCAAGCTTGTTCTCCCCCCTCCCCTTTCCCCTACTGCATCCTTTCCCCCCCCACAGGAGTCTTTTGTCTCATTCCGTGCCATTTACGCCTACAAGCACGGCACCACCACTGACAACCAGATCCTAATCGAGAAGTCCCGCTTTGTACGCGACCCAGAGTCAGGCCGCTGGCTGTACCGCGAGAAAATCCCCCTGGATGCGGCTTCAGAGGCGGCGTGGCGGCTGGGTCCTGCTCTCGTGGAGCAGGAGCAAGGGGGACAAGGAGGGAGGAAGTCATATGTTATGCGAGGGGCAGCGCAGCCTAAACTAAGGCCCAGGTCAAACTAACTAGCAAGGTGCTGTAGCGCGAGAAAATCCCCCTGGACGCGGCTTCTGAGGCCGCATGGCGGCTGGGTCCCTCTTTGGTGGAGCAGGAGCAGCAGGCGGGCGGGAGGAAGTCGTATGTCATGCGAGGGGCAGCACAGCCGAAACTAAGGCCCAGATCAAGCTAGTTAGCAGGCTTGCTTCTGAGGCAGCATGGCGGCTGGGTCCCTCTTTGGTGGAGCAGGAGCAGCAGGCGGGGGGGAGGAAGTCGTATGTCATGCGAGGAGCAGCGCAGCCGAAGCTAAGGCCCAGATCAAGCTAGTTAGCAGGCTTGTTTCAGAGGCAGCGTGGCGGCTGGGTCCCGCTTTGGTAGAGCAGGAGCAGCAGGCAGGGGGAGGAAGTCGTATGTCATGCGAGGGGCAGCACAGCCGAAGCTACGGCCCAGGTCCAGTTAATAGAGGGTTTGTATCAGAGAAGAATCCAGGTTACAATAATATGTACTTGGAGTTTGCCATGCAAGTGTGGTCCCCATTATCTATTGTGAAGACAGTCTTTCATTCATTTAGTTCGTCTCCCTATGAGTAATTGCGTCAACACGGATATCCTGCTATAGCTCAGTTGGTAGAGCGGAGGACTGTAGATGAGCAATCCTTAGGTCACTGGTTCGAATCCGGTTGGCGGGATCTTTTGCATCTGCTGGAGGTTTCTTGCGTTGAATTTAGTACTGGTTCTGGCGCCTCAAAAGCAGCTGGAGTGATGGCAAACCACATCGGGGTGTACATCGGGCATGCAGAGCAGGGATCTCCATTCCATGTTACCATAGTGTTCCATGTTCAACATGGTTACATATTGATTGACATATCATTGCAGTACTGACTGGCAGGTAACCATAACAAGAGCACCAGGCTCCTTCAGGTCTCTATCCAATATTGATACACTTTACATGTAACTAGTTACCACACATTAACCCTTACAAGAGCAGGGCTAGTGGTTTTGAATGAGCAACACCGCCCTAGTGGTATCACTCTAGTAGGACCTGTTTTGAGTTGACTAAAGCACGACTCTATTCACGCTAGTAGTTGTTTAGAAAGAGCAGAACCGTCCTAGTGGTATCGCTCGAGAACCTTCTCAATGAGAAGCGAGAAGGCAGCAAAGCCAGCACACCCCATGCATGCTGCTTGTGGTCCCGCTGCAGGAAGAGAGGAGGGGGGACGGGAGGGAGGGAGATAAATACGACTGTTGTGACATGAGTTGAGAACTACGTAAGAAAAGCAGCGACGCCAGCACACCACTGGGGAGTCCCATGCACGCAGCTTGCAGTCCACTTGTGTTGACAAGTGCTCTTAACCACCCAAAAGTGGAAGTGATCCCACCTCTGGCAGACAATTCTCCTCCAGTGACACAACCAGCAATAACCGTGTTGACCTCATCGTGCCTCGCCCTCGCTTTCTCCGCCATGCACTCTGACGCTGAGAAGATGAGAAGCTCGCCCCCATCCCTTACACCGTGCGGTGTAGTGTGGTAGAGCGCGGTGTCATCTGGTGAATTACCCACCTCTAGCTGACAGGGCTCCCCCAGTCACACAGCTGGCAATCACAGTGTTGACCTCGTCATGCCTCGCCCTCACCTTCTCCGCCATGCACTCTGATGCTGAGAAGATTGCTCCCACGTCTTACACTGTGCACTGTGCGGTGTAGTGTGGTGTGGTGCGATAGATAACCCACCTCTAGCTGAGAGTGCCCCCCCAGTCACGCAGCCAGCAATGACTGTGTTCACTTCATCGTGCTTCGCCCTTGCCTTCTCCGCCATGCACTCCGATGCCGAGAATATCGCACCCATCACTGTGCGGTGCAGTGTGGTGTGGTGCGGTAGATAACCCACCTCTAGCTGACAATGCTCCCCCAGTGACGCAGCCAGCAATGACGGTGTTGACCTCATCATGCCTCGCCCTCACCTTCTCTGCCATGCACTCTGACGCTGAGAAGAGGAGAAGATGAGAAGATCGCCCCCATCCCTTACACTGTGCAGTGTAGTGTGGTAGAGCGCGGTGTCATCTGGTGAATTACCCACCTCTAGCTGAGAGTGCTCCCCCAGTCACACAGCCGGCAATGACGGTGTTGCCCTCGTCATGCTTCGCCCTTGCCTTCTCCGCCATGCACTCTGATGCTGAGAAGATCGCTCCCATCACTGACAATGGTGGCTCTGCAAGGCTGGAAATGCATTCACTCACCTCTGGCGGACAATGCTCCCCCAGCCACACAGCCAGCAATGACCATGTTGATCTCATCATGCCTCGCCCTTGGCTTCTCCGCTATGCACTCCAATGCCAAGAAGATTGCCCCCATGTCTTACACTGTGCGGTGTAGTGTGGTGGGGTGCAGTGAATAACTCACCTCTAGCGGACAGTGCTCCCCCAGTCACACAGCCAGCAATGACTGTGTTGACCTTGTCATGCCTCGCCCTCACCTTCTCTGCCATGCACTCTGATGCTGAGAAGATTGCTCCCATCACGGCAAAGAGTGGCTTTCCCCCCACCCATACCGGACACAACCCACCTCTAGCTGACAGTGCTCCCCTAGTGACGCAGCTGGCAATGACTATGTTGACTTCGTCGTGCCTCGCCCTCGCCTTCTCCGCCATGCACTCTGACGCTGAAAAGATTGCTCCCAGTCACACAGCCTGCAATGACAGTATTCACTTCATCGTGCTCCGCCCTTGCCTTATCCACCATGCACTCTGATGCTGAAAAGATCGGCCCCATCCATTACATCTGCGGTGCAGTGTGGTAGGGTGCAGTGTTGTCTGGTGAATAACCAGAACCCACCTCTAGCGGACAGTGCTCCCCCAGTCACACAGCCAGCAATGACGGTGTTGACCTCGTCATGCTTCGCCCTTGCCTTCTCCGCCATGCACTCTGACGCTGAGAAGATCGCTCCCATCACTGCAAAGGTCTTGCCCGTGTGCCAGCTGCGCTGCGCCATCTGCCTGGAGTGGGAGATCGGGAGATGGGAAAAGGCAACAGCAGAGAGAAGGGCAAGCAGACAAGGAGAGGTTTGGCTGCAATGAATGCACAAGTGAAAGCACAGCAATGGCAACACACGGCACACACAGCACTCACTTGAATTCATGCTCCAGCTGCTGCCGCGTGCTCATCTCCTCCACATGCAAAGGGGCTGATCGCCACACACACGTGGCATTCACGTGTCTCTACGCCATCCTCCCACACACACGTGAATGCATCACTGCCTCTAAACCTATGCACACGGCACTCACTTGAAGCCATGCTCCAGCTGCTGCCGCGTGCTCATCTCCTCCCCATGCAAGGGCTGGTGAATGCAGGTGGCAGCACCGAACCCTCACACTCGCCCACTTGTGTAATGGCTGGTGAGTGTGTTCATGCACCTCTCTGCACTCACTTGAAGCCATGCACCAGCTGCTGCCGTGTGCTCATCTCCTCCACACCGCATGCACAGGGGGTGGTGAGTTCATGTGGCAGCGCCAAACCCACACACACGCCCACTTGTGCATGAAAGGGTTGGTGATTGAAATGGCTTCCGAAAGCACTCACTTGAAGCCATGCACCAGCTGCTGCCGCGTGCTCATATCCTCCACATGCAAGGGCTGGTCCAAGGCACCAAACAGCAGGCCCATCATCACCCCCATGCCTCCTCCTGGTGTTGGGCAACAGGTTAGGGCACGGAAGACAACAGGATTGAGGGTTTAGGGGACAGCATGTGCTCATTTCTTCCACGTGCAGAGGCTGGTCGATTCTTGAGAAAAATAAAAATAAAAATCGCGCACAAGGGCACCAAACAGCAGACCCGTCATCACCCCCATGCCGCCTCCTGCAATGAACAGCAGGGGCGAATGGAATCGAATCAAAACTGGTGCATGACTTTTGAGAATTCTCAAAAGTTAACTCCACACAGGAGACGGCATTGCGATCTGCTCCACCGACCTTTCAACAGCCGTGCCTCACCCATAACACCGCCGATAGCGGTTTGCACGCCGCAGTGGTGGTGTGACCAGCCCTGTTCACTGAATGGCTTTGTTCAACGGTGCTCTGTTGTGACACTATCAAATGTGACAACAGCAACACTCACCCATAACGCAGCTCATGACGGTTCGTACACCGGAGTGGTTCATCATCTGCTGAGCCGCCATCTCCTCTGGTGTGATGTGCTGCCGTGTGCTGTGGTGTGGCCAGCCCTGTTGACTGAACAGCTGGACTGGAATGTGCTCTGTTGTGACACTATAGAATGTGACTATGCTGCTGCAACACCACTCACCCATAACGCCGCTGATAACGGTTCGCACACCGCAGTGGTTCATCATCTCCTGAGCCGCCATTTCCTCCGGTGTGGGCATCTTGAACGGCGCTTTGGCGGCCTGCGCGTTCCCTGCGTGCGGCTCCGCCGGCGCGCCTCCGCTCGCCTCTGGCGGCGTGGCAGCAGATGAGGCGAGACCGTCGGATTGGGAGGACTGAGAGGACGACATGGCGATCCGACCGTTGATTTGACTGTGTCTGAGGAGCAGCAAAAGCGGACCGTTAGTCTGACCACCTTTGGGTAACCTCAGAAGTCGACAGGACTAGCGAATGCCGTAAGATCGCGCGGGCAAAGCGGGTGAACGAGGGAATGCTGAAAGCGCTGGTCAATTCGATCCGATCGATTCGTAAAAGGGGGTCGAGCGGCTAACGACGGTCTAGATTACATGAAACAAGCACGAGTCGTCGATCACATCGCATTGCGTCGCGTCGCGGGACTGAATCAGGTAATGCGTACACGGGTTTGCGGATCAAAGGGACTGAGCGCCGTAAAAAGGCCTCAGAATCGGTCAGGTTCGGGTAGAATTGGGTGGATCGCAGGCAGATTTGAGCAGTTTCGGGCAGATTCGGGCAGATTTGCTCTAATTCGGGCTGAAACTGGCAGTTCAGGTTTGATCACGGGAAGGTCGTGCGGATCAGGGCTATTGCCTTCTAAGTTGATCGACTTACGACCCACTCAGGTGACCTCTAGTAAGGATCGATGCTGTGAGCCTGTAAATGCGCGGAGTGATCGAAGCACCGCAAGGCGCCCTACTAGTCACTAGAGGCACAGTGAGCGCTGTCTTCAGAAGACAGAAGGCCGCGCGGTCGGTGGCGTGAAATGCACGGAGGAATATGGAGGGTGGAGGCAGTTCAGCGCGGCGGGCGCGGCGGATTCGATGGAGAGATGTCGACTGGGCGACGCGAAACGACGCGGAATGGCGCGGAGCGACGCGGAGTGACGGTTGCGCCGAGTGCGCCTGCCAGAACCAGGAGTCCTGTTCGAGGTGAGTGGGCAAACAAGCAAGGAGGACTTGCGGTTGTGGGTTGGTTTGGTTGGGAGGAGTCGAGGTGGAGGTGGGATCGAGAAATCGATATAAGCAGGAGAATCAAGTTACGTAAAGATGAGGGCTGTGAGCACAGCTACCTTTGATTATCCGCTCTGTAGCGCGTACATCAGTGTCAAATATTTGTTTATCGAAACTGGGAATTCTGTCAGAACCTGGTCTGGTTTTGGGTTTCTCTTCCAATCTGAGCCGTCCGAGAAAGTTATTTTCCAAGAGAAACAAGCATACGACAACCACATCCCAAACCTCGAGATTCCCAACTAGAAATCCCAACGGGCAGCACCTAGGGAATCCCAAAACCAGCCAGACCCCTGGAACAGCAACTTCATGGCATGCCATCATCAACCCTGACCAGCAAGACAAAACCAGGCCTCTCCGCTTTCTCGCTTCCCCTCGTTACACGCGTTACACAGGTAGACAATGGATCGGGTTAACTTTTAGAGAAGGGAAGCTCTTGATTGATGAGCGAAATCTCAGTTAAGCTTGCAGCATCAGCAATTCGTTCGTCGGGGTTTCGAGGTTTTGTCAGGGCTTGCTGAATAAGGATGTAGGGTTTCAAGAACAGTCTTCGATCTTTCACATTATCTTGTTCACTCGTGGTGTTTTGGCGGAAATTTGAGGGCGTTCTTCATTGTTTTTTCCTATAAAAACTCAGGGGGAGGATAAGAAAATTTCAATCTGTAAGCTTCGTGATCTGAAGCCCGCTCTCATCTCCGAAACGACTGTCGGTTAAGGGATTGAACAGCACACAGTCAGACAAGAACAGATGGAAAGGTCGGAAGGGGAAGTGAGAGAGGAGATGAGAGAGGGAGTGAGAGAGGAGGGGAGGACAGGAGCGAAGGAGGGAGAGAGGGAGGATGGGGAGGAGGAATGGCAGCAGGCTACAAGGCAACGACCGCGATCAGGGATGCAGCAGCAGCGCGGAGGGGGAGGAAGAAGAGGAGGACGAGGGGGAAGAGGGGAGGGAGGAAGAGGAGGGAGAGGCGGATGGGGGGAAAGAGGGAGGGGGGAAGGAGGAAGGGGAGGAAGAGGCGGATGGGGGGAAAGAGGAAGGGGGGAAAGAGGGAGAGGGGAAGGCGTAAGAGGTATTGGTGGAAGAGGAGAAGGGCAACGGGGTTCGCAACAGGGGCACAGGCAACAACAGCAGCAGCAGCAGCAGCAACAGGAGCAGCAACAACAGCAGCCGCAACAACAACCACAACAACAACAGCCACAGAATCAGCAACAGCAGGCACAGCAGCAGCAGCAGGCACAAACACAGCAAGGTGTCCCTCCCTCCGCTTGGAATCGCCACGTGTGGGGTCGACCTGTTGAGCAAGCAGTGCCAGCCGCGCAGCAACATGCGACAGCCACCCAGAAAGGTGCGACAGTCGCACAGCAGCAGGCGACAGCAGCAGCGCAGCAGCAGGCGACAACAGCAGCGCCGCAGCAGGCGACAGCAGCAGCGCCGCAACAGGAAGCAACACAACCAGATGCATCAGCGCAACAGCAACAGCAGGCACAGCAGCAGACCCCTCCGTCTGCTTGGAAACGCAACGTGTGGGGTCGGCCAGTTGATCAAGCAGCGCCAGCAGTGCAGCAGCAGCAGGCGACAGCAGTGCAGCAGCAGCAGGCGCCAGCAGTGCAGCAGCAGGCGACAGCAGCAGCGCAGCAAGACTCAGCAGCAGGACAGCAGCAGCAGCAGCAGGCGACAGCACTGACGCTACCAGAGGTAGCAGCGGCGCAGTCACAGGCAGCAACGCACGCGCAGGCCGAAGTGCAGGCACAACAGCCAGCGACGCAAGCACAGGAAAAAACACAAGCGCGAGCAGAAGCAGAAGCGGAAGCACAAGTAGCAGCTGATGCAATGCAAGCAGTGGTAATATCAGCGCTACCCCATGCTGTTCCTCTCGCTGCGTCTGCTTCTCATGTTGCTGTAGCACCTGCTCCTGCTACTCCTCCTCTTACTGCCCCTAGTGTTCTCCCTCCAGTAGCAAATGTAGCCTCTCCTGCTGCTAGTGCTGCCCCTTTTACCTCTGCTTCCCCTCCTCCCTCACAACCCCCCAACACCCCTCCCCAACATACCCCTCCCAAGCACACCCCTCCGAAGTCCTGGGCTGCTCTTCTCGCATCTAAACCTACACCACAACAGCAGCAGCAGCAGCAGCAACAACAACAACAGGAGCAGCACCAGGAACAACATAGTCAGTCTGTCGTTGCTGCTGTACCGTCACCAGCAACAGTCGCAGCAGCTAGTGTGCCTTTGCGAGGCGTTGATGGTGAGAATTGTACAGCCAAATCAGGTGGTGGTATCGCTAATGCTGCCACTGCTGCTGCGGAGCAACCATCAGGAGCAGCAGGAGCAGAGGGAGCAGTGCAAGCATCGCCACCAACAGCAGCTGTACCAGCAGCAGCACCAGGAGCCGAAGCAGCACCAGCATCAGACTTGCAACCGCCACCACCAGCACCAGCAGCAGCAGTTCCACCAGCAGCTACAGCAGCAGTGCCAGCAACACCACCACAAATGCCACCGGCAGCATCACCACAAACACGAACACCCCCAGCAGCAGCAGCAGCACCACCACCACCAACAGTAGTCCCGGTGATATTGGGTTCCCAGCCCCTAGTGGGGCGAGCAGCAGTGCCCATCGCTCCCAGGGGTCTGGTCAACCGAGGCAATCTCTGTTTCCTCAACTCCACTCTTCAGGTACTGCCCCTTCTTGCCCTCATTGCCCATCTTGCCCTCCTTGGCCTCTGCCCTCTGCCCTTGTAGCCCCCATTCACGTGTGCTTGTGCTCTACCACCTCTGGGGGACTGAGCTTTAGTGGGGCGAGCAGCAGTGCCCATTGCCCCCAGGGGTCTGGTCAACCGAGGCAATCTCTGCTTCCTCAACTCCACGCTTCAGGTACCGCCCCTCGCTCCACTGTTCTACGATATTAGCTGCTGCCCCTCTTTCCACCGCGAAAGGGCCCTTGCTAGTTGCCGGACGGTCCCTTCCTTTCAGGTTTCTTTTTCCCATACTTTTCTCACCCAACTTTTCATGATTTGGTATGCAGGCCCTTGCTGGTTGCCCTGCGTTCGCGCATCTCCTAAGGGACATCTCAGCGTCCCTCGCACCACACCTCCTGGTACGTCTGTGGGTAGATGAAGCACTGGTTCAAATTACCCCTCAGCATTCGGTCGGATCCTTTGTTTACTTTTCTCTCCCTCGATCTCCCTCTCTCGCTCTCCCGTCCACTGTCGCCTCTCCCCCCATCTCTCCCATTCTTGAGGCCCCTCAAAATTTGACTTCTGAGACGCCTCAACAGTCTCTCCCTCGATCTCCCTCTCTCACTATCTCGTCATCTGCCGCCTCTCTCCCCATCTTTTCCATTCTCAGGCCCGCCATTCTACTCTAAAAGCACTGGTGGACTTTTGGAAGGAGTTTGAGGTGGCCATCAAGTCGCCCTCCACAGGTTCTGTAGCAGCCGGAGCAGCAGACAGGCTTGCAGGGGCGGCTGTAGCAGGGCTTATTGTGTTTCCCATTCCCTGCATCTGCCCCTTTCCCTTTACCAGGCGCGCCATCCTGCGCTGAAAGCACTTACTGACTTTTGGAAGGAGTTTGAGGTGCCTATTAAGTCGTCTGCCTCAATCTCACTCCCACTACCCCTCCCGTCGCCCTCTCTCGCGCCCGTTCCCAGGCCCATCACCCCACGCTGAAAGCACTTACTGACTTTTGGAAGGAGTTTGAGGTGCCTATTAAGTCGTCAGCTACAAGCTCCGTAGCAGCCGAGAGGCTTGCAGGGGCAGCTGTAGCAGTATCAGCCGCTGTAGCTGGTTCTGCTGGCGCTGCTGCTGCTGTTTCTGCTGCTGCAGATGGGGAGGGCGGGGCTTGGGGGATGGTTGGGGGGAAGGGCGGAGGAAGAGGAAAAGGGGGAAGAGGTTTGGCTGGTGCAGGAGTGGGGGGAGTGGGGGCAGGGGCAGCGGGAGGGAGAGGGGCGGGGAGAGGGATAGCTGGTTCTCCTGCCTCTGCTTCGGTGCCTGCTCCTGCTGGTGCTGGTGCTGCTGGTGCTGCTGCTGCTAGTGTTGCTGGCAGCACACGAGGTGTATCGTTTGCGTCTGCACTGACAGCAACGGCAGCATCAGCAACAGCAGCGGCAGCAGCGACAGCGGCTGGAGCAGAGGGTGAGGAAGGGTTGACAGCGGTGGCAGTGGGGCGAGCAGTGGTGCCGACAATGTTTGAAGGGCTGCTGTCGCAGTTCAACCCGCAGCACCACAGAAACGGGGTTCACTTGAGGTGGGTGTGTGGGGGTGAGTGCGGGCTGTGAGGGGGACAAGGAAGGGGTATTGTGCAGTGCAGTGGGGCGAGCAGTGGTGCTGTCCTTGATTGATTTGAAGGGCTGCTGTCGCAATTCAACCCCCAGCACCACAGGAACGGGGTGCACCTGAAGTGAGTGTGAGGTTTTGCATGGGCCAGGGAGGAGGGACTGGGGAAGAGTGGAAGGGGTGTCGCTCAGGTGCAATGCGGTGAACAGTGGTGCCGTTCGTGTTCGAAGGTCTTCTGTCCTGTCTTTTTTGTCTTCCTCATGTCTTTTTTGCTTGAGTAAAAGGAGGCACAGGAGTTTCCTACCTTCATGACCTGGCTTACCGTTTGGCCCTTTATTTTGCCCTTCTCTTCTATCGATTCTATTTTTATCCCCCCCCCCCCAAAACACACACACACACACACTCTCACACACACACACACACACACACACACACACACACACACACACACACTCTGCGCCAGGCAAGAGGACGCCCAGGAGTTCCTGACCTTTCTGACCGACCGCCTGCACGAGGAACTCGTTAAAGTCACATCTCAGCTTAGTCACAGCAGCACGATGCCAGGAGGGGGAGCAGCAGGAGGGGCAGGCGGAGGAGGGGGAGAGGGAGAGGGAGAGGGTGGAGAGGGAGAGGAGGGGGATCCGGAGGAGTGGCAGACGGTGGGGCCGAAGCAGCGGGCGGCAGTGACGAGGACCCATGCGGTGCAGTCGTCCTGTCTGAGCGAGATATTCGGCGGGCAACTGAGGAGTGAAGTGCGGTCAGCAGGTGAGACTGTGGGGGGAGAGAGCAGGCCCGCAGGTAGGGAGGGAAGGAAGGAAAGAGGCAGTGAGGCAGGGCAGTGACGAGGAACATTGCTTTGGAAGTCATTTTTTAGAATTCTCAAGAGGGTGGGGAAGAAGGGGATTCGGAGGAGTGGCAGACGGTGGGGCCGAAGCAGCGGGCGGCAGTGACGAGGACGCACGCGGTGCAATCGTCCTGTCTCAGCAAGATCTTTGGGAGTCAGCTGAGGAGTGAAGTGCGGTCAGCAGGTGAGTCTGCATTGGGGGTTGTTTTCTTTGTTGAGAAGTGAGGGAGGGATGGAGGCAGGAAAGCAGTGACGAGGACCCACGCATCGGGGGTTGTGCTCCCTCCCCCAACCCCCCGCTGCAGGCAGCAAGCCATCAGCCACGCGGTGCAGCCTTTCTCCCTGCTACAGACAGCTGGACATAGCATTGCTCCTTATGTCATCTCCCTCCCCTCCCCTCCCTTCCCCTTCCCCTCACTTCTGCTCTCCCCACCCCGCTGCAGGCAGCAAGCCATCAGCCACGCGGTGCAGCCTTTCTCCCTGCTACAGACAGCTGGACATAGCATTGCTCCTTATGTCATCTCCCTCCCCTCCCCTCCCTTCCCCTTCCCCTCACTTCTGCTCTCCCCACCCCGCTGCAGGCAGCAAGCCATCAGCCACGCGGTGCAGCCTTTCTCCCTGCTACAGACAGCTGGACATAGCATTGGATCGAATCAGATCTGTGGAGGAGGCGCTTAAAGCCTTTGCTGCACCCATGAACCCTACCGCTTTTCCCTCCCCCACCCCACACACCTGCACACACTGCAGGCAGCAAGCCATCAGCCACGGTGCAGCCCTTCTCCCTGCTGCAGCTGGACATAGCATCGGATCGAATCAGATCCGTGGAGGAGGCGCTTAAAGCCTTTGCTGCACCGGAGGTGGTGGAGGGGTATCGACCCAGCAACGCCAAGGTATCGAACAGAAGAGATACTTTGATGGATAGTGTAGCATAGCATCGGATCGAATCAGATCCGTGGAGGAGGTGCTTAAGCCTTTGGTGCACCCGAGGTGGTGGAGGAGTATCAACCCAGCAACGCCAAGGTGTGTGTGGGGGAGGGAGTGTGTGGGGGGGGGGAGGGGAGGGGAGGGGAAGGGAGTGTGTGTGTGTGAGGGGAAGGGAGTGTATTTGTGTGTGTGAGGGGAAGGGAGTGTATATGTGTGTGCGAGGGGAAGGAGCGTATGTGTGTGCTTGTGACGATGGATGGTCAGTTTTGAAGTCTCAGTGCTCCCCAACGTGCTGGTCCTGCACCTCATACGAATAGCCACGTGTAGCGAGGGTGTTTTTGAGACGTCTCAAAAGTTCTCCCCCACGTGCTAGTCCTGCACCTCATACGGATCTCCTTCTCCTCCCTCCCCCCATCTCGTACCTTCCCTTCCCAGCCCAACCAGACAGTCTTGGCGTCCAAGACAGTGAAAATCTCCACCCTCCCCCACGTGCTAGTGCTGCACCTCATGCGATTCTCCTTCCCCTTCCCCTTCCCCTTGCCGTTCTCCTTCTCCTCCCGTTCTCCTTCTCCTCCCCCCTCCTTCTCGTGCCTTTCTCTCCCAGCCCAAGCAAACAGTCCTAGCATCCAAGACGGTGAAAATCTCCGCCTTCCCTCATGTGCTGGTGCTGCACCTCATGCGATTCTCCGTCTTCCTCCCACTATCCCTCTTTCCACTCCCATACGTTGTGCACCAGCCCAACCAGACTGTGCTTGCATCCAAGACGGTCAAGATATCAGCCCTGCCCCACGTGCTGGTGCTGCACCTCATGCGATTCTCTTTCCCCTTCCCCTCCTCCCTCTCCATCCCTACCCCTACCGTCATCAACAGCCCAACCAGACTGTCCTAGCATCCAAGACGGTCAAGATATCAGCCCTGCCCCACGTGCTGGTGCTGCACCTCATGCGATTCTCTTTCCCCTTCCCCTCCTCCCCCTCCATCCCTACCCCTACCGTCATCAACAGCCCAACCAGACTGTCCTAGCATCCAAGACGGTCAAGATATCAGCCCTGCCCCACGTGCTGGTGCTGCACCTCATGCGATTCTCTTTCCCCTTCCCCTCCTCCCTCTCCATCCCTACCCCTACCGTCATCAACAGCCCAACCAGACTGTCCTAGCATCCAAGACGGTCAAGATATCCGCCCTGCCCCACGTGCTGGTGCTGCACCTCATGCGATTCTCCTTCAGCCACTCCACCGCTGGCAGCGTCAAGATTCACAAACCCGTCTCATTTCCCCTCTCCCTCACTCTCTCCCGGGACCTCCTCTTCTCCTCCTCTCCGTCTGTCGAGGTATGGCCTCTCTCCTTCTCCCTTCCTTCACCCTTTTCTGCGCTTCCTTCTACCATCAAACCCCGCAATCCCGTCTCGTTTCCTCTCTTCCTTATCTCTCGCACGACCTCCTCATTTCCCTCTCTCCCTCTGCCGAGATATCTAACCACTCATGCGGCTCTTCCCCCAGCACCCTCTTTCCCTCTCCTACCCATCACCCTCTGCTTTTCGCCCTAAAGGTTCCCTGGCGCCTCGAAACTGCGGGTAGAGAGAGAGACGACTTCGCCGAAAATCCAGTTTCTCGTCTTCCCTTTCCCCTTTCCCTTGCACCCAGGAATGGTGGTACTCCCTCTTTGCCACTGTAGTTCACCAGAAGGGGATCCTTCCTCAGGTTGTGAGTCAACTCAACACCTCTTTAACCTCCTTTTCCTTCCCTTGCATCACCAGGAACGACGGTACTCCCTTTTTGCAACAGTAGTGCACCAAGGGAGAGACCCTTCCTCGGGCCATTACACTGCCGATGTTCGCCAGCCGGACGGATCCTGGCTTAGATTTGACGACGCACGAGTTTTGTCTGTTCCTGCCAAGCGGGTGCTACAGGAGCAGGCGTATCTGCTGCTGTACCAGAGGGAAGGTGGAAAGCAGTGAGTGGAGCTCATTTAAAGGAGGGAAATCTGTGGAGGTGTTGTAACAAAATGGTGTATCAGTGCTACCACCATTCAAAGAACATCAATTCAATTGTCACTCAGCATGACACACTGAGTAGCCATGTTTTACATGACCAAACTTATGCTGGAGAGGACACAATCTAGTTCTTCACATACCGTAGGAACTGGTAGTGTGTCAGTGAGTAATTTGCTACGTATCAATATCACCATTGAAGGTTTGGTGCAAAGAATGTGTACTGTTTGGTTCTATGTGTTATAACTCTGGATGGATATCAAAGCAAGGTGTTCCGCAATCCCATTTCGAAGCCTACAGCTCAATGGCGGTGATAGGGCGGCGCTTCACGAGTGTACCCCGAGTCCCCCGATCCGACCGACGCAGGTGTCCGCTACTGCACGCCACCCCGCTTGTGCAAGGCAATGAGGGAACCATTGCTATGTACTTGCATGCATCAGGTCTAAAATTGAACTCCAGCGCACTCGAAAACAAGAACCTACCTAAACCGTACTGTATTTAATTCGACCGAAGTAACCGAACCTGTTGTGCAGTCTTGTTTTGGGGTGAAAGGCGCTGGTGTGGTTGGTGGTTGTCGCACGAATTATGTTGTCTATTTCTCGTTTTCAGGACAAAGCTCGACAGCGCTGGAAAGCGAGGATGACGCCACATCAGCAGCATGTTCCGAAATAAAATTCCCAAGAATGTCATAGGCGTCGGTTGGTGAATCGCAGCGATTTACTCCCAAAAAAATCAGCACGTTCTCGACGATCGCTCTAGGATTAGTGATGCCTCGCCGTGTCTCTTCTTATGGCTTGAGATTTACGACGGATACAAGAAGCGTCAACAGTCCAGACTTTTTTCTGAACCAGTAGAAGTTTCTTCGTACTACCACTCGTCAAATTCCGTTTGTCGTTCTGTCCCGTGTTCTACTTAGATGGCGTCACGATTGCCAATCCTAGCAGCGCTGGCTTTCCTCTTCCTCAGCCAAGTCGCAGGCTCTCTCTTACCTTTTCCCTTGCCGATTCCTGTTCCTGGTGTCGGCTCGGGTGGTACCGTATGCACGTGGAAGCAATTCGTTGGGGAGATGAAGCAACTGCGGAAAGCTTTAGCGAAACGGCCGAGGAAGTACCGAGTCATGGCTCTCGTACTGAAACGAGCGATTAAGGAGCTTGGTATGTGTCCTGGTTCATTTTACGCTTTCTACGGTATATGCGGACCTAAACAAATGGAAATAGTTTCTTCCCCTTGTTCTGCTTTGTGCTTGTGAGTTGGATTTCCAATTCAACTGGGGGAAGTGGTTGTGATATTTGCTCATCCTTAAATCCTCCTCTTTACTGCTTTTCCGTTCTATGCAGAGGGCGACACATCAGCACCTGGAGTTCCAACAGCCACATTTCTTATCCCCACCAACCGTGGGATTGTATTGGCGGGTTTAAATCCCCAGAATTTATGGGGTCTAATCACCGGCTCTAAGAAGGTCGGGGATATAGTAAAGGTGAATACAATTCCAGGTTCCTATAGCTACTCTACATTCATGTCAACTCCAAAAGGAACAGGAATACATACAATGCATTCTAAGAAGAAAATAGCTAGATACGAGGGGTCTGATGGGCTTGCAGGTTGGACGGGGACAGGGACGACCCTGGGCGTAGTGGGCTTGGGCAGACGTGCTGAGATAATAACCAAAGATGTGTTTAAAGGGCAGTGTGTTGTTGCACAAGGTGTCAGTAGAGTTCTACAACCAGAGTAGTGATAGTGGAGGGCATTGGGCAAACCGTAGCTGAGTTCTGAACCCCTGTAATGAGCATAATGTAAGGTGGTGGCTGTAACTCAAGCCCGATAGAGCCTCAAACTTTAGCTTACCACTTGAGGTCTGTGAATGGTATAAATGAAATATAGACGAATTTAGATAATTTGTAACACAAATCGGTCAGGGCGAGAGCCTGTTCGTTTCTTGGGTTCGCTGCTGCCTATTTCCTTCGCGACATTGCGGGTTTGATCTACACCACGAGCCGCCAGATTGCTTCCCTCCCTTTCTCCAGACCCTTGATTTCTCCACCTTCCTTTCTGACCCGCAAATCCCAAGGCTCACCTTTTCTCTGCCAGCCTCTTGAGACCTTTCAGTCTCTGGCGTTTTCACTGACTGGCTACTATTTTCTACGTAGTGCGTCGCTTTATTATGGTCCCTGATTCCGGACAACTTGTAGAGATAATTCGATGTCGCTTTCAGGAACCCTTTCATTGCTGTATTCCGTCGGTGGGTAACGTCACCTGGACTGTCCTAAGATATCGCGCTCAACGCTCCAGGCTCGCGGCTGTTTTTTAGGGCTCGAGCGGTTGCGTACGGATAGATGTTATATGTCTATTTATTAACATAGGGTTCTCTTTTGCGATTCGATGTCTTTTGAGATTCTCTCGACACTCCTACTTACCATACCCCTTACTATTCTCACACATTCCGCTGAAACTCTGAGATTGTATCGTAGGTAGTTCCTAGCCCTGTTCTTAGTCCTAGCTCCTACGTTCCGGCCCACCAGCATCTGCATGCCTCCTCTCCTTCATTCGAGGCGCGCGTCCCAGCCAGCTAGGTCGCGCGAGCGCACATTAGCCAGCAGTAGGCGCGCGCGCGCCACTGCAGTCTAGAACGCACGCCACGGCAGAGCGAAAGCAGCTGCTGCTACGCACGCGGCGTCCGCGCACGCAGCGAATAGGCCCGCGCGCAGCGAGCAGGCGCGTACGCGACATCATCCGCGCACGCACAGCTGCAGTCGCGCATGTAGGCAGCACACATTGCTGCAGCAGCTCATAACCGAACACACAGCTGCCAACCGAACCGCCAGCAACTGCTCATAACCTCTCACAGCCTCATAGCCGACTTTTGGGACGCCTCAAAAGTCGCATTGCTGCAGCAGCTCGCGCACACACAGGTGCCAACCGCCGGCAACCGCTCATAACCTCCCACAGCCTCATAGCCTGCCACAGCACCCTCCCAGCCGCCATAGCGCACACTCCTGCCACTGCATCAGCGCGCCTTACCTGCCTACGGTTCGTCCTTGCAGCCACCAGCTTTTTGAGGCGCCTGAAAAATCGCCTTAGTTTTTGAGGCGCCTCGAAAATCGCCTTAGTTTTGAGGTGCCTCACAAACAGCGCACCTTACCTGCCTACGCTCCGTTCTTGCAGCTACCAGCCGTGTCTATTGTCGCCAACACGCCTAAAAGTGATCACATTTACCAGCACAAACTATTACTGCCCGATACCTACCGTCCTTTTTGAGGCGCCTCGAGTTTCGCTCCGTCCTTACAGCCACCAGCCGTGCCCACTGACTCCAACACGCCTACTACCGATCACTCGAACCAGCACAGACTGTTAACAGCCCGCCCGATACCTACCATCCGCATTGACCCCCCTCTCGCAATGTCTCCTGCGTCAATCCCTAGTCACCAGCCGACGTCCTCGGTAATAGCAGACCCAGAGCTTGCGGGAAGAGTTCAGCAAATGACGGCCAGCGTGGCGGACCAGATTGTGAAGGACTCCGCGATTCGTGCGAGCTACGCGGAGATGCGATTGGTTGTACTGGAGAAATCGCTGGGGTCTGTCAAAGACCAAGCAGCTTCGATGCTGGAAAGAATGCAACTTAAAGCCGACGTTAAGGTGAGGTATTTCGTATAATGATTCCTGGTGCGTTAAACCACATCTATTTTGTTCGAAAGAAAACGCAGGGGTCTGTGAAGGGGCAGGCAGCTTAGATGATGGAGATAATGCAGCAGCTTAAAGCCGACTTCAAAGTTACCTTGTTTTCGTACGTACGACCCATACACGTTTGCTTGCTCTTCCCAAACTGAATATCTCTTTCGTCCCCCGTTCCTCTCCAACGTTCTGTTGCCATTAGACTAAGCAGCTCCAGCAGGAGCTGGTGGAGAAGAAGAAGTAGGCAGAGGTCCTAGAGTTTATTTTCTATGCGCCTCAAAAATAGATTCCCAAACTGGATTTCCCTTTGCTCTTTTTTCCTCTCCAACATTTTTCTGACAACAGACCAAGCAGCTGCAGCAGGAGCTGGTGGAGAAAAAGAAGCAGGCAGAGGAGCTAGAGTCTATTTTTCCTGAGGCGCCTCAATAGTAGATTGCCCTTTGCTCCCCGTTTCCTTCCCAACATTTCGCTGACAACAGACCAAGCAGTTGCAGCAGAAGTTGGTGGAGAAGAAGAAGCAGGCTGAGGAGCTGGAGGCCAGACTGAAGACACTTGAAGCACAGTCCGCAGCAGCTGCACCAGCTGGAGGCGCTACTACTACCCTTCCTCTTGCCACCGCCACCACCACCGCCGCTGCCACTGTTGCTTCCGCCATCCCGGTCGCCTCACTATCCACCCGGCCTGCACCGTCCCCAATCAAGCTGCTTCATTCCAGTAGCTTTGGAGCAACAGGCACGTCTGGCTTGGCCCTGCGCCTCCCTTCCTTCTACTCCCTCGGAGCCCCGCTTTCCCCGACCGGACGGGGAGGCTCGGCGCTTGGTTCGGGGGCCGGCAGGCTCGGGGCGGGGGTTCCTGGTTTGGGAGGGGGAGGAGGAGGCATGGGTGTGGGAGGAGGCATGGGCAGAGGGCACAAAATGGTAATCCATAATAACAGCCTCAAAGTATCAACTGACATCACATCCTCTAACGTCTCTTCCCCCATGCTGGGTCAGGGTGTGAGAGAGGGTGTAAGAGACGGACAGGGGGCAGGTAGAGGGATGGGTCATGGGATGGGGCCTAGCATGGGTGCTATGGGTCCTCCTGGGTTGGGGTCTGGGCTGGGCCATGCAGGTAGGGGAGGGGGCAGCGGAGGGTCATTGACATTAGGGTTTGGTCGAGGGGGGATTACTCCTGCTGTGGCTGCTCTCTCCGGAATGCCGACCACTCCTGCTGATCCTTGTGAGGCGTTTCCAAGCAGTCGCAGTGATGGCAATGCGAGCGGCAGTGGTGGATTCGGTGGAGATTCTTCGACGCGGGTTGCTCTGTTTACCTCTCAGGACGACGGGTGGGCAGGCAGGGATGGATCGGGCCAGTACGGTTCTGGTTCTGGTGGTGCTGGTGGTACTGGTGGTATTGGTGCTGGTGGTGGTGAGGCTTGGCTGGGAGATGGAGCAGTGACAGTGCCTGTGGAAGCTATAGACAACACCACTTACCTGACTTGGGCTGCTCAACGCCAGCACACTCGCAGCTACAGCCTGCATCTCGTAGGCAGCGGCGTGCCTCCCCCTCCTCCCTCTCCCCTTCCTCCTCCTCTTCTCCCACCTCCTCTTCCCCCCTCTCCCCTTCTTCCTACGAGCTCTATCCAATGGCCTTCTGCAACGATCCCTTCCTCTGGCACGTCTGGTACTATTCCTGCTGCCACTCCTGCTGCTTCTTCTGCTGCCGTTTCTGGTGTTCGGGCAGCAGCAGTGGCTGCAGGCGCGAGGGTTCTAGGCTCCTCCGCGACCCTTCTTCCCGGGGGGGGTAAATCCGGCCCCTCGTCCCCTGCTGTGATTCCCCACCCCTGCGCTCTCGGGTTTGTGACTGTAGACGACGCCCCTCTGGACGCTTTCAATCCCCCTCCTCCCCAGCAGCAGGTGCCGTCCCCGAATCCAGTTCCTCCCCACCCTCACGCGCTTGGCTTTGACTCTGCTGTCGACGCCACTCGGAAAACACTGGAGCAGTCGTTTCAGAGGGAAAGAATGGCTCAAAGCGAGGCCTTTCAACGAGAGACGCTTCAAGGAGAAGGGGAGGGTTATGCGAGGGAAACGGCGTTCGAATCCGAAGTGGGGTTTGATGGGCAAACAGCGTCTCGGACGGGGGGGTTTCAGAGGGAGGGTGCTCTCCCTCCTCCCCCCCGCCTGCTTGGCTCTGTGCTTGTAGCTGATGCTTCGCTGACGGCAGCAGCGAGTGGGGCGGGGGATGCTGGCTGGTACGGGGCGGCAGCAGCAGCATCGGCAACAGCACCGGCATCAGCTTCGGCATCAGCTTCGGCATTAGCTTCGGCATCAGCAGCGCCAGCTGCCATCCCAGTCTCTTCTCCCGTAGCAGTATGGCACAGCAATGGTAGTCGTTTAGTAGGGCCCATGGACATGGCTGCTGCGGCTTCTGCGGCTGCTGCTGCCGTAGAGGCAGAAACAGCCAGTGCAGTCCTGCCTGTAGCAGCAGGAGTGGCTGTGGCGCCAGTAGCAGGAGCAGGAGCAGTAGAAGCAACAGGAGTGGCAGTGGCGGCTGTAGCAGGAGCAGCAGAAGCAGCAGGAGTGGTGCAGGCAGCTGTGGTTTCGAAGGGTGGAGAAGGAATGGGTGCTGTGGCAGGGGAGAATGGAGCTGCTGTGCCGAAGGCAAGGGAAGACAAAGCAGTAAGCGAAGGAGGAGCAGGAGACGCAGGAACAGTGGGAGGAGCGGGAGGAGAGGGAGCACCATTAATGGCACCAACGGCACCAGCAGCAGCAGCAGCTGCAGCAGCAGCAGCAGCAGCAGCAGCAGAGGCAGCAGCAGCAGGGAGGGTCTCAGGGAAGAAAACGAACTCGGTTGCTGCTCCTGTCACTGAGAGTGCTGGTGTTGTTGCTAATGGCACTGCTGCTTCTACCATTGGTGCTGCTGGTGCTGGTGGTGCTGCTGGTGCTTTTGCGAATGGTAACGCAGATGCTGCTGCTGGTGGTAGTGGTGCTGCTACTGCGGCGGTTGGGAGTGCTGTTAAAGCACCAAGGAAAACCCTTAAGGAATCAAGCCAGGTGAAAGCACAGGCCTCTACGGAGGAGGATGAGGAGGAGCGTGAGAAGGGTGTGGAGGGTGAGGAGGGAAAGGAGATGGATCCAGCTGAACTGCTTCTTGCGGCTGCTGCAGTGCAGGGTTTGGCTGGAGAGGAGGAGAATGGAGGGGAGAGAGAGGAGGAGGGAGAGTGTGGAAGGGAGGGGGACGGAGAGGGTGAGCATGGGGATGCGAATGAGGTGGAGAGTGAGGAGGATGAGGGGCGGGAGGATGAGGAGGAGGAGGAAGAGGAGGAGGAAGAGGAGGAAGAGGAGGAGGAAGAGGAGGAAGAGGAGGGGGACGAGGAGGGAGGGGAGGAGGATGAACAAGTGGGTTATGGAGACAGTGAGGAGGGAGAAGAGGGAGTGGGCGAGAGAGAAGAGGGAGAGGAGAGAGAAGAGGGTGGGGGACCAGAATTCGCGACAGAGGAGGAGACAAGCAAACAGGAGAAGCAAGGTGGTGAACTGCTGGAACTGCTGCTGATGGGTGTTGCTGAGATAAGCAAACAGGAGACGGAGAAGAAGGAGGAGGAAAAGCAGGAGAAGGAGGAGGGGAAGGAGGCGAAGGAGGGGAAACAGTCTAGGTGGCGACACCAGAGACGGAAGCAGAAAAGCTCAGCAGTAGCGAGACCGGAAGCTGACATGAGTCACATGACAACCGCAGCAGGAGAAGCCGGTGCAGCTGAACCGAGAAAGGCAGAAGTCAGAGGCTTGAAAGGGCAAGCAGCAGAAGCTGGAGCAGCTGTGGGAGCATCATCAGCTGCTGCAGCCCACAAGGGAAGTGAGGAGAGAGGAATTGAGGAAGAGGCCTCAGGAGGACACGGGGCAGTCAGGCGAGAACCTGTGAAGCGGGCTGTGCAGAGGAAACGCACAGACACGGCAGGGGGGGTTGGTGACAGCAACAAGGTGGGGGGGGTTGGTGACAGCGGTTCAAAGGCACCTCAGAACAAGATGGCGCAGGAAAAGACGCAACAGGCTGGGGGTATCGGAGATGGTAAGTTAGGGGTTTCTCGGGAGCACAAGGTGGGGCGCTTTTCGGCAAAACGAGTTTCGAGCCCCTCAGATGGCCAGGGTGATGCTGGTTACCACACTGGTGTTACCAGTGGTGGTAATGCTAACCCAAAGATTAAAAGCCCGAGCCAGGGCAGGGGAACACGAGGGGGGAGGGTGGGGGCAGGGATTGACCGGGTCAAGGCAGGAAGGGGGAGGGGACGGGGGAAAGGACGGGGTGGTGGTGAGGGTGGTGTTGATGGTGCTGCTGCTGGTGCTGTGGCTGGTGCTGCCGAGGTGACGAGTCTAAAACAGATGGGGAAGTCTAGTGCTTTGACTGAATCAGCACCTGTGGACATTACAAGAGGTGATTCACGAGGAGAGAAAATGGGGGGTAAACGAATGACTGCTGGTTCCAAAAGGAAGAGGGGCGGGATGGTTTCAAAGGAGACTGGCATGCAGGAGGGCAAAGAGGTGACGGCAGTGGTGCGGACTTTTGAGGCACCTCGAAAAACGCAGGAGGAGGAGGAGAGGGAGGCTATGGTGCTGCAGATCTTGCGTGGTCAGGGAAGCATCAAAGGGAAAGGGAGTGTGGTGAAGCGGCAGGTGAGTGTATCGAGTATGGAAAAGTGTGCAGCGAAGGGGGAAAAGAGTGCGATTGGGAAGAAACGAGGCAGAGGCAGTGAAGGGGAGGCAGAAGGAGAGGTAAAGGGGGTGGCAGATGGGAAGGAGATGGTGAAAGATGCGGAGTTGCCAGGGGAGGAAATGGAGGAAGGGGAGGAAAGGGAGGGAATGGAGGAGAGGGAGGAAGGGGAGGAAGTGGAGGAGAGGGCGAAAGGGGAGCCTGAAGGTGTTATTAAGCAGAAAGGGGATAAGAAGGAGGTCGGAGAAAAGGGGAGACAGCAGCTGGGGCAAGGTTTAGGGCTAGGGACAGGGCATGGGGAGAGGCATGGGGAGGGGTCTGGTGAGCAGCAAGGGGAAGGGGATACGCCTGCAGCAAAGAAGCAGAAAGTAGGGGTGGAGGCAGCGAGAGGAGTTTCATCTGGGGAAGGAACTGTTCTTCTAGGAGGTATTGTAGGAAGAGAGGGGACAATGGCAGATGGAGTGGGGGAGCGGGAGGTCAAGGCGAAAGAGCAGGGAAGAATGGAGGGAGAAGAAGGGGAGAAGGCAAGTAATGTAGCAAGAGAACGAGGTGTAGAGAGTGAAGAGAAGACAGTGAGTATGAGTGGTCTTCCTGCTGTTATCAACGCGAATAGTGGCAGAGGAGAAGGAACAGAGGCGGGAGTAGGGGAAAGGGCAGGGGCAGAGGTAGGGGCGGGGGCGGGAGCGGGGGGGGCCGGGGCAGGAGCAAAAATAGGAGCAGGAGGAGGGACAGGAGCAGGGGATAAGGAAAAACGTACTGTAGCAGATACAAGGGATGTGGTGAAGGAAGGAGCGGGGAAGGGAGGAGGAAGTGAGTATGCGAGAGGTGAGGGCCGTGCAGAGAAGGGTGATGCTTGCAAACAGTTGAAGGAGGTGGGAGGAGGTGAGGAGGGGGGTGCAGAGGGGAAGGCAGGTGGGCATGTGGATGGGGAAGGGGAAGGGCATAGAGATGGGAATAGCGATGCGCATGTGCATGGGCATGGGGATGGACGCAAAGTAGAGGAAGAGCAAGTAGAGGAAGAGAATGATTGGGAGGAAGATGAGGAGGAGCATGGTTGGGGGTATGAGAAGCAGGAGGAAGGAGACGAAGAAAAAGGGGAGGAGAATGATGAAGGAGAGGATGATGGTGATGAGTTGATGAAAATGGGAGATGGAGATAAGACGGATGGCCAGGAAGCAGCAAGGAAGGAGGGGCAGGAAGCAGGGAAGGAAGCGGTAACAGAAGTAGCAGAGACTGGGCTAATGGCACTCGGGCAGCTGGGAAAATTTCTCTCAAAGTCCATTACCGCTGCTTCTACTGTAGGGAGTGCAGCTGCGGCTACAGCTGGTTCTGCTGGTAATGATGGGATGCTGGCCACAGCTGCTGCAAACAGAAATACAGGTGGAGAGAACCAGAGGGGAGGCAGGGGAGGAAGCAGTGGGAGGGTTTTGAGCAGGGGGCGAGGGCGGGGCGCTGGTGGGACTGACCGCGGGGCGAGGGGAGGAGGTGGACGGATGGGGAGAGGAGGGAGGGGGGAAAGGGGGGAGAGAGGGGGGCGTGCTAGAGGGGGAGGTGGCAGAAGAGGTAGGGGAGTGGTTACTGGTGCAGGAATCGAGGCTGTGAGAGACTTGGGGGAGTTGAGAAACAGTGGGGAAGCGGGGGACGGAGCGGGGAGGAGGGCAGAAACTGAAGGAGTGGCAGGGGTGGGAGCGTCAGATGGGCGAATGTCGTTAGGAGCAAGGGCGGCGGATGGGGTGGGGAGCAAGAGAGGAGGAGAACATTCAGGAGGAGGGGAGAAGGGAGATGGTGAGCGTGGGTCTGATGCAGGAGGAGCAGGGCAGGAGGCAGGGATAGGCACTCGGCACAGCCAACGGCTGGGAGGCAGGCAGGTGGGCTTTTCAGGGATGGGTGGGACAGTGGGGTTAAAGGAATCATCTAAACGTTATATCTCATATACCGATCTGTTTTCTCCCGTTTGTCCCCACTCCGTTCTTTTCATTCACATAATCTATGTTCCAATCTGCATCCTGCTGTGTTGCTCTGTTACGCATTGCAGGTTTCGGGCAGATGGAGCAGGAAGTACGATGGTTGACTTTTGACTCTGTTTAACCACATGAGTGATTTATGAGTGTGTGTGTGTTTTATTTTAAATGCATTGAGCACTATATATACAGCTGGGAAGCATTGTGTGGGTGTGTGTGGGTCAATAAGCTGATAAAACTAGTGAATCAATGTACGGTATGAAAGCTACCATGATTTTAATCAAAGCATTTCCTAGGTATCTTGCACAAAAATCACAGCTGAAACCAAGAGGAGAAATGACGTTCCCCTTTATAAGCGAGGTGAGCTGGGTTGAATGGTCCAATCAGTCACTGGTCGTGAGGTAGGTCAGCTGATTTCGTCTCCAGCCTTCCAATCCAACCGACGCGGTCCAGTCACAGCGTCGCGAATCGCGTTCCTTGCCTTGATGGCGAGCTGGGTTTTTCGAAGGGGATTGGCCAGTTCTAACGACTTCTTCGCGAATAGCGTCGAACGTGTTCTGGTCAGACAGACCAGAAATTTCCAGATGGAAAAGATAGGACGACGACGTTGACTGGCAAGTGTGCTGGCAAAGGTGAGGTTGGGGGAGCATTCCAGCGCCGTGTCAGCCTTGGAAATTGGGAGGGCGGGACGGAGAGAGAGAACGGCGGGCTGGCACGGGAAAGGCCCGAATTCTTGATTGGACAACGAGATGACAATGACGATGACTAGCCAATGGAACACCGACATTACGTGGGCGCCCACAAGGTGTGGGCGCGGTTTGGCCTGGTTGGGAGGGGGAGGGGAAACCGGGGGCTGGACAAAATGTCCAACTTTTCCAGTTATGACGTCATGTCGGCCCGTTAGTGACGGACTGTCTCACCCACCCTCCCCACTTTCCTCCGCCCTTCCCTTACCGGTCCGTCGAAATTTGTTTGACGTGTACGATTTCTTTCCGTTATCCACCGCCCTTCTCTCCTTCCCAGGTGTCGTTTCTTTGCGCTGCCCTGATTCCCCCCACTGCCCGCAGCCTGCCCCTCGTCCCCTGAAACGCCTACATACTGTACATTTCACCCGCCAGCCGACCATTGCACATTTATCTTCTTGGCGTTTCACGTTTCCTTCTCCCCCCATCCCCTTTTTCCCCTCCCCGCCCACAAATTCCTGCTCGCCACCGAAATTCCCCGCCATCCACCCCACCACACGCATCCCCCCTCCCTTCCCCCCCCCCCCCACCCAGCAGCAGCACTCGGGATCGCGTCCTTCGATCTCCGTTTTTCGCATCGCGCCGCGTGTTCGCATGACATTTGGTCAACCTCATCCTGACCACCTTCCAGTCAACTGCACGCAACAAACCTCAGGACCCTCCCCTCCCCTCCCCCTGCTCCTACTGCTGCAGTTCCTCCTAGCGCTGCTGCTGAAACATGTTTCGCCGAGCAATAAATCAGCAGAGAACGCCCCCTTCGCGTCAATAATTTCGTCTCTAGCAAGTCTTTCAAACGCGTCGTTTCCTAGTCCCTCGGCTATCTCAACACGCACACGCTGTTGTGATTGGACTTTACGAACGTGACGCTGAGATTACTCCAATCCCCGCAGCAGAACAGCTGCTCCGTTCGCGAGGCGATTGACTAAGAGGAGAAATTAGAGAAACCGTTCTGTACTAACTGATTTAGGCGAGGCGACTTTCCACTCGAATAAAAGTCTTCCGTCAAATCGACTCCATGGTTGATTCACTTCGTTCCTCTTCCTCTCATACACACTCATCGCCCACGAGCGCTTTTTCCTTCCACCGCACTGCACCCGTTACAACCGGCTCCAACGACGTCACTCCGACGATGACGGCCTGCCTTCGACGCGACTCGCAAGCGAACGCCTGGACGCAGCAGCAACCGCAGCCGCCATCGCAAGCGTCGCATCCGCCGTCGCATTCGTCGCAAATGGGTCGCACGGCAACGGAAACAGTCGCACGCGATGCTTCGAGACCGTTCGCGACGACTATGCGATCGTCCGCGTGGCCCCACTCCCCACTCCCGACAAATCTTTCTGCAGCCGATTTTCTCCATCTGCTGAGCCCCAGCGTCGCAACCTCCACCCTTGGATCAAATCCCGCCGCCTCACGAGGGCCGTACACGTGTCGCAAGTGCGAGCAGCGCTACCCCTCGCTGCACGCGCTCAGTCTTCATTACAAGAACGCCCACGCGTCGCCAGGCTTCGAAGGCGCCGTAGAAGGCGCCGCTGATTGCGCCGTACAAGGCGCTAACTCAGCAAATAAACGCATGGCGAGACACAAAACCCTTTCCGCAGCAGCAACGGCGGCAACGACGATGGCGACAGCGAAAGCGAAGGCGACGACGACCGCGAAGGCGACAGCGACGGCTGCGAAAGCCAGCGCACTGAAGGCAGCTGCGATGCGACTATCGACACGCGAAGATGGAGGTGTTGCGAGCCGCTCCGCCGCTGAGAGGCACACGAATCTTGTCGACGCGCTCCGGGCGTGTAAGCGATCTGCCATGAAGTCCCGGATACCTGCTGCGCTGGCTGCGCCGCCGGCTGCGGCGACGGCTGCGGCGACGGCTGCGGAACCTGCGTCTATGGTGGCGGGTGCGGCGCCGCCGCCTGCGGCAACGGGTGCGGCGACGGCTGCGGTGACGGTTGCGGCGACGGGTGCGGCGACGGGTGCGGCTGCGACGGAAGCAGCACCGGCGTCGACGACGGGTATTCCGCGATGCGGAAAGCGAGCTCGCGACAATTCCAGCGTGAAGGTTCCTGGAGCTTTCGCGTACGCCGTCAACCCTTCTTCTCGCGCCGCTAAGAAAGTCGCGCGTCGGTTCTACGCCTTAATCGACGCCGCAACTGCCGCCGCAACAGACGCCGACGACCTCGCTGAAGCTCCCATACTGGAATCGTCTTTTGCGGAACGTGCGCTCCTGCCACGCGTCACCAGCGCCGCGGATTGCGGCGCGGATACGGCCGTCGACGCAGCAGCAGCTCTGGTGGAGCTTAAAACCACAAGCAACGGATCACCTCCCTCCTTCCCCTCCTCTCCCACCAATCCCTCTTCTCCCTCTCCTTCCTTTTCCACAACTCCTCCCTCCCCCGTTTCTCTCGCCTCCACCATTTCCCACGCGGTTTCTGCCTCGTCCCCCGTCAACACGGCCGTCAGGACCACTTCTGACGGCCAAGGACCACCTTTGCCACGTGTGACGTCGTCATTGGCGGCGGCGTCTCCCGCCACGTCAGCAGTCACAGGAACCCGTCGTGCTGCTGCTGCTGCATCTCCCGCGCAGTCCAATGCTGGGAAGTTTCCATCATCCGCTCAGCCTGAGCTAATCGAATCTTCTCCAGCGCACTCTTTCAATTCCGCAGCCGTGCCTCTTGCGCTACAGCTGTCAGCTGCCGCGGATGCTCTCCGGGCCTCTGCTTCGGCAACCAGACCTGCAGGCTCGGCAACAGCCGCCGCTGGTGGCGCAGGTTCGGAATCAGGTGGAGGAGCGGAGACTGAGCTTCGGAGCACTCTGATTGCGGTTCTGCTAGACCGGCTAAGTCAGCTTGCAACAATGTTACCACAAACACCGGCATCTAATGCTCAAATGGAGCAGGTTCAACAAGAGAAACAGATGCAGCAGATGCAACAGCAACAGCATGAGACAACCTCAGGGCTGAAGAGACTGCCGGAAACTACTTTGCAGCTCCAGCCTCCTGGTGCTTCTTCCGATAATTACACTGACAATTGCGCTGACAATACCGCAGAAAACAGCACCATGCATTGTGGCGGGGAGTGGGTGAGAGCCGCGTCGAGCTCTTCAGCTGTCTTCCCCTCCTCTGGGAGTTCAACTTGTGAAAATATCAAGGATTACGCAACTATGAATTATGGAGTAGATTTGGAGCTACGTCTATGATTAGGAGAGTGTATTTTGTAGTGTAGCTTAGCAGCAACCTAGGGTTGTCGTGTAACACACTCTAGTCTGTGTTCAGTCTTTGGCTGAGCTGGAGGAGGGGCTAGGCCAGGGCTCTTGGTTAGAGCCCTTGTTCATGGTTATCTGATCTGCTGAGAGCGTTTCACTAGTTGTACAATTGTGTTGTATGTAGCATTCCTGAATCTACTGTGGTCAGTGTGGCAATGTCTACAGAGGACTCCTTAGTTCCGACAATTCTTTGAAACCTTGGCTGAGAGATGTTAAAATACTACTTGCAAAACACAGTAATACACGAACCCCTCTGCATCACGCCTTGGCTACTAATAGAATCCTCAATCTTGTTGCTTTCAGTCCGGACAAAACGGTAGCAATAAAATAACAGTGCCTATATTTGAACACCATCCAGGCCTGCTGCTGAATGAAAGCTGGCACCCTCCTTGGCCTCAACCCGTTGCTTTGAGTCTACCTCCCTTTCTGAGCCAACTCAGAAGTGTCCTATCTTTGAACAGCGTTCAGGCCTGCTGCTGAATCCGCACCAGCATCCTCCTTTGCCTCGACCCGTTGCTTCACTTCTCCGCCACCTAATTCCCCTCTCCCTTCTCCAGCACCAGCAGCACCAGCAGCGCCAGCAGCGCCAGCAGCGCCAGCACCGGCATCACCACCAGCATCGGCACCGGCATCAGCGGCAGCACCAGCAGCAGCTCCACCAGCAGCGGCACCACCATCGGCAGCATCAGCAAGAGCAGCACCAGCAGCGTCGGCTTCATCCAGAGCAGCCTCAATTCCCGCATCGTCTTCCTCTATGCCCCCCACTGCTGCTGCTCCATCAGTCACCTTCTTTATCGCACTGCCACGGCCACCACCACCACCAGCAGCAGCAGCACCAGCACCACCACCATCAGCACCACCAGCAGCACCAGTTGCACCACTGACAGCACCAGCAGCACCAGCTCCATCAGCATCAGCAGGGACAAAGTCAGTGTGACGGGGAGTGATCTTGATTGGGTGCGCCTCAGTGTTAATGACCCACTTGTCCAGATTCAGTGTATCATCCGGCGAGAAGAGCAGGTAGAGGTACTTTAGCGTCTCTGCTAAAAAGAAGCTCTGCTGCATGTTGTCCTGTGGAGGGGGATTCTTCCCAGCCTGATAGAGAGGTGGAGAGGGGTGGAACAGGGTGGAGTGGGGTGAAGAGGGGTGGAAAATGGTGGAGGAGGGTGAGGGAAATAAGACAAATGCTAAGGCGAGAAGAGCAGGTAGAGGTACTTTAGCGTTTCGGCTAAAAAGAACCTCTGCTGCATGTTGTCCTGTGGAGGGGGGTCCCTCCCCGCCTGCGGTAGAAAGGGTGGAGCAGGGGCGAAGAGCGGTGGAGAGGGTAGAGAAGGGCGAGGACAAATGCTAAGGCGAGAAGAGCAGGTAGAGGTACTTGAGCGTCTCTATCAGAAAAAGGTCTGCTGCATATTGTCCTGTGGAGGAGGGTCCCTCCCCGTCTGGTGGAGTGGTGGAGAGGGGTGGAGCAAGGTGAAGAAGGGTGGAGTGAAGTGGAGTGGGGTGAAGAGGGGTGGAGAGGGGTGAAGGGTGAGGGATATGAGACTTCTGCTAAGGTTAGCTAGCATCAAGAAGAGCAGGTAGAGGCACTTGAGAGTCTCTGCCAAGAGAGAGCTAATCTTCAACGCTTCCAAATCAAGCCTCCTGAACTGAACCTCAAAGCAGTGCTTCTCAAACGCCTGCCAGATCTTCCATCCCTCCTAACCACCAAGCCCCATGAACCCATATACCCGTTATAAGCTATGATGCATTAAAGTGAATAAGCACTCACATCCTCAAGCCCAACATATCCTGCTTCCACGCGACAATTCTTCTCAAAAGCCTGCCAGATCTTCCACCCCCACTCGCGGTACATGGGGTCCTTAGTTGCCCGCCACGAGTACCAGATCGCCTCCACTGCCTCTGGTCGTAGGATGTTATATACTCTGCCCTGGAGATGTGGTCCCTGTGAGAAAGGCACAACACAGTATACAGAAACCAGCAAAAGGAAACACAACTGAGAAAAAACGAGCAAAATCCGGGGCTCTTGGGTCCTTGGGAGCAGATCTTCCACCCCCACTCGCGGTACATGGGGTCCTTGGTGGCCCGCCACGAGTACCAGATCGCCTCCACTGCCTCTGGCCTCAGGATGTTGTACACTCTTCCCTGCAAGTGCGGGCCCTGCAAGAAAGGACCATCACAGGGAGAGAAGGCAGAAACACAAAAAAAAGGAGCAAAAAAACGGGACTCTTGGGCCGTTGGGAGCAGCAAGAAGAGCTGCAGATCTTCCACCCCCACTCGCGGTACATGGGGTCCTTAGTTGCCCGCCAGGAATACCAGATCGCCTCCACTGCCTCTGGCCTCAGAATATTATATACCCTGCCTTGGAGATGGGGGCCCTGTAGGTAAAGGGAAAGAACGCACGCATCCAGGGCACAGGAGGGGGGCAAGGAGCGGTACATGGGGCCCTTGGTGGCCCGCCACGAGTACCAGATGGCCTCCACTGCTTCCGGTTGCAAGATGTTGTACACCTGGCCCTGCAAGTGCGGGCCCTGTGGGTTTGCATCCGTAGTGGCCCGCCACGAGTATCAGATCGCCTCCACTGCTTCCGGTTGCAAGATGTTGTACTCTCGGCCTTGGAAATGGGGGCCCTGAGGTAAACAAGCACAGACACTAAGAGTACAGGAGGGGGGCAAGGGGTGGAACATGGAGTCCTTGGCGGGCCCTGAAGGAAACAAACCAAACACACATCTAGAGTACAGGAGCGGGGGAAGCAAAGAGGAGGTTTTGCATCCTTGAATAGGAGGAGTGGAAACATCCTCTGCTCACATCAGAGTGGAAGTTGCAGTCCTCTCGCCAGCCAGCTTGGACGGGGTGCTGTTGCTGTGAAACGCCCCCCTGCCACAACTGGAGTGCTGCATTATAGCACTCCAGCCAGCTTTGGACACCCCCTTACCTTACATCATTATGGAAGTTGTAGTCCTCGCCAGCCAGCTTGGACGGAGTGCTGGTGTAGCTATGTTTACCATGGCAAGCTGTAAATTATGAGGTTCAAAAATACCCAAACAGTAGCCTGTGATGACCTTTAAGCCCAAGATCAGCTGCTCACATCATTGTGGAAGTTGTAGTCCTCGCCAGCCAGCTTGGACGGAGTGCTCTTGCTTAGAAACGCCCGTAGCCCCAACTGGAGCGCTGCAGCATAGCACTCCAGCTGTGTACATACCTCCCTCCCCCCCTTTGCTCACATCATTATGGAAGTTGTAGTCCTCCCCGGCCAGCTTGGAGGGAGTGCTGTTGTAAAACTCGTAGCATGTTCGTGTTAGCTGCATTACCACGAAAAATACGTGCACACGCGCGCGAACACACACAAACATTCGAACACGTGAACATACATGCACACATGCGCGTACACACACACACATGAACACTCACGCAAATGCACACACACATACACGCACACCCACACAAACACATGGACCATGCATGAGAAGAAGATAGGATAATACGTGACGGCAGGATGACAAGACAAACAAAAGGGAAGCCGAGCAGAAGACGACTGTTGACTCGACTCAAATGACAAAACAAAAAGTGAAGCCATGCAGAAGACGTACAGTATCTGATTAGCCAAGATACTGATTTTTTTCCTATTTAGAAGCCATCATCCATCCTCACCTAATCATTCCCTATTTAGAAGCCACCCCAACCTCAGTATAGGCCCGACTCTTTAGAAGTTCAACATACTTAGCTTAGCACCCCTCTGAAGCCACCTCACCCTCACTAAAAGCTCACCCTTTTAGAAGCCCAGACTCGTTATAAGCTCACCTCTTTAGCCAAGTCCAGGTATTTGGCCGCATCCGCAGGCGACGCCTCCGGCATACCCAGTATAAGCATCCCCGGTACAAAGCACGTGAGATGCTCCATTTTGCGAATGAGCCCCCCTCCCTCCATCTCAGGCACGTAGGAGAACCCCTTGTGGCCCCCCTGGTCTGGCGTGCGCTGTACCAATCTGGAAAACATTCCATTTATAGACTTCTCCCACATGTCTCTGTGAGGGGGTGAGTGGAAGGGAGGAGTGGGGGCGAACGAATAGGTTGGCCAGCTCTGTATGTTGCGCACCATACAAATTTGGAAATCATTCCATTTATGGACTTCTCCCACATGTCTCTGTGAGGGGGTGAGTGGAAGGGAGAAGTGGGGCCGAGAGAATCCGGTCAGCCAGCACTGTCTACTACGGGATGTACCAAATCGGAAAACATTCCAAATATAGGCATTTCCCTCATGTCTCTACAGAAGGAATACGGGGACAAGAAGAAGAGGGAAGGAGAATGAGGGGGAATCGCCTGCTCCATCCACCCACCCGGGTGTTCAACCAATCTCAAGACCATCCCAACGCCCCCATCAAGGCCATCCCAACGCGCCCCCATCAAGGCCACCCCAACGCGCCCCCCCCCTCAACACCATCCCAACGCCCCCACCAAGGCCACCCCAACGCGCCACCCCCCTCAACACCACCCCAACGCCCCCATCACACCACCCACCCCAGCTCCCCATCACGAGGCTAACAATGCTCTCTCACCCTCTCACGCCACGTTTCCTCTCACTCACCTGTACTTCTTGACAACTGGCGTCTTGCCTCCGTGCACCCACATCTTGATCAGATACTCGTAGAAACTGGGAGGGAAGAGGAGGGTGGGTGAGAGGAGGGCGGGGAAGAGGGAATAGGGGAGAAAGACGAGGGAATGAAGAGGGGGGGGGAATAAAGTGATCGTCTTGCCCCCCTGCACCCACATCTTGATAAGGCACTCGTAGAAACTGGGACGAGGGCGGGAGGATGGGGAATTGGGTGGGGAAGAGGGTCGAGTAGCGGCATGCGGCCAGGCCATGGCATGCCAGGTGCACGATGTTCTCACCTGTCCCCGTGGCTGCTGGTGCGCTCCCCGCTGTCAATGCTGATGAACATGGGCACGAGGCCATCCTCTGTGCTCTACAGCACGCAATGTGGTTTGCAGGTGCACGAGGCTACAGACGGCACACACCGCAGCCAGCTCACCTGTCCCCCATGGAACCAAAGGTGATGTGGCTGCTGGTGCGCTCCCCGCTGTCAATGCTGATGAACATGGGCACCAGGCCACGCTGTGCCAGGAACACCGGGCCATGCTATGTGCCGAGCGCATGAGGCTCACCTGTCCCCCATGGATCCGAATGTGATGTGGCTGCTGGTGGGCTCCCCGCTGTCGATGCTGATGAACATGGGCACCAGGCCATCCTCTGGGAAGATCTTCTCGATCTGCTTGATCACATTCTCCGCCTGTGGAGGGTTTGCAATGGGGGAAAGGAGGACGAGGAGCAACAATATGGGCACAAGAGACCGTCCTTTGGGAAGATTTTTCCGATCTGCTTGATCACATTCTCCGCCTGTGAGGGGGGGGGGGGGGGGAAGAGGGAAAAGAGGGTGTGGGGGAGTGCGGGGAGGGAGTGTGGGAGCTGGAGAGGAGGAATATGATCCCAGAGGCGCCTAAAAAAACGTTGGAATTATCAGGTTGACAAATCACCACGAAACACGTTCCCAAATTACCCGGTTACCTAGTTACCATGTTCGCTGAGAGAGAGTCACAAACTCCAGCTGCAGCGTGCCGGTATCAGTCCTCACGCGCTTCAAAGTTTACTCAAGTAACCAGGTTGCCACCACTATACTGACCTTGATTGCGTATTTGGGGTCGCCAGTCCGCTGAGACAGAGTCACAAACTCCAACTGCAGCGTGCCCAGATCTGCCAAGACTGCCGATCCCTGTGGTGATGGGAGGAAGGGTTCAAGACGAAAAGGACTTGAAAATCAGGTGACGTGCGTAGAAGCGGAGTGCTCCTAAACGATTTGAAGGAACACATGTGGACATCGAGAGAAGCTACAGCTTATCCCAGTGCAGCTGGGGTTGCGACCCCTCTTCCAGACACCAAGTCCACATGGGTAAATGGAATCCCAGGGGCAGTGTTGAACGCTGGTTGGTAGGTAGCAGCCGATCTTCAAAGAAAGGAATATCAGGAATATAGGAAACAGCTTACCCCAGTCCAGCCAGGAGCATTCCCCCCTCCAGAGGCGAGGTCCACATAAGCGAAGGGGATCCCAGTGGGAGTATTGAACGCTGGCAGCAGCCAAATCCCAACGAAAGGAATGACGGAGAAAAGAATAAAAAAACTTACCCCAGTCCAGCCAGGAGCGTTCCCCCCTCCCGAGGCGAGGTCCACATAGGCGAAGGGGATCCCAGTGGGAGTATTGAATGCTGGTAAGAGTCTGTCCCCTAGCTCCTTAGCCTTCTCCAGAAATACTTTTTCCCCTGATAGGTCGTATGCTGCTAGCAGCCCGCCCAGCATTCTGTAGGGGTTGAGGGGAAGTGGAGTGGAGTGGGATGAACGGGGAGAGGTGAACAGGGAGGGGCGGAGACCAAAGGTCCCCCAGCTCCCTGGCCTTGTCCAAGAAGACCTTTTCTCCTGATAGATCGTACGCTGCTAGCAGCCCGACCAGCATTCTGCAGGGGTTGGGGCGATGTGGTTTAGGAAAAGGTATAAACGGGGGAGAGGGGGGCGGCCGCACGAGAGATAAGGGGGTAAGGGGGGAGGGATGGATGAAATGAGGTGGGGAAAAGACTGGTCTCTTGGGTTCCTTGGCTTATGAGAATTCTCATTAACCAGTCCAAGACGACTCTCTCCCTCCCCTGACAGGACGTATGCAGCTAGCAGCCCGCCCGGATCTTGTTGGGAAGGAACGAGCGAGAATGAGGTGAAAAGGAGCACGAGAGGGAAAAAGTGGTTTGGCAATGGAAACTGCTGAAGTGAACATGCAATGAAAAGAAGCAGCGAAGTTATCGATAGGAGGGGGATGCAGAGTGCGTTGCATACCGGATGGTTGTTTCGAAGACGCTAACGCTGGAGTGCCGATTGAAATTGAGAGACTCAGCCACCCACCTGCAGCAACAGAGAGACACACACATATCAGGAAGGAAAAGCCAACCCACACCAGCTAGTGGCATCAGAGAAGCAACATGGGCATGAGATGGTTGAGGGTCTGGTGAAACTCGTTTGCGAGCCTCATGAGGAAGAGCGCGTGTCTAGCAAATCCAGCATCTCGCCCCCAGCTATGTCACCACCACCATCACTCGTTTGCGGGAACCACCATACTCTACAGCCCATCTAACATTCTCCTGGGCCCTGACTGTCCTACTGCTTTAATAAATCCACGATAGTTGGCCCATTCCTGTGAAGTTGTTCAACGGGGTGCTGATGTCCCCACCACCACTGCTTCGCCATCAAAGTTCCTGCCCCAACGTGCCCTACCTACCAGCCAACACCTGCTTGACCAGCCTAAACCCTGAACCCTGTGGACGTATTTCTGCGCGTCTTGCTCCCCAGCACTGCTACAACAGCATATGCCGTGACCCCACACAACAATCAACCCTGCAACCTGGCAACGTACTTTTGGGCGTCTCTGAATTCGTCCTTCAAGCCCATGAGAAAGAGCGTGTCTAGAGAGTCCACAATCGTCGCTCCCATGCCACCAAAGTTGTTCGACGGGGTCTTGCTGCGCGGCTGGCACGTAAGAGGGGAGGACAAGGAGATGGAGAGGGAGTGAGGACGGGTAGGGTAGTAATAGACGGGCAGTGAGTGACAGCCGGCGTGCATCATCTCCTGTCCTCTCTCAGGAGGCTTCAATGTGCCTTCGACTAATTCTTTCCTCACAACCTCGCCTTCTCACCTGGAGTTCGTCTGAAACCCACGCGTGTCTCTTCAACCTCCTCACGCATGCAGCATCCGCTGCTTGATCGCCTTTCCAGGTGACACTTGCGCCCACCCAGAACCACCCCACAGACACCTCACCTTTCCACCCGAAGATCATACTCACCTCTCAACTAGAGTCCCCTTCTCACCTGGAGTTCATCAGACCCCCATGCGTATTTCTTGAAACCCCCTCCACGCATGCAGCATCCCCTGCTTGATCCCCTCCTGAGGTAACTTTTGGAACTCGCCTTCTCACCTGGAGTTCATCAGACCCCCACGCGTATTTCTTGTATCCCCTCCACGCATGCAGCATTCCCTGCCTGATCGACTCTCTCCTCCTCTCCGTCTCATCCTGCCCTCTCAACAGCAGCCCCTGCCCCTGCCCCTGTCCCTGCGTCTGTTTCTCTGCTGCTCGTTGCTCAGCCACCGAAACCTCTTTCCTTTGCTCACTCTGCAACTGCTCTCCCCCTGCTTCCGTCACCCCGCCTACTCTCACTCCCCCCCCCCCTCCGCTTTTGCCACCCCCCGCTACAGCCACATCATCCTCCAAATCCGCATCCTCAAGCCCGTCAGCTGCCTTCCCCTCGTTACTGTCACCTTCCCCACCTCCCAGCCCATCGTCGTCCAGCTTCCCCAGTCTCTGCAGCTCTGACAACGCCTTCTGCTCCGCATCCGCGCTATGAGCATCCCCAGTAACCGCATCCCTTATAATAGCATCCCCAGTATACGCTTGCCCTGTCTTCTCTCCTCCTCTCAGCATCCCCCCTGCAGCACCCGCCCGAACGATCTTTTCTAGAGGAAGGAGCTTTCTCGCTTGTACTTTGCTGCTGGCACGTGCTACATTTACGCTTATCCCACCACCGCCGCCGCCACCTCCCCTCCTCCTCCTCCTACGCCTAGAATAAGAGGGTCCTTTCTAACAGACGCGGCTTTGCCTCCTGCCTGACCGTGAGAAACGCTGCCGGTTAGGCGAGCCTGCTCCAGCTGAGAAGGGACAATAGCAGGAAGGGGGATCAACAAAGAGAATGAGAGGGTGAGACGGATAGGAAGGGAGAAGAGGAAGTGACTGCTAAACGGACTACAGAGACAGCTTTTGCAAATTAATGTTTGATCCAGATAACGTCTGTAAGCTTGCAGAGCATGTATTACATGTTAAGGGCATTGAATCATGTCAATGAGGCGGCAATGGAAAAGAGAGGCGCGTAGCAACGCAGTAGCAGCGGAAAAAAAATAATTTTCAATTTATACCTCAACGATCAGGTGGCTCTTCTCGCCTTCAAGATTGTCCAGTTGCGTCGCGAGTGCCTGCAGAAGACACAGAGTAATCAAAAGGGTAGTTGGTGCTGCTGATTGCGAGAAACCACTTACGAAGAAACATGTCGTGTAAATATTGTGCTTCGTTTCGAGAATTCTTTCGTTTCTAGGACCAAGTGAGGTTTGAGCTCGTCGATTAAGTATGCAGGCATAGGGCGGGAACACGGTTGGATCGGTCAGAACCACAAATCGTGGATCTCCGTCGAATCTAATCAGGACGTGGGAAAGTTGAATTGCGGGTAAGCCAAAATCGGGAAGAAGCTTGAGCTGTGACTAGCCAAATGAAGGTTTGTAGTGAAACCAGAATAAACTTGAATTTGCAAGTTTCTTCGGAAATTTCTCAAATTGAGTCTGCAAATTAAGACTGGAATGAGCTTGATCACTTTCGAGTGTTGAGATTTCGGATGACATGACGATCCATGACGGAGAAACATGAACCCGATGTCACGGAGATCTGTCAGACATCATAAAATTGCAAAAAACGGCCAGCTTACCTCAAGTCTCCTCGCGACTCGCAGAAAACGGCCAGGTTACCGCAATCCCCTTCGCGTACCTCGAGTTCTTTCGCCTGTCGTTGGCGATCCATGACGACAAAGACGATCCCGACGACGAGCAGAGTGAGCAGCCCTAGTCGCCGGGGTCGCCGGATGTAGTACGACGGTCGCAGGTACTTGAACCTGCTGGACGACGAACTCGACGACGGTCTGCGACCCATTGTGTGAAATAACGGCGATTCGTCAACAAGACGCTGTTTGATCGCAGAAATTCGTCACTGGCCGGGGTGCGTCACACGGAATTTGTCGATGGACGGTGCGGGTCACTGACAAGATTTAGCGAACGGATTACTACTTTCGAGCACCCTGGCTAAAGGGATCTCTCAGCTTCGGCGGTTATGACACACGAACATGATTCAGAATCCTGTTGGTAAGACTAAGGACAAATTTCACACGTACTTATTGGTGAAATCTCCTACCCAAAATGCTGGACGGGTGGCATATCAATCTGAACGTTCAATCAAGTAGCAGAAAAGAATTATGGTAAAATAGTCCTCTAGAAAACTAAAAGGCAAGAGGTGCTCAGGATATTAAAGAGCAAGACTCTTCCCGCTGACGAGGAGAGTTCCGAGGAAACGTAGCGGAGCCAGTCGAGGAGGTGCCTGGTAACTGAGGGAGTTCATACATCCCAGTAACTCAGTTCTCCTTGAGCGGAACTGGCCAAGGTTCTCAGAATCACACTAGTACCAACTGATGAGATCTATGCTTTGGTCATCGTCGGCGTTGAGGAGAAATCGAGGATGCGGTTGGGTAGTTGGTTGGTTCGTTCTGGCCTCGAGAATGCCGGAACGGGCAGAAAATATGGTGACTCGGGCGTTATGTACCAGACTTCTGCTTCTGGCACGGGATGAAACCAGAGCTCCATTGTAGAAAGTGCTGTGGATCTGCCCAATGAAATGTTTCATTTCGCTTGTACCCAACCACACACCAGGATGGGGCTCTCTGGTTACAAAAAATTGGCGGGATTGTCAGAGCAGCGTGATTCTTGCCTAGCGAAGAGGTTTGGCGCGAAAGTATCTGAATTCGTCAGGGCAGACGGAGGCACCCAACCACCCATCCACAGCCACAGCAGCGCGGTGGAGCTGGGTGCGCCCTTGGAAACAAACCAGCTGCGAAACGCAGAGTTCCCGGTTACCACAGACTCAATTTGTGACGAAACAGGATTCAATCGTAAATTCCATTATCATTTCTTCGGCTGGTCTCCTTCGCCTGCTATTGCTTCCATATCCATGGCGATCCATGCTTGATAGTGGAGTACATTCTCGGCCTTGTAATAGTTGCTGACGTCAAAGGAGGACGCTTTGGCTGCTGCTAGGAAACCGGCGAAGCCAGCACAACATTGACCATTTTCACAGCTTCTTCTTCTAGTTTCGCCGACTCCGTTTACTCTTCAAGTCACTTCTGGATTTATCTTAATCGCTGATCTCTCATAATGAATTCCTCCGGGAATCTCCGTCATCGGAGGAAATCCGAAGCCCAAGGAACCTCGCCAGGCACCGAGCCTGTACCCTCCAACTCAGAATCCTTGCAGCAACCAGTGAAGCAGCAGAAGATCCTACTTATTTCCTGGCGAGCCGCATTCTTTTTCCTCCTGATCTCACGGTCAGTAATCGTATTTCAGAACCTGGCATGGTTGCTTGGTTACATGTGTACATTTCCCTGAATCCGCATTCCGTCACGCTTTGCTGTTTTAACAGCAGGTCAATAGATACAGCGGTGAACATCCATGACTGCGACAAAACGTTCGACTACTGGGGGCTTCTTGTTTCTAACCCCTTGATTTTTCCTTCACGCCTGCTGTTTCATTCAACAGCAGGTCAATAGCGGAGCGGTCAACTCATCCGCGACTGCGCCGAAACGTTCAAGTACTGGAAATCTTCTTTTTCCTAAACCCCCTGACTTGTTTTTCCCTCACAAATTGCCAATATGCAGGTCAATAAGCGCAGCGGTGAACATCATCCACGACTGCGACGAGACATTTAACTACTGGGAGCCTCTGCACTACCTCCTGCACGAATCCGGGTTCCAGACATGGGAATACAGGTACAGTACTCCTATTTTTTAGGCGCCTGAAAGATAGAATCCGGGTTCCATGGGAATACAGGTGCAGCACTCCTTCACGCTCTTTGCCCTTGTTGCAACATGCACCTTTAAAAACCACATGCTTCCTGACCTCTGCTCCATTGTCTCTCAGTTGACTTTTGAGTCAACTCAAAAATCAAAATCCACATGCTTTCTGACCTCTGCTCCATTGTCTCTCCCCTTCTCCTTATTATCCTATCTCAACAGCTCTGCGTGCGTCGCTCCTACCTCTACCTCTTCCTCACGCCCTTGCTGCCCTGTCAGTCACGCTACACCTCAGCAGTCACTGCAGGCGTTTTTGAACCTTTCTATATCTGTCTCTCTTTTCCCCCTCCCTCCGTCCTCGCTGCCCTATTGACCCCAACAGCTCTGCGTTCGCCCTTCGCTCCTACCTCTACCTCTTCCTTCACGCCCTAGTTGCCCTGCCGGTCACTCTCTTCTTTGGCAACGGTACGGGTAAGGTGAGCAAAGAACTTTGTGAGCTGCTAGTAGGGTGAGTGAGGCAAGGGAGCAGATAGTGTTTGCCCTTTGCTCCTACCTCTACCTCTTCCTTCACGCCCTCGTTGCCCTGCCAACCACATTTCTGTTTGGCAAGGGCACAGGTAAGGTGAGTTAAAATCGCCGATAGTTGTTGGTAAAGCGAGGAAGGTAACGGACCAGGTAGGTGTAAGCTGAGAAAAGAGTGCTGATAAGATGCAACTCATGCCCTACTTCATCCCAATCATCTTGGTTCCTACGTTCCCCATTGCAGGCTAGGCTAACGCATTCTATGCTGTTCGCCTGGCTTTGGCTGTTCTCTCTGCTGCTTCAGAGGCATCTCTGCTCGTGGGCGTTGCTGCTGCCCTTCATAAGGCCACTCAGGCTGCTGTTCTCTTCTCCTGCCTCCTTCCCGTCACTCCTTTGTGCCCTTCTCCATCTCAGGCTAACGCCTTCTATGCTGTTCGCATGGCCCTGGCTGTTCTCTCTGCGGCATCAGAGGCATCTCTGCTCGTGGCCGTTGCAACAGCCCTTCACAAGGCCACCGATGCTGGCAGTGCCAGTAGCAGCAACGCTGGGAGTAGCAGCAGTGGAACTAAGGAAGAGGAGACAGGGAAGGAGGAGGAGAAGGAGAAGGCGAAGGAGGAGAGGGCGGTCCCAGCAGGGATTGGGGAGAGAGTGGGTGTGTGCGGGTTGCTGCTCCTCTGCTTCTGCTCTGGCAACTTTCTCGCCTCCACAAGTGAGTGGTGATGACAACGTATACAGAGTATTTTTGCGAATTCTAAAAAATAATCCACAAGTTGTGGTGGTTCTAATGCGTACTCGCCATCTCCCCTCCTGTCACACACTCTCCCCTTCCTCCTCCGTTAATCCAACCCTTTTCCACAGCATCTTCAGCATGTACAAAATCATTTGAGCCCTGTCTATTGATACGAGACACAGTGCTTGTCCCTTCCCCGCTTTTGGTTCAGCCGTACTCTGTACCTGTCCCCCTCCCCCCAGCCTTCCTCCCCAGCACCTTCAGCATGTACGCAATCACCTGGGCCACATCACTTGCCATCCAACCTCGCCCGGCAAATTAAGTGCAGATTCCCATGCCTCCCACTTTCCCTCCCTCCTCCCACCCGTCCAGCCTTCCTCCCCAGCACCTTCAGCATGTACGCAATCACCTGGGCCACATCACTTGCCATCCAACCTCGCCCGGCAAATTAAGTGCAGATTCCCATGCCTCCCACTTTCCCTCCCTCCTCCCACCCGTCCAGCCTTCCTCCCCAGCACCTTCAGCATGTACGCCATCACCTGGGCCACATCACTTGCCATCCAACCTCGCCCGGCAAATTAAGTGCAGATTCCCATGCCTCCCACTTTCCCTCCCTCCTCCCACCCGTCCAGCCTTCCTCCCCAGCACCTTCAGCATGTACGCCATCACCTGGGCCACATCACTTGCCATCCAACCTCGCCCGGCAAATTAAGTGCAGATTCCCATGCCTCCCACTTTCCCTCCCTCCTCCCACCCGTCCAGCCTTCCTCCCCAGCACCTTCAGCATGTACGCAATCACCTGGGCCACATCACTTGCCATCCAACCTCGCCCGGCAAATTAAGTGCAGATTCCCATGCCTCCCACTTTCCCTCCCTCCTCCCACCCGTCCAGCCTTCCTCCCCAGCACCTTCAGCATGTATGCAATCACCTGGGCCACATCACTTGCCATCCAACCTCGCCCGGCAAATTAAGTGCAGATTCCCATGCCTCCCACTTTCCCTCCCTCCTCCCTCCCCCCCAGCATTCCTCCCCAGCACCTTCAGCATGTACGCCATCACCTGGGCCACATCACTTGCCATCCAACCTCGCCCGGCAAATTAAGTGCAGATTCCCATGCCTCCCACTTTCCCTCCCTCCTCCCACCCGTCCAGCCTTCCTCCCCAGCACCTTCAGCATGTACGCCATCACCTGGGCCACATCACTTGCCATCCAACCTCGCCCGGCAAATTAAGTGCAGATTCCCATGCCTCCCACTTTCCCTCCCTCCTCCCACCCGTCCAGCCTTCCTCCCCAGCACCTTCAGCATGTACGCCATCACCTGGGCCACATCACTTGCCATCCAACCTCGCCCGGCAAATTAAGTGCAGATTCCCATGCCTCCCACTTTCCCTCCCTCCTTCCACCCGTCCAGCCTTCCTCCCCAGCACCTTCAGCATGTACGCCATCACCTGGGCCACATCACTTGCCATCCAACCTCGCCCGGCAAATTAAGTGCAGATTCCCATGCCTCCCACTTTCCCTCCCTCCTCCCACCCGTCCAGCCTTCCTCCCCAGCACCTTCAGCATGTACGCCATCACCTGGGCCACATCACTTGCCATCCAACCTCGCCCGGCAAATTAAGTGCAGATTCCCATGCCTCCCACTTTCCCTCCCTCCTCCCACCCGTCCAGCCTTCCTCCCCAGCACCTTCAGCATGTACGCCATCACCTGGGCCACATCACTTGCCATCCAACCTCGCCCGGCAAATTAAGTGCAGATTCCCATGCCTCCCACTTTCCCTCCCTCCTCCCACCCGTCCAGCCTTCCTCCCCAGCACCTTGAGCATGTACGCAATCACCTGGGCCACATCACTTGCCATCCAACGCCGACCCGCAGCAGCAGTGGCAGCAGCAGCAGCAGGCGTGCTGCTGGGATGGCCCTTTGCGGGCCTGGCAGCACTGCCCCTCGTGCTGCACGGGATGGTTACAGGAGGCTTTCTGAAGGTCGTCGTCTCCGGTGCTCTCACCACTCTCCTCGTCTCAGTAAGTGGGTACTTGAATATCATTGCTTCTTGCTGTTGATAGGATGGCCCTTTGCAGGCCTGGTAGCCCTGCCTCTCGTGCGGCACGGGATGATCACTGGTGCCTTTGTGAAAGTGGTCGTATCCGGTGCTCTCACCACTCTCCTCGTCTCTGTGAGTCCGCCTTCTCGCCTGGGATATGTCTCATCATAGCGGCCAACGGGTGGATACTATGCTCCTATAACAGCAGCAGCAGGCGTTCTGCTGAGGTGGCCCTTTGCGGGCCTAGCCCTGCCCCTGGTGCTGCACGGGATGATCACTGGTGCCTTTGTGAAAGTGGTCGTATCTGGCGCTCTCACCACTCTCGTTGTCTCTGTGAGTACTCCTCCTGGCCTGGGATATGTCTCGTCATAAGAGCAACAGCAGGCGTGCTGCTGAGGTGGGCCTATGTGGGCCTATGTGGGCCTATGTGGGCCTATGTGGGCCTATGTGGGCCTATGTGGGCCTATGTGGGCCTATGTGGGCCTATGTGGGCCTATGTGGGCCTATGTGGGCCTATGTGGGCCTATGTGGGCCTATGTGGGCCTATGTGGGCCTATGTGGGCCTATGTGGGCCTATGTGGGCCTATGTGGGCCTATGTGGGCCTGGCAGCCGTGCCTCTCGTAATTCACTCTCACCACCCTCCTCGCCTCTGTGAATACTCCTTTCCTCCTGCCAGCTGTTTCAACTGTCCATTGTCAGTACTTTACTCTGTCCCTCCCTCATTCCCTCCCTCCCTCCCTCCCTCTACGGAGTGGAAGGCCCCCTTTTTTACCTCCGCAACGGCCTCAGCAACTTCACCCTCGCGCTCTGCCTCCCTCACTTTCTCCCTTCCTGCTGCCCTCCCTCCCTCCCTCGCTCCACTCCCTCCAACTGTCCTCCAGGGCCTTTCCCTGTGTTTTGATCGCCTGTACTAATGGCCGGTGGGTCTCCTCCATTCTCAACCTGGTTCTGTACAACGTGTTTGGAGGGGGCGACGGCGCCGGCAGCACACTGTATGGAGTGGAGGGTCCCCTCTTCTACCTCCGCAACGGCCTCAACAACTTCACCCTCGCCCCCATCCTCCCTCCCTCCCACCCTCCCTCTCTCCCTGTCCTCTTCTTTCCCGACCTCCCTCTGCCCCTCCTTCCACTCTCCCTCCCTTTCCCTGTCCAGGGCCTTTCCCTGTGTTTCGACCGTCTGTACTATGGACGTTGGAGCTCCTCCATTCTCAACCTGGTTCTCTACAATGTGTTTGGAGGCGGGGACGGCGCCGGCAGCACTCTCTACGGAGTGGAGGGGCCATTCTTCTACCTCCGCAACGGCCTCAACAACTTCACCCTCGCCCTCCCCCTCGCGCTGCTCCTCCCACTGCTGCTGCTGGTCGCGTGCCTTGCCTCGTCGCCGTTTCGCCGGCAAGGGAGGGGTGAACGGGGAGGGGTGGAGAGGGGTGGGAAGGGTTTTGTGGGGTGGAAGGAGGTGGTGGCGCTGCTGCTGCTGCCGGTGGTCATCTGGGTTGGATTCATGTCCCTCCAGCCACACAAGGAAGAGCGGTGAGTTGAAAGGAGGGGAGTGGGAGGGGAGGGAGTGGAGAAGGAAGGGAGTGGGAAGGGCGAGAGGGGGTTTGTGGGGTGGAAGGAGGTGGTGGCACTGCTGCTGCTGCCTGTGGTCATCTGGGTTGGATTCATGTCCCTCGGGCAGCCACACAAGGAGGAGCGGTGAGTTGCGTTGTGCAAGATTGGGAGGGGTAAACTGGGATAGGTTTGGAGGGGTGGGGAAAGGTTTGTGGGGTGGAAGGAGGTGGTGGCACCGCTGCTGCTGCCTGTGGTCATCTGGGTTGGGTTCATGCCCCTTTAGCGGCACAAGGAGGAGCGGTGAGTTCAAAGTTGGGGAGTGGGAGGGGAGGGAGTGGGAAGGTGGGAGTGGGACGGGAGGGAGTGGAAAGGAAGGGAGTGGGAAGGGCGAGCGGGGGTTTGTGGGATGGAAGGAGGTGATTGCGCTGCTGCTGCTGCCTGTGGTCATCTGGGTTGGATTCATGTCCCTTCATCCACACAAGGAGGAGCGGTGGGTATCTTAAAGACTTTACCCCATCTATGCACTCATCCTAGTTGTTGCCACCAATGCCACCATCAGCATTCCTCTCCTCATTCTTTCGTCACCCTCACCCGCCCCACTCCTCTATTCTCCCCCCGTTTCTTTCCCCACCTCTCTCTCAGGTTCCTCTACCCAATCTATGCTCTCATTCCTGTTGCTGCCGCTATCGCCATCACCATCATCCCATATCTCATCCCCACTACTCTCCAAGGGCCTCCAGACCAACCGTCCTTTCTCTTCTCGGTACGTTATTCCACCTGCTGTTGTGTCTCTTCCCATCCCAACCCAGCCATCCTTTCTCAATATGCCTTTCCTCTCTGGTTTTGTTGCTGCCACCATCACCATCACCATCATGCCCTATCTCATTCCCACTACTCTCCAAGGGACTTCAGACCAACCGTCCCTGCTCTTTTCAGTATGTTATTCCACCATCGCCATTATCTCCCCCATACTCATACCCATCACCACCACCATCACCATCACCATCACCATCACCATCACCATCACCATCACCATCACCACCACCATCACCATAACCATCACCATCACCATCACCATGACCACCATCACCACCACCGTCACCATCACCATCACCATCACCATCACCATCACCATCACCATCACCATCACCATCACCATCACCATCACCATCACCATCGTCCCCTACCTCGTTCCCTCTACTCTCCAAGGATATCCGAACCGGCCATTTCCGCTTTTTCCCCTCACAGGGAGCCAAGCAGTTGCGGTTGCGGCTTTGCCCTACTCGCTCTCATCGTTGCTCTCTCACATGCTCTCTCCACTGCGCTGCTATGCTTCTGCCACATCGTGCTGCCGCATCACAGTCCTCCTCCCCCTTTCCTTCTCTCTTTTCCAGCTTTACTCGATTTTCTCTCATCATGGCCCTCACCCATTCTTGCTCCACTGCTCTGCTACATGTCTACCCCATCGTGATGCTGCATCCTCAATTCCCCCTTCTATTCCCCCTCGTTCCTCACTTCACCACTAGCGCCCGGTCTTACTTGCTCACATCATCGCTCTCTCCTATGCTCGCCTCTCTGCCCTGCTATCCTTTCACTCTCATTGCTCCGCTCTCCTATGCTGTGCTGTTGCATCATATTCCCACGCCCCCCCTCCACTTCTCCCCCACTCACAGGCAGCCAAGTGGGTGCGGCCTGTCTTGCTTGGCCTCATCATCGCTCTCTCCTATGCTCGCTCCACTGCTCTGCTCCGCTTCTACTCCGCCCCCATGCACATTCTCGAGCACTTGCCAGCAGTAGATGAAGCGAATGAAGACAGTAAGTCCAAAGGGAGTCCACTGAAACACAGCCATCACAATCTCTCCCACGTTTACCCTGCTCCCATGCACATTCTCAAGCACTTGCCAGCAATAGATGAAGCGAATGAGGACAGTAAGTCTCAAGAGCACCCACTTAAGCATTGACATTTGAATCGACTCAAAAGGCACTGCATCACAAGCATCTCGCACACACAAGGCTCTCGCTCTCTTGCTCAACTGCTCTGCTTCAACATCTCCTCCCCCTCCTTCCACCTCACCTTTCACCTCATTCTCACAGGCTTTAAGGGCCTGCCGCCATTCCATACCTTGCCCCTCAACCTCCCCCCCAACTCTCACCCAACCTACCCTGAAATGTGCCATTTTACCCATTGCAATTCCCCCCTTTCCTCTCAAAACCCCCTTCCACTCCCCTCCCTTCCCCCTCCCGCAGTGGTCACCGTGTGCTATGGCATGGAGTGGCATCGCTTCCCCACCTCCTTCCTCCTCCCCTCGCCTCTCCACCGCGCCGCGTTCATCGACGATGGCTTTAAGGGCCTGCTGCCCATCCCCTTTGACCCGGAAAAAGGGGGAACCGAGTCTGCTCCCAACTATTTCAACGACAGGAACCAAGCCACGCCCGAGCAATTCGTGAGTTGAGGGATTTCATAATTAAAAGCTGGGGCTTCCTAAGAGGTTGCACGAGCTGCTGGTCATCGTTTTTTTAGTTTACTCAAAAACGAGAGTTGAGGTTTTTCCGGGCTAGGAGCTGGGGCTTGCTAGGAGGTTGAGCGAGCTGCTAGCCAGCCATTCCGTTTGACCCGGAACAAGGCGGCACAGAGTCTGCTCCTGCCTATTTTAACGACAGGAACCAAGCCACTCCCGAGCAATTCGTGAGTTGAGGCTTTTCTGGGCTAGGAGCGGGGCTTGCCAGGGGGTTGAGCGAGCTGCTGCCCTTTTTAAGGCGCCTCAAAAATCTTTTCTGGGCTAGGAGCTGAGGCTTTCCAGGGGGTTGAGCGAGCTGCTGCGAGTTCCCTTCGACCCGGGAAAGGGCAGAACCGAGTCCGCTCCTGCCTATTTCAACGACAGGAACCAAGCCACGCCCGAGCAATTCGTGAGTTGAGGCTTTTCTGGGCTAGGAGCTGGGGCCTGCTAGGATGCTGCATGAGCTGCTACCCATCCCTTTTAACCCGGAAAAGGGCGGAACCGAGTCTGCTCCCGGCTATTTCAACGACAGGAACCAAGCCACGCCCGAGCAATTCGTGAGTTGGGGGTATGCCTTGTCTTGAGTGGGTTTGCCGTTGCTGGTGGCTTTAAGGGCCTGCTGCCCATCCCCTTCGACCCGGAAAAGGGTGGAACTGAGTCTGCTCCCAGCTATTTCAACGACAGGAACCAAGCCACTCCTGAGCAATTTGTGAGTTGGGAGTTTTGAGTATTTAAAATGGGCCTCATTGGGAGGTTCACTTGGACTGCTGCCGATCAACTTTGACCCAGAACCAGGGCGGACTGAGTCTGCTCCCTCTTACTTCAACTCGTTCCCCCCAGCCATCTTCGTGTCACCTTCCCCTGCCTCCAACATTTCATTTCCACTATCTCTCCTTTCTCCCCGTCTTCCCTTCGGCCTGCGCTGCATCATGCCAACGGGACGAGTCACTGTGGAACTATCTGGTTAAGCGGACATTTCGTTCCCCCCAGCCGTCTTCGTGCCACCTCCCCCTGCTTCCAGCATTTCCACGATCCCTCTCCACTCCCTGTCTCCCCTTCTGCCGGCACTGCATCATGCCAGCTGGACGAGTCGCTGTGCGACTATTTGGTTGAGTCCCTTGCCAAATCATGACTCCCCATGATATGCTTGTCTCCTTCCTTTGCACCCCTTTCCCCACCCCAACACACGCATACACCTGCACACCGCATCTCTCCAGCTGGACGAGTCTCTGTGCGACTATCTGGTTGAGCTGGACAACTCCTGCCTCTCAAATATCCATCCCGCCCCTTACCTTGCTTCCATCCCTGTGTGCTCCTCCCTTCCCCCTCCTGCACATCATGATGTCAGCTGGACAAGTCTGTGTGCGACTATCTGGTTGAGCTGGACAACTCCTGCCTCTCAAATATCCATCCCGCCCCTTACCTTGCTTCCATCCCTGTGTGCTCCTCCCTTCCCCCTCCTGCACATCATGATGTCAGCTGGACAAGTCTGTGTGCGACTATCTGGTTGAGCTGGACAACTCCTGCCTCTCAAATATCCATCCCGCCCCTTACCTTGCTTCCATCCCTGTGTGCTCCTCCCTTCCCCCTCCTGCACATCATGATGTCAGCTGGACAAGTCTGTGTGCGACTATCTGGTTGAGCTGGACAACTCCTGCCTCTCAAATATCCATCCCGCCCCTTACCTTGCTTCCATCCCTGTGTGCTCCTCCCTTCCCCCTCCTGCACATCATGATGTCAGCTGGACAAGTCTGTGTGCGACTATCTGGTTGAGCTGGACAACTCCTGCCTCTCAAATATCCATCCCGCCCCTTACCTTGCTTCCATCCCTGTGTGCTCCTCCCTTCCCCCTCCTGCACATCATGATGTCAGCTGGACAAGTCTGTGTGCGACTATCTGGTTGAGCTGGACAACTCCTGCCTCTCAAATATCCATCCCGCCCCTTACCTTGCTTCCATCCCTGTGTGCTCCTCCCTTCCCCCTCCTGCACATCATGATGTCAGCTGGACAAGTCTGTGTGCGACTATCTGGTTGAGCTGGACAACTCCTGCCTCTCAAATATCCATCCCGCCCCTTACCTTGCTTCCATCCCTGTGTGCTCCTCCCTTCCCCCTCCTGCACATCATGATGTCAGCTGGACAAGTCTGTGTGCGACTATCTGGTTGAGCTGGACAACTCCTGCCTCTCAAATATCCATCCCGCCCCTTACCTTGCTTCCATCCCTGTGTGCTCCTCCCTTCCCCCTCCTGCACATCATGATGTCAGCTGGACAAGTCTGTGTGCGACTATCTGGTTGAGCTGGACAACTCCTGCCTCTCAAATATCCATCCCGCCCCTTACCTTGCTTCCATCCCTGTGTGCTCCTCCCTTCCCCCTCCTGCACATCATGATGTCAGCTGGACAAGTCTGTGTGCGACTATCTGGTTGAGCTGGACAACTCCTGCCTCTCAAATATCCATCCCGCCCCTTACCTTGCTTCCATCCCTGTGTGCTCCTCCCTTCCCCCTCCTGCACATCATGATGTCAGCTGGACAAGTCTGTGTGCGACTATCTGGTTGAGCTGGACAACTCCTGCCTCTCAAATATCCATCCCGCCCCTTACCTTGCTTCCATCCCTGTGTGCTCCTCCCTTCCCCCTCCTGCACATCATGATGTCAGCTGGACAAGTCTGTGTGCGACTATCTGGTTGAGCTGGACAACTCCTGCCTCTCAAATATCCATCCCGCCCCTTACCTTGCTTCCATCCCTGTGTGCTCCTCCCTTCCCCCTCCTGCACATCATGATGTCAGCTGGACAAGTCTGTGTGCGACTATCTGGTTGAGCTGGACAACTCCTGCCTCTCAAATATCCATCCCGCCCCTTACCTTGCTTCCATCCCTGTGTGCTCCTCCCTTCCCCCTCCTGCACATCATGATGTCAGCTGGACAAGTCTGTGTGCGACTATCTGGTTGAGCTGGACAACTCCTGCCTCTCAAATATCCATCCCGCCCCTTACCTTGCTTCCATCCCTGTGTGCTCCTCCCTTCCCCCTCCTGCACATCATGATGTCAGCTGGACAAGTCTGTGTGCGACTATCTGGTTGAGCTGGACAACTCCTGCCTCTCAAATATCCATCCCGCCCCTTACCTTGCTTCCATCCCTGTGTGCTCCTCCCTTCCCCCTCCTGCACATCATGATGTCAGCTGGACAAGTCTGTGTGCGACTATCTGGTTGAGCTGGACAACTCCTGCCTCTCAAATATCCATCCCGCCCCTTACCTTGCTTCCATCCCTGTGTGCTCCTCCCTTCCCCCTCCTGCACATCATGATGTCAGCTGGACAAGTCTGTGTGCGACTATCTGGTTGAGCTGGACAACTCCTGCCTCTCAAATATCCATCCCGCCCCTTACCTTGCTTCCATCCCTGTGTGCTCCTCCCTTCCCCCTCCTGCACATCATGATGTCAGCTGGACAAGTCTGTGTGCGACTATCTGGTTGAGCTGGACAACTCCTGCCTCTCAAATATCCATCCCGCCCCTTACCTTGCTTCCATCCCTGTGTGCTCCTCCCTTCCCCCTCCTGCACATCATGATGTCAGCTGGACAAGTCTGTGTGCGACTATCTGGTTGAGCTGGACAACTCCTGCCTCTCAAATATCCATCCCGCCCCTTACCTTGCTTCCATCCCTGTGTGCTCCTCCCTTCCCCCTCCTGCACATCATGATGTCAGCTGGACAAGTCTGTGTGCGACTATCTGGTTGAGCTGGACAACTCCTGCCTCTCAAATATCCATCCCGCCCCTTACCTTGCTTCCATCCCTGTGTGCTCCTCCCTTCCCCCTCCTGCACATCATGATGTCAGCTGGACAAGTCTGTGTGCGACTATCTGGTTGAGCTGGACAACTCCTGCCTCTCAAATATCCATCCCGCCCCTTACCTTGCTTCCATCCCTGTGTGCTCCTCCCTTCCCCCTCCTGCACATCATGATGTCAGCTGGACAAGTCTGTGTGCGACTATCTGGTTGAGCTGGACAACTCCTGCCTCTCAAATATCCATCCCGCCCCTTACCTTGCTTCCATCCCTGTGTGCTCCTCCCTTCCCCCTCCTGCACATCATGATGTCAGCTGGACAAGTCTGTGTGCGACTATCTGGTTGAGCTGGACAACTCCTGCCTCTCAAATATCCATCCCGCCCCTTACCTTGCTTCCATCCCTGTGTGCTCCTCCCTTCCCCCTCCTGCACATCATGATGTCAGCTGGACAAGTCTGTGTGCGACTATCTGGTTGAGCTGGACAACTCCTGCCTCTCAAATATCCATCCCGCCCCTTACCTTGCTTCCATCCCTGTGTGCTCCTCCCTTCCCCCTCCTGCACATCATGATGTCAGCTGGACAAGTCTGTGTGCGACTATCTGGTTGAGCTGGACAACTCCTGCCTCTCAAATATCCATCCCGCCCCTTACCTTGCTTCCATCCCTGTGTGCTCCTCCCTTCCCCCTCCTGCACATCATGATGTCAGCTGGACAAGTCTGTGTGCGACTATCTGGTTGAGCTGGACAACTCCTGCCTCTCAAATATCCATCCCGCCCCTTACCTTGCTTCCATCCCTGTGTGCTCCTCCCTTCCCCCTCCTGCACATCATGATGTCAGCTGGACAAGTCTGTGTGCGACTATCTGGTTGAGCTGGACAACTCCTGCCTCTCAAATATCCATCCCGCCCCTTACCTTGCTTCCATCCCTGTGTGCTCCTCCCTTCCCCCTCCTGCACATCATGATGTCAGCTGGACAAGTCTGTGTGCGACTATCTGGTTGAGCTGGACAACTCCTGCCTCTCAAATATCCATCCCGCCCCTTACCTTGCTTCCATCCCTGTGTGCTCCTCCCTTCCCCCTCCTGCACATCATGATGTCAGCTGGACAAGTCTGTGTGCGACTATCTGGTTGAGCTGGACAACTCCTGCCTCTCAAATATCCATCCCGCCCCTTACCTTGCTTCCATCCCTGTGTGCTCCTCCCTTCCCCCTCCTGCACATCATGATGTCAGCTGGACAAGTCTGTGTGCGACTATCTGGTTGAGCTGGACAACTCCTGCCTCTCAAATATCCATCCCGCCCCTTACCTTGCTTCCATCCCTGTGTGCTCCTCCCTTCCCCCTCCTGCACATCATGATGTCAGCTGGACAAGTCTGTGTGCGACTATCTGGTTGAGCTGGACAACTCCTGCCTCTCAAATATCCATCCCGCCCCTTACCTTGCTTCCATCCCTGTGTGCTCCTCCCTTCCCCCTCCTGCACATCATGATGTCAGCTGGACAAGTCTGTGTGCGACTATCTGGTTGAGCTGGACAACTCCTGCCTCTCAAATATCCATCCCGCCCCTTACCTTGCTTCCATCCCTGTGTGCTCCTCCCTTCCCCCTCCTGCACATCATGATGTCAGCTGGACAAGTCTGTGTGCGACTATCTGGTTGAGCTGGACAACTCCTGCCTCTCAAATATCCATCCCGCCCCTTACCTTGCTTCCATCCCTGTGTGCTCCTCCCTTCCCCCTCCTGCACATCATGATGTCAGCTGGACAAGTCTGTGTGCGACTATCTGGTTGAGCTGGACAACTCCTGCCTCTCAAATATCCATCCCGCCCCTTACCTTGCTTCCATCCCTGTGTGCTCCTCCCTTCCCCCTCCTGCACATCATGATGTCAGCTGGACAAGTCTGTGTGCGACTATCTGGTTGAGCTGGACAACTCCTGCCTCTCAAATATCCATCCCGCCCCTTACCTTGCTTCCATCCCTGTGTGCTCCTCCCTTCCCCCTCCTGCACATCATGATGTCAGCTGGACAAGTCTGTGTGCGACTATCTGGTTGAGCTGGACAACTCCTGCCTCTCAAATATCCATCCCGCCCCTTACCTTGCTTCCATCCCTGTGTGCTCCTCCCTTCCCCCTCCTGCACATCATGATGTCAGCTGGACAAGTCTGTGTGCGACTATCTGGTTGAGCTGGACAACTCCTGCCTCTCAAATATCCATCCCGCCCCTTACCTTGCTTCCATCCCTGTGTGCTCCTCCCTTCCCCCTCCTGCACATCATGATGTCAGCTGGACAAGTCTGTGTGCGACTATCTGGTTGAGCTGGACAACTCCTGCCTCTCAAATATCCATCCCGCCCCTTACCTTGCTTCCATCCCTGTGTGCTCCTCCCTTCCCCCTCCTGCACATCATGATGTCAGCTGGACAAGTCTGTGTGCGACTATCTGGTTGAGCTGGACAACTCCTGCCTCCCATCTATCTGTCCATCCCTTCGCCCTGAATCCAACCTCTCCCCCTCCTGCCCCTCCTGGATCACGCCAGCTGGACGAGTCCCTGTGCGACTATCTGGTTAGGCTGGACAAGTCACGTCTCCCAGTCGCCTCTGCTTGACCCATTCCTTCGCACCCATTATTCCCCTCCCTCCCCACACACACACCTGCAAATGGGATCGTGCCAGCTGGACGAGTCGCTGTGCGACTATCTGGTCGAGCTGGACAACTCGCGCCACGTCAGCATGACAGGGGAGCGAGGAAGCATCCTGGAAGGAGCGGATGCCCTGCGAGGGCACGATGAGAGCGAATGGGAGGTGAGTGTGTGGAACGGCTGAGGAGTAGAGATTCTAGAGAGAGGCAGTATGGGTGCATGGTACACAGTTGTGAGATGTGTCAAGTCATGATGAGAACGAATGGGAGGTGAGATTGTTTGGTACTCGTGGGCGTGGGGTCTTGAGAGGGATTGGCTTGGCAGTGCAATGCCTTTCGGCTCGCCAGGTATGAAGTTTAAGCATAGTGCCAGGGGAGAGAGGAAGCATCCTGGAAGGAGCAAATGCCTGTATTTATTTACTTATTTCTTTTAAATCATTCATTTGTTGTAAAACTGACAACAACCATTGGGTCCCTTCCTCACCCTCCCTTCCTTCTCTATTTTCTCCCTTTCCTCCCTCTTTGCCTCCTCCCTCCTCCCTTCTCTACACTCTCCCTTGCCTCCCAGGTGTTGGCATCCCTCCCGTTTGTCGATGCCCAGCGCTCCCCGGCTCTCTACCGAGCCTTCTTCATCCCGGGCCTGTCGGAGAGGCTCGTCAAGTACGGCTCGTATGCCTTGCTGCGGCGGAAGCAGGCGGCAAACAGCCTGGAGGAGCCTGAGGAGGATTGGCTTAAATTGAGTGGCTATGTTGAAGGAGAGGGTTATGAGGATGAAAGTGCTGACAGTGCTTCGGAGGAAAGTAGGGAGACTTGAAAGAGAGTGGCAGAAGCATATGGGAGGGAAGGGGAAGCAGGCCGCAAACAGCCTGGAGGAGCCTGAGGAGGATTGGCTTAAATTGAGTGGCTATGTTGAAGGAGAGGGATATGAGGATGAAACGGCTGAAGGGGAGAAGGAAATCTCTGAGGGAGCGGCAGAAGCTTGAGGAGGGAGGGGGAAGCGGTTGCTCTCACCAGGAAGCATGCGGCAAACAGCCTGGAGGAGACTGAGGAGGATTGGCTTAAATTGAGTGGATATGTTGAAGGAGAGGGTCACGAGGATGAAAGTGCTGACAGTGCTTCGGAGGAACGTAGGGAGACTTGAAAGAGAGTGGCAGAAGCATATGGGAGGGAAGGGGAAGCAGGCCGCAAACAGCCTGGAGGAGCCTGATGAGGATTGGCTGAAACTGAGCGGCTATGTTGAAGGAGAGGGATATGGGGATGAAACGGCTGAAGGAGAGGGGAAGGAGATATCTGAGGGAGCGGCAGAATCTTGAGGAGGGAGGGAAAGAGGTTGCTCTCATCACTAAACAGGCGGTAAGCAGCATGGAGGAGCCTGAGGAGGATTGGCTGAAATTGAGTGGCTATGCTGAAGGAGAGGGTTACGAGGATGAAACGGCTGAAGGGGAGAAGAAGGAAATCTCTGAGGGATTTGCGGAAGCTTGAGGAGGGAGGGGGAAGCAGGCTGCAAGCGGATGGAGGGAGGAGCCTGAGGAGGATTGGCTAAAACTGAGCGGATACCGTATGTTGAAGGAGAGGGGTATGATAATGAAACGGCTGAAGGAAAGAGAAAATTAGAAGTTTGAGGAGGGGGAAGCAGGCCGCAAGCAGGATGGAGGAGCCTGAGGAGGGGCTAAAGTTGAGTGGCTATGTTGAAGGAGAGGGTTATGATGAGAATGAAAATGTTGAAGAGGAATGTTGAAGGAGGTCCCGGGGACTGGCAGAAGCTTGAGGAGGGAGTGGGGGGGTTGAGAGGAGCATTTGAGAGGTTGAGGGACGAGAGCTGGATATGTTCTGATGAAACTGCTGTCGAGGGGAGCGAGGAGGCTTGAGGAGGTGGGGTGGGTGCTTTCTTCTTGAGCCGGAAGAATGATAGTGGTGGATAAGGATGATGGATCCAACCTCGGTTGGAAGTATGAGAACCTGATGTATGTTGGGGATGAAACATTTCTAGACGTTAAAGTTTGAGATTAGAGGGAACGATGGAGGAGGGCTGATGTGATGGAGGTGTCCAATCCAATCCGAATCAGTGAAACCCACACTTCGTAATACTTGCGTCGTTTTGAAATCGGAAGAGAATTCGCAGTGTAGTTCAATAGACAGATCATTCAATAGGGCGTATGCTGGCTCTGCCAGAGGAATCTCTCTCCGCGATTTCAGCAGCCAGCCAGGCGTCGCTAGGATTCGCCTGAATTCGCCAGGATTCGCCTTCTGTTGTTTATCTAGAAATCTCCGCCGTGAAGTTTACGGTCTGGAAAGCACCACCGTCTTGGTATTACGGTGCGGAGACTTACCACGGAACTTTGTTGGGATCTGCTGCGTGCGGCAGGAATCCCTCGTTCGTATAGCGCTGGGTGTTATGGCGGGTAACGAGAAGTACGTTCAGGCGACAAACGACGACGCGACCGTCAGTAAACTGTGAGTATTATTGTCTGCAGCGGGTGATACGATACGAACCATGGGTGAAGTATTGTCAGTAATGTCACGAGATTACGTGCAGGGAACTCGAGACGACGTCGCGACGCGACCGTCAGAAAATTGTGGGCATTGTCCCGAGCAAGGCCGTTTCTCAGGAACTAACGTTGTCTTACGAAATGACGACGCAACCGACAATCAGAAAAACTGCGAGCATTGTACGGAGCGGGTCAGGCTCAAGGCCCTGGGATTGTGACGTCATGAGTCCAGGGATTGTGACGTCATGAGTCCAGGGATTGTGACTTCATTAGCCTAGGGACTAAAACGGAATGGCTTGAATAGAGAATTTCAGGCGACGGAAGACGGGGAACGACAACGGGCGACGCGGAACGACAGGCAGAAACCACCAGGGCCTCCTGTGAAGTATTGTTACCTGACTTAACGAGTTAGTGGAAAAAAATTCCCCCCCAGCAATTGACTTTTGAGTCGACTCAAAATTCCCCCCCAGCAATTGACTTTTGAGTCGACTCAAAATTCCCCCCCAGCAATTCCAGCATCTCCAGAGGCCGCTACTTCCGTATGACTCACACACACCCCTTCTCCCGTCCTCCACTCTCCCTCTTACGCCCCTACTCTTGCAGCTCCTGCGTGACCAAGGGTTGTTTTCAGTTCTCCTTTGTGAAGCTCTTGGCTTTTGAGGCACCACAGAAGAGCAAACCATGGTTCACCCAACCGTGTTTCACCCAACCCTTTCCCACTGCCCCTATACTCCCCCATCAGTTCCTGCGTCACAAAAGGCTATTTCCAGGACCCCTTTGTGAAGCTCTTTGTTCACCCTTGAAGCCCCCCCTTCCCCCTTCTTTCTCCTCTTTACTCCCCCATCAGTTCCTTTGTCACAAAAGGTTATTTCCAGGACCCCTTTGTGAAGCTCTTTGTTCGCCGCCCGGCCAGGCGCTCCCCCGTCATCCACCGAGGCGACTTCGCCCGCTGGGCTGCGCTGCAGTCTTACCACCTCCCACCTCCAAACCCCCCTACTTCTCCACCATTCCCCCTCCAACCAACCGCCGCCTTCCTTCCTTCCCTCTCTCTCCTGCCTTCGTAACGTTACTTCCCCTTCCTCCCTTCCCTTCCCTTCTTGCCCTTACTCCCAGTTCCTGTGTCGCCAAGGGTTACTTTCAGGATCCCTTCGTGACGCTATTTGTTCGCCGCCCGGCCCGGCGCTCCCCCGTCATCCACCGAGGCTACTTCGCCCGCTGGGCTGCGCTGCAATCAGAACAACTCCCACCCTCCCCTTCCCCCTACTCCCCTACCTTTTCCCCGTCCACCCCACCGCCCCCTTCCTCCCCTCCGTTTCCGCTCTTCTTACTCTTACTCCCCCATCAGCTCCTGTGTAACAAAAGGCTATTTCCAGGATCCCTTTGTGAAGCTATTTGTTCGCCGCCCAGCCAGGCGGTCTCCCGTCATCCACCGAGGCTACTTCGCCCGCTGGGCTGCCCTGCAGCAGCTCGTTGACCAGTTCCTCTCGGTTAGCGGTTCAGCTAATAACGAGGACAGGCCCAGGGGTCCTCCCGGGAGTGATCAGGAGAGTCAAGGGGAGTCAGAAAAGTCAAGGGAGTCAACAGGGGCATCGGATGTGACTCTGCAGATCATTTCCTTGGGAGCAGGCTTCGACACACTCTTCTTTAGACTCCAGGTGCGTTCTCTGTGTCTTTCACATAACGATGCTGGAGGAGAGTCAAACGAGTCAAGAGAGTCAACAGGGGCATCGGATGTGACTCTGCAAATCATTTCCCTGGGAGCAGGACTTGACACCCTCTTCTTCAGACTCCAGGTGCGTTCTCTCTTTCTCTCTGTCTGCCGTTGGATGATCATCGAGAATTCTCAAGAATCACTCGCATGGGATGATCATCATGGCAGACAGACAGTATTCTGTCACCTGCTAATTTGATTCGCTTTACATTTTCCACACGGAGAAGCATGTGGGGATTGTTGTTTATTAGCGACCACCGACTGCTGCCTTTCCCTACTTCTCTTTCCCTCCGCCATATGCTTCTCTGTGATGCCATACGTGTTGCTGTGATGGCAGACGGAGGGCAGAGCCCCACATAGATTCATCGAGGTGGATTTTCAAGAGGTGAGCGCTTGAATGGGGCAGAGGGCAGAGGGCAGAGGGCAGAGGGCAGAGGGCAGAGGGCAGAGGGCAGAGGGCAGAGGGCAGAGGGCAGAGGGCAGAGGGCAGAGGGCAGAGGGCAGAGGGCAGAGGGCAGAGGGCAGAGGGCAGAGGGCAGAGGGCAGAGGGCAGAGGGCAGAAGACAGAGGGCAGAGGGCAGAGGGCAGAAGACAGAGAGCAGAGGGCAGAGGGCAGAGGGCAGAGGGCAGAGGGCAGAGGGCAGAGGGCAGAGGGCAGAGGGCAGAGGGCAGAGGGCAGAGGGCAGAGGGCAGAGGACAGAGAGCAGAAGACAGAGGGCAGAGGGCAGAGGGCAGAAGACAGAGGGCAGAGGGCAGAGGGCAGAAGACAGAGGGCAGAGGGCAGAGGACAGAGCCCCGAAGAGATTCATCGGATCGGAAATGAATGGCTTTTAAGTGGCTTTATCAGTTCCTTGTAAACTCCGCATGCCTCATACCATCATGCCCCCATGGCCCGATGCCATGATGCCATCATGCCCCCATGACCCCTTGCCATCGCCCACCTTTCCTCCGTTGCTCTCGCCGCACACCACCGCTCTCAACCCAACCCACTCCACCAGGTGGTAGCAAAGAAAGCAGCCATCATCAACGCCAAGCCGGAGCTCGCAGCGTGCCTGGGCGCACGCACTCCCCAAGCCGCCCCCCTTCCACCATTCCCTCTCTTGTTCTCACCGCACACCACCACACCACACCACCATTTCTAACCCACACCACCAGGTGGTAGCAAAGAAGGCAGCCATCATCAACGCCAAGCCGGAGCTAGCAGCATGCTTGGGCCCAAACGTCACTCCGCTGGGTAGGTGTACCGCTCATCGCTCATCGCTCATCCGCTTATCGCTCATCGCTCATCGCTCATCGCTCATCCGCTCATCCGCTCATCGCTCATCGCTCATCGCTCATCCGCTCATCCGCTCATCGCTCATCGCTCATCGCTCATCGCTCATCGCTCATCCGCTCATCGCTCATCGCTCATCTATCTGCTCATCGCTCCGCACACTGAGCCTCTTGTAGGGTTGTCATCCCTCTTTGTCCCCAAACAAACGACCCCTTCTGTTTCTTAGTTCCTCTTCACTCCCTCCCTCCCTTCCCTCCCCTCCTTTTTTTGCCTGTCTATCACCTCCCCACGTCTCTCCCTCTTTCCGCTCCTTATTCGCTCTTTTTTCGTCCTAATCTTCATTAGAGGGCGGCGGGTTGCCCTCCTCGAATGGCTATTCCCTTGTGTCGGCCGATTGCAGAGACACTGACAAACTGGTGCTCTCTCTTCTTTCTCCCCTCGTCCCCCCACCCCCTCCCTCCCCTCTCATGCCCCCTCTCTCACCCACACCCTTCTCCCCGCCTCCCGGAAGGTGCCGGTCTCCGTTCCTCGAATGGCAGTGGGGTTCTTCGTCTCCTCCCACCAGTCATGAGGAGCACAGCGCCACCAACGCCAACAGCAGCACAGCAGCGCCGATCGCAGCACCTCCACCAACCGTAGCAGCAGGAGCAGTGCCAACCGCAGCAACACTAGAAGTGCCAACCGCAGCAGCACTTGCAGTGCCAACCGCAGCAGCACTAGCAGTGCCAACCCAGCTGGTGAGTGCACAGTTGCTCTCAGCCTCCAACCTGGGTTGAGAGGCTGGGAGGCTGAGAGCAACTGTGCACTCACCACCTGGGTTGGCACTTCTAGTGCTGCTGCGGTTGGCACTGCTAGTGCTGCTGCGGTTGGCACTGCTAGTGCTGCTGCGGTCGGCACTTTTAGTGCTGCTGCGGTTGGCACTTCTAGTGCTGCTGCGGTTGGCACTTCTAGTGCTGCTGCGGTTGGCACTTCTAGTGCTGCTGCGGTTGGCACTGCTCCTGCTGCTGCGGTTGGTGGAGGTGTTGCGGTCGGCGCTGTGCTGCTGTTGGTGTTGGTGGCGCTGTGCTCCTCACAACTGCTGTCTCTCCATCCCTTCCTCCTTCCCCCCTTCCCCCCCATCTGCACGCTCCTCCCCACCTTCCAGAAGGCAGTGGTCTGCGCTCCTCGAATGGCTACTCCCTCGTGTCGGCCGATTTGAGAGACACAGAGAAGCTGCTGCTCTCTCCTCCCTCTCTCTTCCCCACTCTCTTTCCCTCCCACCCGAACCCTCCCCACCTTCCAGAGGGTGCAGGCCTGCGCTCCTCGAATGGCTATTCCCTCGTGTCGGCCGATTTGAGAGACACTGAGAAGCTGCCGCCCTCTCTTTTCCCTCTCCATCCCCCGCACGCTCCCCCCCATCTTCAGAGGGTGTCGGTCGGCGCTCCTCAAATGGTTACTCCCTGGGGTCGGCCGAATTGAGAGGTACTGACAAGCTGCTGCTCTCTCCCATCCTCTTTTCCCCCTTTTCTCCCCCCCTCCCCCTTCAGAGGGTGCTGGTCTGCGCTCCTCGAATGGCTATTCCCTCGTGTCTGCTGATTTGAGAGACACTGACAAGCTACAAGAGGCACTTGCAGCAGCTGGAGCCGAGTTCGGACCCAAGTGAGTGAGGGAGGGTTGGAGCAGGGCGAAGAGGAGTGAGAGAGGGAGGAGGGAAAGGTAAATCACAGATACTGATAAGCTGCAAGAGGCACTCGCAGCAGCTGGAGCTGACTTTGGGCCCAAGTGAGTGCCAGGAGACAAGTGGTGGGTGGGGAGTGGTGGAGAGGGATGGAGAGGGGTGGGGAGGGGGGTAGGGTACATTTGGGTTGGAAGTCACTGAGAAGCTGCAAGAGGCGCTTGGAGCAGCTGGAGCGGAGTTGAGGGAGGTGATGGAGTGGTGGAAAAGGGTGGAGAGGGGCGCAGAGGGGTGGTGATGGGGGAGATGCGTCTGCTCATCTACATGGACGCACCCAGCAGCAGCAAACTTTTAAAACTATTTTATTTTATTACCTTTCCTTCCTTCAACCCCCGGCCATCAGCACAGCAACGCTATTCCTCTGTGAGTGCGTGCTCATCTACATGGACGCACCCAGCAGCCACAAGCACTCCTCTGATGCACTCATTCCATCCCCACTCTCCCCACACACCAACAGCGCAGCGACGTTACTCTCTGCGAGTGCGTGCTCATCTACATGGACGCGCCCAGCAGCAGCAGGCGTTCCTCGTACCCACTCCCCCATCCCCATCCCTCTTCCCCCTACTGTTGCTCACCCACCATACAGCACAGCAACGCTATTCCGTTGCGAGTGTGTGCTCATGTACATGGATGCGCCCAGCAGCAGCAGGGGCTTAAACAGCAAGCACCATACAGCACAGCAACGTTTGAACCTTTCTTGAACCTTTGTCCTCACCTTATCGTCCCTTGTAGATCAGAGCAAGCGTGTGGACAGGGGGACGATAAGGAGAGGACAAGACGCAGAGGAACAACCAAACGCTTGCTGCTGCAACGTTGTTCCTCTGCGGGTGTGTGCTCATCTAGTTTTGAGGCGCCTCAAAACTGTCCTCATCTACATGGTCGCGCCCAGCAGCAGCAAGCGTTTCTCTACCCACTCCCGCTATCCCCGTTCCTCTTCCCCCCAATCGTGCCCACCCACCAACAGCACAGCAACGCTGTTCCTCTGCGAGTGCGTGCTGATCTCCATGGACGCGCCCAGCAGCAGAAAGCAACTTTCGTCCCCTCCTCACCCCACTTCCTCCCTTGCCACCAACAGCACAGCAACGCTGTTCCTCTGCGAGTGCTCACCTACATGGGCGCGCCCAGCAGCAGCAGGCTCATGGCCTGGGCAGCTGCTGCAAATTTCTACCTGCAACTCTCTACCCTCTACTACTGCCCCTCCCCATGCACCAACAGCACAGCGACGCTATTCCTTTGCGAGTGCGAGCTCATCTACATGGACGCACCCAGCAGCAGCAGGCTCGTGGCCTGATCATAGCAGCTGTTTCAAACGCTCGACCCTTTATCCTGCCCCTCTTCCCGTCCAATCCAACCAACAGCACAGTGCCCTCATCTACATGGACGCACCCAGCAGCACCGAGCGTTTCTCTGATTACTCTCCCTCTTCCCCGTCCTCCTTCCCCCCTATCGTGCCCACCCACCAACAGCACAGCAATGCTATTCCTTTGCGAGTGTGTGCTCATCTACATGGACGCGCCCAGCAGCAGCAGGCTCGTGGCCTGGACTTTGCCACTGTTTCAAGTCAAAGCCACTTTTTCAAGTTCCACACGCATTCCCCCCCTTCCCTGCCAACAGCACAGCAACGCTACTTCTATGTGAGTGCATACTCATCTACATGGACGCACCCAGCAGCAGCAGGCTCGTGACGTGGGTCTTAGGCATTGTTATAATTTCAACTAGTCCCTCCCCTTCTCTTTCCAACAGCACAGCAACGTTATTTCTATGTGAGTGCGTATTGATCTACATGGACGCGCCCAGCAGCCAGAAACTCGTGGCATGGGCGGCAGAGAAGTTTGGTCAGAGAAGTTTGGTCGTCCCTCTTCCCCCCACTCTCACCCACCCACCAACAGCACAGCAACACTGTTTCTCTGCGAGTGTGTATTGATCTACATGGACGCGCCCAGCATCCACAAGCTCTCCTCTGATTCACTCGTTCCATCCCCACTCCCCCCACCCACCAACAGCACAGCAACGCTGTTCCTCTGTGAGTGCGTACTGTTCTACATGGACGCGCCCAGCAGCAGCAGGCTCGTGGCGTGGGCGGCAGAGAAGTTTGGCACGGCGGCGTTTGTTGTTTACGAGCAGATCCGCCCGCCCCGAGCGGCGTTTGTCGTATACGAGCAGATCCGCCCCGACTCGTGGCCTGGGGGTCTTGGCAGCTGTTTCATTTCAACTCCCACTCGCATTTTCCTATCCACCTGCATGTACCCTCTCTGTCAACAGCACAGCAACCCTCCTCTTGTGCGAGTGCGTACTGATATACATGGACGCGCCCAGCAGCCAAAAACTCGTGGCGTGGGCGGCTGAGAAGTTTGGCACGGCGGCGTTTGTTGTTTACGAGCAGATCCGCCCAGACGATGCCTTTGGGCAGCAGATGATCCAAAACCTGGAGGTGGGCCACTCATTGGTGAGCCGCTCCTGGCTATTATTTATAGAATGTACTGCCGGATATGGAAATCTCTAGAAGGCGCTGCTACTGGGTGACATGTTTGTCGTCTATGAGCAGATCCGACCCGACGATGCGTTCGGGCAGCAGATGATCCAAAACCTGGAGGTGGGTGGGCGGATGGTTGGCTGTTATTTATAGAAACTAATGCCAGATATAGAAAGCAGAACGATAAGGCAAGGCACTGCTGCTGTGCGCAGTGTTTGTCGTCTACGAGCAGATCCGCCTGGGCGATGCGTTCGGGCAACAGATGATCCAAAGCCTGGAGGTGAGCTGCTGGTTGCTAAATATAGAAAGTAGTGCTGGATATGGAAAGCTCCAAAAGATACGAGGCACGGTTGTGTGCTTTGCTTGTCGTCTACGAGCAGATCCGCCCGGACGACGCATTCGGGCAGCAAATGATCCAAAATTTGGAGGTGACCTTACAGGCTGCTATTTTTAGAAAGTATTGCTGGATATAGCAAGCACTCGGAAGCAAGAAGTACTGTCTTTGTTGTCTACGAGCTGATCCGTCCGGACGATGCATTCGGGCAGCAGATGATCCAAAACCTGGAGGTGGGTGGGCGGATGGTTGGCTGTTATTTATAGAAACTACTGCCAGATATGGAAAGCACGATAAGGCAACGCACTGGTGCTGTGTGACATGTTTGTCGTCCACAAGCAGATCTGTCCGGATGATGCCTTCGGGCAGCAGATGTTCCAAAACCTGGAGGTGAGCTACGAGCTGCTATTTATAGAAAGTATTGCTGGATATAGCAAGCACTCGGAAGCAAGCTGCGACATGTTTGTCGTCTACGAGCAGATCCGTCCGGACGATGCCTTCGGGCAGCAGATGATCCAAAACCTAGAGGTGGGTGGGCGGATGGGTGGCTGTTATTTATAGAAACTAATGCCATATATAGAAAGCACGATAAGGCGAGGCACTGCTGCTGTGTGCAGTGTTTGTCGTCTACGAGCAAATCCGCCCCGATGATGCCTTCGGGCAGCAGAGGATCCAAAACCTGGAGGTGAGCTACAGGCTGCCATTTATAGAAACTAATGCCAGATAAAGAAAGCACGACAAGGCGAGGCACTGCTGCTGTGTGAAGTGTTTGTCGTCTACGAGCAGATCCGCCCGGATGATGCTTTCAGGGGGCGATCCAAAACCTGGAGGTGAGAGTTGGTTGATTGCTTGTGTCAGAAAGTATTTCTGAAAACGGAAAGCTCTAGAAGGCAAGGCACTGCTGCGGGTAACATGTTTGTCGACTACCTAGAAATCCGCCCAAGGTGACTTCTGAGTCAACTGAACAGCCATCTGAGTCGACTCAAAAGCCATCTGAGTCGACTCAAAAGCCATCTGAGTCGACTCAAAACTCACCTCGTCCACTACCAGGAAATCCGCCCGACTATTCGACGTTTGAGACGCCTATAAAATGTCATGTCCGTCCACCACTGGGAAACTCGCTCAAGTATTTCTGGTTTACCCTCTGAAAATGGAGATCTCCATGCCGCATTGCCCCTAATGTTCCCTGTCTCACTTAAAGTGGATGTCCCACTCACAAAAGTGGACGTCCCACGCACAAAAGTGGATGTCCCACGCACAAAAGTGGATGTCCCACGCACAAATGTGGATGTCCCACGCACAAAAGTGGATGTCCCACGCACAAAAGTGGATGACCCACTCACGAAAGTGGATGACCCACTCACCCTCTTCACCTCCCCGCTCGTCGCTTCTCCTCTCCTCCCTTCTCCCTTCTCCTCACTTCTCCCCACTTCTCCCCGCCTTGCTCTCTGTCAGGCTGCAGCGTAGTTACATATCACAACTCTGTACCCCTCACATATCTGATACATCACCACGCACACCACCCTCTCCACCTCTTCTCACCCCTGGCTTCTTGGTCGGGACTGCCCTCTGCTTGGGATCAGAGCCGCGTTTTGAGTAGACTCAAAACACGGCTCGTTTTGTATCGACTCACACCTATCTTTACCGCTCTTCACCCCTGACTGGTTGTAAGGCTCGGGGCTGCCCGCTGATTGGCATCAGAGCCGTATTTTGAGTCGACTCACACCTCTCTTTACCCCTCTTCACCCCTGGCTGCTTGTCAGGCTCGGGGCTGCCCTCTCCTCGGCATCAGAGCCACACCAACACTAGAAGCAAAGGAGAAGAGATTTCTCGATGGTGGATTTGAGGTAAGGCTTTTTCCCTTAATGATCCCAGTCTTGCGTCCCGTGGTTGGAGCACTGTGTTTCAGGGCTGTAGCGGAACCGGCTTCCTGCTTTTTTAACCACATGATAAAAGTAGTGTTTTGAGACGGCTCAAGACAATAAGGCCTTTTCTGTCTCATGATCCCAGTCTGGCGTTCCATGGTTGGAGCACTGTGTTTCAGGTGTGTTGAGGTACCAGCTTCCGCGTGTAATGAGTCGAGTTTTGAGTCGACTCAAAACGCGACTCATTACACGCAGTCTTGCGTTCCATGGTTGGAGCACTGTGTCATGTTTGTTGAGCTGCCAGCTTCCTGCTTCTTAACCACACTGTGTTTCTGGAATTTTTCGTCAAATTTTTCCCCTCACATCTGGTGCTGTGTTGTGCAGAGAAGCAAGGCAGTAGACATGGACGTGATCTATTCACACCACATCGATCCACAGCTCGTCAGAAAGTGAGGACTGCACTGCACTGCACTGCACCGCACTGCACTGCACTGCACGGCACTGTATTGCATGTGCCGTTCCGCGGTTGTGCAGAGAAGCAAGGCAGTAGACATGGATGCAAGTTATTCACACCGCATCGATCCACAGCTCGTCAGAAAGTGAGGACCGCAATCCACTGCACTGCACCACCTTGCACCTCACTGCACTTCACTGCACGTGCCGTTCCATTCCATGCTTCTGTTTAAGCAGTTTTGTGTTGTCCCGATTTTGGACCACTGAAACCCCATTCGCCCCACTTCCCATCCTTTACTTCTTTTTCTCCTGCTTTCCCATCTTTGGGAACACATGAGATGCTTTCCCATCGTGGCTCCCCTTACATCTCTTCACTCATCTCATTTCACATTGCATTTCACTTTCACATGCTGTGTCACATCTTGTTTCACATTCCCCTGCTTTCTCCTTCTGCCTCCTTGTTCCCTCAGAATCGAACCCTTGAAGGCTTTCGATGAGGTTGAGTTGTGGCATCTCATGAGTTCCCATCCTGGTTGCCTGCACATTCAGTCTCACATTCCCTTGCTCCCTCCTTCAACCTCCTTTTACCCACAGAATCGAGCCACTGGAGATATTTGATGAGTTTGAGGAGTGGCATCTCATGCAGGTGAGTCTCATCTTTGCTTATCACTTTGTCGTTCCGTGTTACACCTCATAAGCGGCTCGCCTTGTTCTTAGTTTCTGCTATTGATGAACTGTCACTGATTTATTCTCTGGATCAATCCCTCTTACTTACATACAGGAACATTACTGTATTGCATATGGAATAAAGGATGCTCTGGTAAGTTATTCTGGCTGACCACCGTTTGAAACCCTATTCCGAAGCTGGTTTCCCCCCCTTTTTTCGCTAACAGATGTTTATGTTCTTCAATAACTTCCGTGTTGGTGTGTTTTTTTATTACAGGGTGTTCTCCACAACTTTGGGTTTCGTATATTCTCTCAGGACACAACATAGCCTGCGCATATGCAGGTTGTGGTAGGAGATAGTTGTAAAAGACACTACTAATTTGAAGTAGAAAATTCCATGGACCATAAAAAACCTCTATAATCATTCTCTACGAATTCATTAACTGTAAACAAATGTAACACAATACAATACATCCGCAGTTGTCTGTACAGAGGCAAATCACAGCAGCCGTCGATCACAACCTCCTCCCATCTCGCAAACGTTGAGCTCCTTTTTCAACTTCGGCTGAACGAAGCAGATCGCATCAAGTCCAGTCCCGAGCTTCCCCCACAAAGCTGCTAACGACGTGTTGCGACCCACCCGGGTCGGGTCGACCACCCCCCGATCCCGAATTTCTAGGAAGCCCGCACTGCCGACCTACCCGACCAGGTCGACCCGACCCAACCCAACCCGGGTCGTGTCGACCCGGGTCAACCCGGGTCGACCGGGTCGGGTCGACCAGGCCGACCAAACCCAACCCAGCCGAGCTGGAACAGGTTACCGGAGCCTGCGAAATCTGTGTTTCTCACGCGGATGTCGCTTGTATCTCGTTTAAGAAAAAGATACCCGGTAATATCGCCAAACATTGCCTCGCCCACCTTCCACCTGCGGAGCACTTGCTGTCTCTTTACTTAGAATTTGCAGAGAAGGCAACGGGAAATTCTTTGATTTCTCGAGTCGCGTTGGGGTTGGGTCGGGTCGGGTCGACCCTAGTCGACCGGGTCGACCCGACCCGACCCGGGTGGGTCGCAACACGTCGTAAAAACTAGCATGGTAGCACCTCTTTATTGCCAGCGAAAGCCTTAGGGCGTATTCCTAGCTTCGGGTCATCCGGTGTTTGTGTCATCCGAAAATTGAGGTAGCCAATCGGAAAACCCGCGGTTCGAAATTCGAATTTTTCGATTGGATACCGCAAATTTCGGATGACATGAAGCCGGGATGACCCTAAGCCAGGAATACGCCCTTAGTCTTCTGAACAACCTCAAGAGTTGAGCCGAACAGAAGAGCTGCCGGTATTCACGGGTGCAGCACGCTGCTAGTTCCATGCGCAGCCACGCAATTACCGCGAAACAGGTCTTGATTCACAATCTCCGTTCGTGACTTGCCCCCCAGCACGCCTAACACCAATCGCGGGCCCTTGATCAACGGGTTGTAAACCACGATCTTCTTTTTCGGATCCGCCGTTGGTAACCCTTTACCCTTGGGTTGAGCTTTCAGAGTAACGTAGTCGTAATTGTCGAAGAGCACGTTAACCATTGCGATATCCTGAAACTTTTTCGACTTCCGAATAAGTTGCATTAGAATCGCGGGGTTGATGCTTGCATTGAGAAGCGCGCGATTGGTTGGAACGAGAATCGTTATCGCAGGAGGCAACTTGCTAGGAGCGTCCTTCTCTGTTTGGGAAAAGACAAGAGGGGGGGAGGGGGAGAGGGGAGAGGTAGAGAGGGGGGAAGGGGGGTTGAGGGAGAGGCGGGGTTGGGGAGGGGAGGATGAGGAAGAAAGAGCAGGGTGTGGGGGCAGGGGGAAGGGGGGAATGGAGAAGGGGGTGAGACGATACAAAAAAGCTCATTCTCGAATATCACTGTCTCAAAAACTATAAGCTCGCATCTAAGGGTTGCATCCCGACCCCGCCAAGGTCAACGCCCCTGCCTCCTTGTGCTACTAATATTATTTTCTTTCCAGAGACTGCTTGAAGGCGCAACATTAGCTTTTGAGTAGACTCAGAAGCCAGCTCAACGACCCTGCCTCCTTGTGCTACTAATATGATTTGTTCAAAAGACTTCATGAAGGCGCAACCTTTGTTTTTGGGTCGACTAAAAAATCGCCGCTGCCTCCTGTGCTACTATCATTTGTCCAGATTGCTTGAACGAGCACTGACCCTTGTATTCTAGCCCTTTACTCATCGCAACAGCCATGCCGTCGTAACGCGTTGGTCGTTTCGCCAAAGTTCGCTGAAGCTTCTTCAGGTCGCCGACGAACTGTCGCCACGTGCATCCGACGTCGGGGAACGGGAAACCTGGACTTACGACGGCTGCGACAACGGTCTGCCCGATAAGAAAAACTGCGAGCGCTGCGAAAAATTGAAAGCGATTCGACGCCATAGTCGCAAAATCGAGGCTATTGACCACGAATCTGACAGAGATGTTTGGTTTGGTCCGTCGAAGGTAGAAGATGGAACGCGGGAAAGTGAAGTGACGCATCATGGGCTCTTTCATCTATTCACCCTCCGACTGTCAGAGGGCTTTACGAGTTCACAACAGGTCCGCGTTGACTTTTCTCCTTTGTTCACAGAAACACCAACGCGGGCGTGCGTTCGTTCGTCGTGGTTCCACGGATGACTTAGGAGTCTGGTCTAGAGCAGTAGGGAGTGAGTGCCGTGAGGAGTCGGTCACTCCCATGTTGAGTTTGATGAATAGTAAATTAGGGCAGGGGCAGGATGCACTATTGTACCCAATGGAAAACGGACGCGATTCGGATTAGAGTTGACTATGCGAGTTCTAGTATCCCTGCTGGTTGCAAAAAACTACTGTTCATGCATGGTGGGCTACACCTATCATACAGCATCTTCTCCTCTTCTGTTTGACACTTCGTCGTGGTTGGGGTGGGTGCACGGTGGCAGCTGGCGTGGGGCAATTCCATAGATCCTCGGTATAAGCGGGGATTGCACAGTATCAGACGAATATAACAGGCACCAAACATATATAGTTTCTGCAAAGAATATATTTCACATATGTTACACCAGGTATCTCTGTATCCCCAGTCGGTTCCCCGACCTGCAATCTTAACTTCATCCTCTCTGTACGACCAGCAAAAGCCTTGGTGCTTCATTACAAAACCTTGAGCTGAGCAGAAAAAAGTCGGCTGCTTTCACGGCTGAAGCAGTCTGCTGATTCCTTGCGCAACAATGCAATTCCCGGTAAACAGGTCCTTATTCATGATCTCCGCTCGTCCCTTCGCCCCCACGACACCCAGCGTCATTCCCGTGCCTTTCATCAACGGGCTATCCTGGCCCTTGAATCTCGCGACCTTCTTGTTCGAATCCGCCGTTTGTATCCCTTGCCCCTTGGGTGTAGACTTCAACGTACTGTAGTCGTATTCGCCGACGAGCACGTTCACCTTGGCGATATCCTGAACCTTCTTCTTGTTCTGGATGAGTTCGATCAGGAAAGCAGGGTTCAGGCTCGCGGCGAGAAGCGCGCGATCGGTCGGAATGAGAATGGTGACTGCAGGAACCAATTCGCTCGGAGTACTTTTTTCTGTTGGGGAAGGGAAGAACGAAGGGAGGTGTGGGGGCGGGGGATGGGGGAGATGGGGGAGAACAGAGGTTGTGAGGGTAGGAGAGGGAAGGAAAGAGTTTAGGTAAACGGAAACATCTCCTTTCAATGAATCGCCTCTCTTGGACTCTCGTTCATACGTTTCATCTCGAACCGGCCCTTCTCAACAAACAATGCCCCCTGACCTGAGACTCGTGTTACCACACTGCACGAGCACTCACGCATCTTTTTCAGCCCTTTTTTCAGCGCGAAGGCCATGCCGCCGTAACGCACTGGATTCTTCGCCAAAGTTCGCTGAAGCTTCTTCATTTCGCCCACGAACTGGTCCCACGTGCACACGCCCGTTCCGCCGGGTATCGTAATCGGAAAGCCCGGAATCAGCCCGTCTGCGTCTGCGCTCTGCGCGATGAACAGAACGGCTAGCGTTGCTAATATTTGCCAGCGAATCGACGCCATGTTCGCGAATTCGACGCAGCTAACCTCGAATCTAGCACAATCGGACGACTCTAGTTGAGGGAGTCGAACGAGAGGTTGTTCGACAATTACACCATGAAGGTCTCCAGTTGTGCTAGGAAGTATTTCAGCATAGATTGCGCTAGGCACCCGAGTGAGAACAGTGCATTTCCCTCAGCCCCACGCATTTGTAACCTGCTTTTCCATATCATGGCTCGCGCATTTGGCGCTTGCTTGATGGGCTCGGCTCGGCAGCACCTGGAGGAGAAAACAACAGATCATCTTGTCGCCCGAACCGACAGCCAAAACTTGCATGCTGCAAAACCTCTCTACCGAGAGAAAATGTACGTTACTCGACCGAACCGCAACGAATATTTATTCATGTCGGCGCTCAGGGGCTTGCTGCTCCTTCAGCAGTTCGGCCCGCGGTTTGTGACCCCGAACCAGGTTCGGCAGCCAAATCAATCAGCGGTTCTGGGTTTCGCCACGACTGCGAGCATCTCCTGACACGGCAGATTTGTTGCCTGCCTATCGCCACATTTCGTGCATGATCGCAGCCGTTCAAATTCCCCATGTGCATGCACAAACACACACGCTCACGGTTCTGGTCAGTTCGCCGCCCAAGCAACCTTCTTTCGCCGAGATGCTGCTGTCCGTCGCTAACCAACCAGATAGGGAGGGACCTACGTGAAGCAGCAAATGCCTATTGGTGGGGCTTGTCGGTGTGCGGCTCGGGAAGTGGGACACCGATGCCCTCGACGAAAACATCCTCTATAGTTTTTAAGAGGAGATACATCCAGCAATGAATGAGAAGGCCGAGGCAACGTCATCAAAAGAAACATAGTTCGATTGATTTTATAAGCTTGATGTAAATCCATAATTTTCAGCTTCCATGCCACCCTCACTGCACCATCATCGCATCTAGCGTTTCGTAATAATGTCTCCTACACCCCCCTCCCAGCCTGCCTCCTCCATACCCAATTCTCACTTCCTCCACCTATCCCACCACCTCTCACACCTCTTCGTCCTCCTCTTCCTCCTCGTTCTGCTCTTCCTCCTCGTTCTGCTCTTCCTCCTCGTCTTCCCCTTCCTCCCCCTCTTTCTCCACTTCCTCCCCCACTTACTCCTGCTTCCCTGTCAGACACACTCTCGTCCCCACCTCTCCCATGTCCCTGCCACGCGTCCCAAGGGTTAATCTCCTGTGTCACATTCTTACCCCATGCTCCTCCTTCAGTCTTATCTGCTTCTGACCCCCACCCCTGCCCTCCTCCCTCTCCCCAACCACCTCCACTTCCCCCTCCCCAACCACTTCCATCCCCCCAACCCCTTCCTCCTTCTCCCCAACTACCCTTGCCTCCGCCTCCTTCTCCGCTTCCCCCTCCCCTCGTCCTTCTCCTCCCCCCTGACCTCCCCCTTTCCCCCAACTCCGTGTCCCTTCCCCTCCCCAACCACCTCCACCCCCATTTCCTCCCCTTTCTCCTCCCTCTTTCCCCCAACCACCCGTACCTAATGCTCCCCAATCCCCTCCATCTCCCCCATCTCCTCCCCAACCGCCTCCGCCCCACCCTCCTCCTCCTCCTTCTCCTCCCCCCTGACCACCCCCTTTTCCCCATCCCCCTCCCCAACCACCTCCACTTCCCCCTCCAACTCCCCCTTCTCCCCCCCAACTCCCCCCTGCTCCTCCCCACCCCTCTGAACCGGCTTCTCTTGTCCCCCATCCTTCGTACGTACGCTCCTGCCCCTGCGATTGCCCTTCCGCTCGCCCTTCCACTCGCCCTTCCACTCGCCCTTCCACTCGCCCTTCCACTCGCCCTTCCACTCGCCCTTCCACTCGCTCCCCCACTTGCTCCTCCCCTAGCCCTTTCCCTACTGTGTGCCCCTCCCTTACCGAATCCCCATGCGTGAACCCTGGTGGACCCACACCTTCCCTACCTTCAGAAACTGGCTGCGCTCTGAAGCTGTAAAGTTTTCCTCTCCCCCCTCTCCCTCTCCCCCCCCTCCCTCTCACACTGTTTCCTCTCCCTCCTCCTTCCACCCTTTCTTCCCAACGAGTTTCCCAAACCGCCTCTGCCTCTTCACCCCTCCACCCCCATCCCCCTCCCTCCACTTCCCTCTCTCCCCTCCTTCTCCGCTCCCACGGATCCCTCCTGTCCCTGCTCCTGCTCCTACTTCTGCTCCTCTCTCTTCCTCTCCTCCTGTCGCCGCTCCTACTTCTGCTCCTGCTTCTCCTCCTCCTTCCCTCCCTGCTTCTACTCCTGTGTCTTCCCCTATGCTTGCTCCTGCTCCTCTCTCTACCCCTATCCCCGCTCCTACTCCTCTTTCTTCCCCTATCTCTGCTCCTACTCCTCTTCCTTCCCCTATCTCTGCTCCTACTCCTCTTCCTTCCCCTATCTCTGCTCGTACTCCTGTGCCTATCCCTATCCTTGCTCCTGCTCCTCTTTCTCTCCCTACCCCTGCTTTTGCTGCTGGGACCACTAATGGCATTACTCATCCTGCCCTCCTCTCCTCTCGTTTCTTGCTCTTCCCCTCTCGTCCCTTGCTCCTCCCCTCTCATCCCTTGCTCCTCCCCTCTCCTCCCTTGCTCCTCCCCTCTTCTCACCCGCTCCGCTCCTCCTGTCCCTTGCTCCTGTGTTCCCAACCCTTCATCTCCCCCCATTCCAAATCTCCCTTCCACTTCCGCTCTCTCTCCCATCTCCTGCATTCCATTTCCTCGTGCTCCCAACACCCTGCTGTTCCCTTCTGTCACTCCCTCACCGCCCTCCTTACCACCCTCCCCCACTCCCTCACCACCCCTTCCCATTCCCTCACCACTCGCTCCCACTGCTCCCCCTTCCCCATCGCCTCCTCCAACCGCTCCCACACCCCCCACTCCTCCCACCGTCCCTGCATTCCTCTCCTCCCTCCCATCCACTCCCCCACCAAGATCCCTTCCCACTCCATTCACATCTCCATTTCCCCACCCCCCTTCTCCACCCCCTCCCACTCCTAGCGCCTGTGCAGCCCTCTCCTCCCTCCTCTGCCGTATCCCCAGCTTCAGCTCCATCGAATCTAGTGAGTCCTCACTCTCATAATCACTCTCGCCATAGTCACATTCTGCGTCGTCCTCGCCGCAATCCATGTCCTCGCTATAGTCACCACCAGGACCACCACCACCATCAGCAGCAGCAGCAGTGCCACCACCACCAGCAACACCACCATCGGCAACACCATCAGCAACACCACCATCGGCAACACCATCAGCAACACCAGCAGCACCACCAGCTGTGAATGTTTCTTGCACATCAGCCATTGCTGTTGCTGTTGTTGTTGCTGCTGCTGCTGCTGCTGCTGCAGCAGCAGCAGCACCACCACCAGCAGCAGCACCACCAGCAGCACCACCAGCAGCACCACCAGCACCACCACCAACAGCAGCACCATCATCATCAGCAGCAGAAGCAGCAGTACCAGCACCAGCAGCAGTACCAACAGCACCACCAGCTGCCGATGCTGCATGCTCATCTGGCATCTCTGTTGCCATTCTTGCTTCTGCTTTGGCTCCTGCTCCTCCTGCTGCTCCTCCTGCTGCTCCTCCTGCTGCTCCTTCTGCTGCTCCTGCTACTACTCCTGCTTCTGCTGCTGCTGGTGTAGCAACCACCACCCTTCGCTCCTCTCCGAGTGCCACTATTCTCAGCCCTATTCGCCCTGCCGGTGCCATTTCTGTTGATGCTTTTGTTGCCCTTGCTGCTGCTGACGCTGCTACTGCAGCTACTGCCAATGCTCCAGCATCTGTAGCTGCTCCTGCTACTCCTCCTCCCCCATCTGCCACAGCTGCTTCCCCTTCAGCTGCGTCTGCTTCACCTGCTCCTGCTACAGCTGCTGCTTCTGCTTTGGCCCCTATTCCTAACTGCTGCTTTGTTGCTAACTGCTGTCCTGCTGTTAATTGCTGCCCTGCTGCTCCTTCTGCTTTGACTTCTGCTGTTATTTGCTGCCCTGCTGCTGAATGTTGCCCTGCTGCAAGCTGCTGCTCTCCTGCTAACTGCTGCTTCCCTGCTGCTATGTGCTGCCCTGCTGCTATGTGCTGCCCTGCTGCTATGTGCTGCCCTGCTGCTATTTGCTGCCCTGCTGCTATGTGCTGCGGCTCTCCTGCTAACTGCTGCTCTGCTGCCAATTGCTGATCTCGTGCTAACTGCTGCTCTGCTGCTTCCCTTTCTGCTAACTGCTGGTGTTTCACCGGCCTCCACTCGTCCAAAAGCAAGCCCATTCGATCCGCAACCACCGCACCACCACTAGCAGCAGCATCCCTCGCGTTCCACACAAGAGTATCCCTAAACCCCGCATAGCCTTCCCACTGGTACAACTCATCGAGGCAGTAGGGCCCCTGGGTTCGACCCCTAGGGTCCGTGTAACACCACCACGGCTTGTGCAGCAGTGTGAGTGGCTTGGGGGTGATGATGGTGGCAGGAGCAGGAGCAGCGACAGCGGCAGGAGCAGCGGCAGGGGCAGGAGCAGGAGCAGGAACAGTAGCAACAGCAGGGGTTGTTGTGGCAGCAAGAGGAGTAGGGACAGCAGAAGGGCCAGTGGCAGGGAAAGAGGCAAGAGTAGCAGGCGCAGCAGTTGCAGCAGTAGCAAGGGCTGGAGCATCCACAGCACCATCAGATGCAGCAGGGGGAGTAGGCGTTTTTAGAGACCTCTCAATAGGCGCAGCAGAAGCGACTGGTGCAGAGGAAGCAGTGAGATCAGCAAGGGGGGCAGTTGCAATGGTAGTTGGACCAGCAGAAACAGCAACGACAGGCAAACCACCACCAAGAGCAGGAGCAGCTGGAGCAATGGCAGCCACAGCAGCAGCAGCAGGTGCAATTGGAGTGGGAGTGATACTCGCACCAATATCTTCCCTCCTCTCTCTCCTCTCGCTGCTTCTACCTTCCATCCTCTCCCTCCTCTCCCTGCTCCCACCATCCCCCCGTTCCCTCCTTTCCTTGCTCCCATCTCGATGCCTCACTTCTCCCCTCTCCCTGCTTTGCTCACTTCCCCCTTCCACCTCCCTTTCTCGTCCTAGCTCCCCCTCCCTATTGCTTCCTTTCACTCTATCCCTTTCCCTCCAACTCGAACCTTCACTGTCCCTCTTCTTCTCTCTTGACCTCTCTCTACCCCTCTCCCTCTCCCTTGATCTCTCTCGACGCCTCTCCCTCTCCCTCGACCTCTCTCTACCCCTCTCCCTCTCCCTCGATCTCTCTCTACCCCTTGCTCTCTCCCTTGATCCCTCTCTACCTCTCCCCCTCTCCCAACTCCTTTCCCAACTCCTCTCCCTCCTGCTATCTCTCGCCCTCTTCTCATCCCTGTCCCGAACCCTATCACCCCCGCTGTTTCTTCCTCTTTCACGCTCTCTCTCCTCATACCTCCCTCTCCCTCCACTCTCACCTCCTCTGCTTCGCTTCCCCTCCCGCTCACTCTCCCCATCATCCCGCTCCCCACCTTCCCTTCCTCTCTTCCTATCGTGAGTGCTGCCCCTATCCGAAGTCTCTCCATACCCTGACTGCTGCTGTTGCTGTTGTTGTTGTTGCTGTTGCTGCTGCTGCTGCTGTTGTTGTTGCTGCGGATGCTGCTGCTGCAAGTGTTCCTGTTGCCTTAAGTTCACCCCTTGCTCTTGGCTAATGGTACCTTTCAAACCAGCATCATGGTCAGCAGTAGCGGCAGCAGTAGCAGCAGCAGCAGCAGCAGCAGCAGCACCACCAGCAGCACCACCAGCATCACCACCACCAGCCGAAAGAGCAGCAGTAGCACTTGCACCAGCTCCAACAGCAGGAGCAGCAGGAGCAGGAGCAGCAGGAGCAGCAGCAACACGTTTTGTGACAGAAGCAACAGCAGGTGTGATTGGAGGGGCAGCAGGAGCATCCACAGCACAAGCAGCAGCAGGAGCAGCAGGAGCAGCAGGAGCAGGAGGAGCAGCAGGAGCAGGTGCAGGTGCAAAGCCGCTTGCTGCACCAGGCGTTTCCACCAGCGACGGAAGGGAGTGAGGGGATGTTGAAGCTGAGGGGAAAGGTATTCCCCATGCATGGAGAGAAACTCCCCCTGGGGGAAGCGGTTTTCCCCCTGTAGGGGTAAGTGCGCCCCTTGCCTGGGAAGGAGTGGCCCCTGGGGAAGGAACGCCTGCTGGGGGAGGCGGAAGTCCCCCTGTGGGCGGAGCTGCTCCCCCTGTGGGTTGAGGTGCTCCCTCTGAGGGGGGCGGTTTTTCCCCTAAGGGCGGAGGTGCTCCCCTGGTGGGCGGAATAGCCCCCCCTGAGGGCGGAGGTGCCACCCCTGGGGGCAGAGCAGCCCCTGGGGGCGGAGGTGCTCCCCCCGGGGGCGCAATTGCTCTCCCTATGGGCGGAGGTGCTGCCCCTGGGGGAATAACGGCTGGGGGAAGAGGGGAATGCGTGAGTGGGGAGGGAACCACGCCAGGGGGAAGGGGTTGGTCTTGTGGTGACTCGTAGCTGGAGAGAGGTATGAAGTCGGGAGGAGGGGTTAATGTCTGCGACGCATCAAAAGTCTTCTGAGATGTGTGCAAAGGTGACTGAGTGGAGAGAGGTATGAAGTCGGGAGGAGAAGTCAACTTCTGGGACGCCTCAAGAGGTGACTGACTGGAAAGAGGTACTAAGTCAGGAGCGGTCAAATCCTTAGATGCATCAAGGGGTGATTGACTGCTACAGAGAGGAATGAAGTCGGGAGGGGTTAACTTCTGAGATGTCTCGAAAGGTGATTGACAGCTGGAGAGAGGTATGAAGTTGGGAGCGGTTAGGGAACTATGCGTGTTTGGAGGGAAAGGGGAAGGATGGGCGGAGGCAGGAGAAGGATGAGTGGAGGATGGGGAGGGACGGGCGGGGTAGGGAGCGGGATGGGTGGAGGATGGGGAGGGATGGGCGGGATAGGAAGCGGGATGGGTGGTGGGGTGGAGTTTGGGAGGGAGTGGGTTGAGAGGAGGGTGTGGGTAGGGAGGGCGTATGTGGGGTGGGGGCATTTGCGGAAGGGGCATTTGGGGAGGGGGGATGTGGGGAGGGGGCATTTGGGGATTGGGCATTTGGGAAGGGGGCATCTGGGGAGGAGAGATATGTGGGTGAAAGCTTGAAGGAGGGGTGTAGGAAGGGGTATGGGCAGAGGGGGGTTGCGAGGAAGGGGGTTGTGAAGAGGGGGGTTGGGAGGAGGGGGCATGGGCGGTAGGATGGGCGGAAGGAGGAAGTTGGGTGTGAGGCGGTTGGGTGGGAGGAGGTTGGGTGAGAGGAGGTTGGGTGTGAGGAAGTTGGGTGTGAGGCGGTTGGGTGGGAGGCGGTTGGGTGTGAGGCGGATGGGTGTGAGGCAGTTGGGTGGGAGGAGGTTGGGTGTGAAGCAGTTGGGTGGGAGCCGGTTGGGTGGGAAGCGGTTGGGTGTGAGGCGGTTGGGTGTGAGGCGGATGGATGAGAGGAGGTTGAGAGTGAGAAGGTTGGGTGGGAAGCGGTTGGGTGTGAGGCGGTTGAGTGGGAGGCGGTTGGGTGGGAGGCGGTTGGGTGGGAGGCGGTTGGGTGGGAGGAGGTTGGATGTGAGGCGGTTGGTTCTGAGGCTGTTGGGTCTGAGGAGGTTGGGTGTGAGGCAGTTGGGTCGGAAACGGTTGGGTGGGAGGAGGTTGGGTGGGAAGCGGTTGAGTGGTAAGAGAGGGGTGCGAGGGCGGGTGTCTAGGGGCAGAGGAGCCATCAGCGTCAACATCAAGGAGTACGGGGCGGTTGAGATAGGTGAGGCGGTAGTCTGGGCTCCTGATGTCCATTAGGAGACGATGGGACTCCACAAATGTGGTGGGGGGAAGATAGCAAGAAAAAAAAAAAAAAAAAAGAGAGAAGGGGGAAGAGGGAAGAGAATAGGGAAGGGGGAAGATAGAAAAGAATAGGGAAGGGGGAAGAGAGCAAAGAATAGGGAAGGGGGAAGAGAGCAAAGCAGAGAAGGGGGAAGAGTGAGAAGAAGAGAGAAAGGAGAAGGAAAGAAAACAGAGAAGAAACGGGAGGATCGAGAAAAGAAGGAAAGAGAGAACATAGATGCGTAGAGGGGGTAGGGTGGGTGCAGAGAGATGGTCAAGGAGAAACGACAAGGGGTCTTAAGACGACTTTTGAGCCGACGCAAAAGATGAAGGTCACAAGACGCAGAGCGGCATAGAAATGGAAGACCTTCAAAGAAATCGAAAATAAGACAAGAAATGGAGGTTGCAGAGAAAAGAAGGAAAGAAGGACGAGAAGGCTCGAAGGGGATTGCGAAAAAACAGACGAGAGAAAAAACTTTGTGAATAAACGAAGGGAAGAAGGACGAGACGAGACGGCACACAAAAGGAATGTTTGGGTTCATGAGTATTTGAGGAGTGGAGAGGGAGAGCTAAGAGGATGCGGGAAATGCAAGAGAGAGGAGAACAAATAGTGAATGGGAGAGAAATGAGCGCAGGGAGAAGGGCGCAGATAAGGTGAAGGCAAGAGTAAGTGAAGTAGTGGTGAAGAGCAAGAGCAAGTGAATGAGTGAGAGATGAGGGCAGAGAGGGCAGAGAGAGGGCAGGGAGGGCAGTGAGGGCAGTGAGGGCAGTGAGGGCAGTGAGGGCAGTGAGGGTAGTGAAGTGAAGGAAATGAGGGGATATTTTTTGGCCTTCTTGAGTTGCTGCACTCTCTCCAGACTTTGATGGTACTCCTGCATACATGCATGGGCATAGAGATGAGTGGAAGAGTAAATAGACAAAGGTGCACAGAGGTGAGTTGGGATGCCAGGAGTTTTGAGGCGCCTCAAATGCCGAGGCACCCGGTCTAGAGTACAGAATACACTCACTCACCATTGTCGAGTTGTCTCACATCAAAACTACATACAGAGAAAATGGTATACATATATGCTGTATATACATATATATATATATTGAAGGTACGTGTGTTATTTAGCTATGTTGTATATACGTTAGTACACTCACCGTCTCAAAGTAGATATGCCTTATCTGGCGCACCTGCTCCTCCAACTTGTCCTGAGACAGTTCGGGGGGAGAGGGGTGAGGGGGCGTAGCGGATGGGGAGAAATGGTGAGGGGATGGAAGAAGGGTTCAGCCTCAGCTGGCGCACCTGCCCCTCCAACTTGTCCTAGGATGATTGGGAAAGAAGGGATGAGACGGGGGAACAAATGAAAGGGAGTGTTGGTTTACACGAATGGTTTAGGATTTACTCTCTGCGACGTCCCACGCCTCCCCTACTGACGTCCCTTCCGCGTCGGTGCGACGTTGTTGACTTGAGGGAGGAGCTTCTCTTTACGCCACTCGAACTTGAGTGTAAACTCCTCTTCAATGATGTACTTCGACAGCAAGTCCTCGTCGCGGTCCTTGCGCACACTTGGCAGCTTCACCATTCGGAGCAGTAGATTGTAGTACTTGCCAAGTCCCTCAAAGACACGGGCAATGTACGATGACATCGAGTAGTCGACCCCGGCAAACAAGTCGGCAATAATGTCGACTAGTAGACTGCGCACAGCTGCATTACGGCGTCGCTTGCACATGTCGAGCTCGCACTTGTCGACGGTGCTTAGCCGCTGCTCAAGTTGGTCGATGTAGAGGTCGTCGGTTGCTTTGTAAGTCATCGTGATGAATCGTCAGGACTGGAATTGACGTCCTTACGTATGCGACAAGGCTTCACTTCAACGTCACTTGTACAACCGGCAAGCAGCACCTTGAGATGACCATGAATGCCAATAGTCTGCGTGGAGTGAAACCGTGAATGGTATGCACCGTTGTCGGCCGACAGCATGACAACCATCATCTTCACCTGGCAATTTCCAACTGCGGCTCAATTGACTCCACCTACGGTCTTAAACCTTGGCGACCTTCAAGCAGCTTCGAAACGACAAACTTGCCCAGTGAGAATTTGAGATAACTTGAAATTTGAGTCGACTCAAGGGCCAACTCTCAGTGAGAATTTGAGATAGCTTGAAATAGCCATAATCAGGGAGTTTAGGGTTGTATACAATGAGCAATGAATAATACAAGCATCACATCCTGATATCAACTCACAATGAAGAAGGGAGGCAGTGACCCTCGTCGCACCAGCTCCCTTACCCCCACCACCTTAGGAGCTCGAAACACCCCATCTCAAGACTCCGTCACACATCACCTATGGCGACAGTTTTTACGAGCATCCACTACCGTTACTAGCATCACACCCTGTTATCGACTCACCATGAAGAAGGGAGGCAGTGACCCTCGTCGCACCAACTCTTTAACCTCCGCCACCTCGGGAGCGCAAAACGCCCCGTCTGAAAACTCCGCCACTCCGCATCTATCCAGGCGGTTCTTTCGACCATCCAATACTGTCACCAGCATCACATGCTGCTGCTGGTTCTGTTGATGTTGGTGTTGCTGATGCATGCTGAATCCCGGTGGGCCAAAGTTTGGGCTGGGGGCTGCTGATGTGAAATACTCAACATCTGGGCATGGGGCAAGGGGCAAGGGACAAGGGAGGAGGAAAAGTGTGGGAATGGACAAGTGTAGGGCATGGATCGGTTAAGGGCATTGAGCATTCAGCCATTTGGACTGACCCTGTGAATACTAGTAGTAGCAGAGGTTCGTTTCGTTGTCTTAAGCAACACGAGTTGATGGAAGTAAGGCCTCCGCAACCCAACTGTCCATTGTTGACAGGCATTGCTCAGAAAGTTAACGTTAGCCATTCGGACTCGGTTACTATAAGTAGGAGTAACAACGAGCAGGAGAGTGATCGTAACGAGGGGAATTGTAGTTGTACCTAGGAGAATCATAACTGAAACGAGGACAATTATAATTGAAACGAGGACAATCACAGCTGTGACGAGGATCATCGTGGTTGTAAAAAGGACGGGCTTGTAACAAGTATAAACTTACTCATAACAAGCATAAACTTACTTGTAACGAGGACAAGCTTGTATCCCGACGCGTTCACCATTTCAAACACATCAGAACACCGCAGTCGAGCCAGCCCGCCCACCAGCATCCCTCTCAACGCCTCTGCACTCCTCTCCAAGCTTCCTCCCGGCTCCGCAGCCTTCTCTAACCCCAGCCTCTCAGCCATTTCCATGTGCCGGCGCTTCAGGTAGATCTGGGACAGGTTGCGATCGTTGATGGCTGCATAAGGCGCTCCTTCCACTGCTGCACCATCGTCCCCTCCATCATTATCATCATGAGCATGTGCATGTGCATCACCATGCCCATGCTCATGCCCGTGACCATGCCCATGCCCATGCCCATGCCCATGCCCATGCCCATGCCCATGCCCGTGTCCGTGTCCGTGCCCATGCCCATGCCCATGCCCATGCCCATGCCCATGCCCGTGCCCATGCCCATGCCCATGCTCATGCCCATGCCCATGCCCATGCCCATGCCCATGGCCAAGCCTGTTCCCAAGCCTGTTCCCAAGCCTGTTCCCAAGCCTATGCAAAAGCCGCTGGCTGAGCCCTTGTCCCCGCACATGCCCATGCTCATGCCCTTTAGTATCATTAACACCATGGTCCACATCACCAGCAGCACTCCTCTGTCTGCTAAACCCAAGCTCTTCCTCCTCCTCCACCCCCTCCTCCTCTTCCTCCTCTTCCTCCTCCTCCTCCTCTTCCTCTTCCTCCTCATAAAATTCATCCTCCTCCTCATCCTCATCTCTATCACCCCACCCACGACCACCACCACCTCCTCCTCTTCCTCCTCCCCTCCCTCCTCTCCTGCCCCCACTCCCTCTGCCCCCTCCCCATCCTCCTCTTCCCCCTCCAAACCCTCCTCTGCTCCCCCTTCCCCTTCCCCTTCCCCTTCCTCTCCCCGTTCCCCTCCCCCTCCCCCCCCACTCTCCTCTTCCCACGCCTCTCCCCCACCCTCTCCCTCTGCTTCCTCCTCTCCCACTCTTACTCCCCTTCTCCCAACCAGAAGCAACAGGAACAAAGTTAGGATCACTAATCCCATCCCTGTCACCTCCTCCTCCCTCTCCTCCTCCTCTTCCCCGGCCTCTCGCCAAACCTCTCCCCACACCTAGCCGCCCACCTCCTCGTCCCATCTTCACCCAACTCCCTTCTTCCCCGCCTTCACACCCCGAAACACTCACAAACTCCCCCTTTGCATCACGCAGCAGCAACTGCTGCTGCCGTGTTGAAACGTGCTTCGACCGTTGCACTCTCTCTCCTTCCATTACTGCAGCCGAAACCTCACCAACCTCTGTCGAAACTCCTCCAGTCTCTGCACCAGGCTTTAAGCTCCAAGCGTTCTTCTTGAGCCTGGTTCTATACCTATCCGGGACTGCAGCCGTTTTTCCATGCCTTACAGAAATATTGTATTTCCTGGCTAATGGGATATCATCCCCCTCATTCCCACTGTCACTCAAATCAACGTAGCTACTCTTCGCCTGTTCCTCTTCCCCTTTGCCCTTCTCCTGTGCTGCTGCTGCTGCTGCTGCTGCTGCTGCGGCGGCTGCGGTCGCTCTATGCTTCCTCCGAAGCACGGAACCAACTCTCTGGGTATCATCCTCACCTTCTCTCTCACTCTCACTCTCACTCTCACTCTCTCCTTCACTCAGCTCATAGTATTCAACTGCCCTCCCGCCTTGACCTTCGCCCTCCTCCTCCTCCTCCTCCTCCTTCTCCTCCTCCTCCTTCCACATCTTCCTCATCTTCCTCCTCTGCTTCTTCCTCCTCATCTCCCTCTTCCTCCTTCTCCTCTGCTTCCCCTCCTTCCCCCATCACTCCCTCTCCCTCCCCCTCCCCCTCCCCCTCACCTTCCCCCTCCTCTTCCTCCTCTTCCTCCTCTCCCAACATCCCCAGCTCTATCCCACACAGCCACCTCTCTCGGAGAGAGGCCCAGTCATCAGGAGCCTTCCCCACGTCGATCACCAACCGCCCCCAATCGCGCATCACCGAGTAGTAGTCCTTGAAATACCATGCGGGGGAGAATGTATCGTCCATGTCTAGGACCCTCTGTGAGAGGCACAGACAGGATCAGACAGAGAGAGCGAGATGAGAGGCGGGACATAAGTAAGTGAGACTGATCACCGAGTGGTAGTCCTAGAAGTAACACGCAGGGGAGTAGGTGTCGTCATGTTTAGGACCCTCTGTAACAGGCAAGACACAGACACAGACTCATTGCCACCTTTACCTACCACCCAGCACACCTCACCTCTGTAGTATGAGGTACCCCAGGGTGGAATTGGGGTGAGGAGATAACACTCACGCCGGTGACTTTTGAGTCGACTCAAAAGGTACCCCAGGGTGGAATTGGGGTGAGGAGATAACACTCACGCCGGTGACTTTTGAGTCGACTCAAAAGGTACCCCAGGGTGGAATGGGGGTGAGGAGATAACACTCACGCCGGTGACTTTTGAGTCGACTCAAAAGGTACCCCAGGGTGGAATGGGGGTGAGGAGATAACACTCACGCCGGTGACTTTTGAGTCGACTCAAAAGGTACCCCAGGGTGGAATGGGGGTGAGGAGATAACACTCACGCCGGTGACTTTTGAGTCGACTCAAAAGGTACCACAGGGTGGAATGGGGGTGAGGAGATAACACTCACGCCGGTGGGAGTCGTCTCGATGATGTGTTGAATCATTGCCCTTCACATAGCACGTGCCATCCACACAGCCCCAGAACCCATCTGAACCCATCACGGTACTGTGGTGTGAGGGTGAGTGTGGACACAACACTCACGCCAGTGGGAGTCCTCTCAATGCCGTGCTGAATCATCGCCACCTTTACATAGCACGCGCCGCACAGCCCCAGAACCTTCCGCCCGCCTTCCTCCACTTGCTCCAGCATCCACCCCACACTCCCTTCCCTCCTCTCCTCGCCCTCCCTGCCCCACCAGATACTCCCTCCCTCTGAAAACCCCTTCTCCCTCTCATTCACCGCCTCCTTTTCCTTCTCTTTCATCCCCACCCTCTCTGTTTCCTCCTCATACCCCCTTTCCTCTGCACTCTTTCTGTATCCCTCACTCCCTTTCTCCTTATTATCCTCCTTTCCCTGTGTACTCTCTCCCGCCTTCTCTCTCTCTCTCTTTCTCCACACCTCCTCATCCTCCCTCTCCTGAACACCCTCTCTCTCCTGCTCCTTCTCCCTCTCATCCTCCCTGCCCTCTTCCATCTCAATGCCAACCACAGTCCCCCCCTCCACCTCCTTCCCCCTCGCCTCCTCCTTCCCATCCTGCCTTTCCCCACCAGCAATCCCACTCCCCTCCCCACTTCTCCTCCTGCCCTTCCCTCCCTCCAAGCCCAAAACCCTGCCCGAAGCAAGGCGGGCAGCGAACTGAGCTGCCCGGGAAAGTTGCAAGGTCCAAATTCTTTTCACTCGGGCAGAAGAAGCAGGGTCCATCCAGAGATGGCGGTGGAGGAAGCGGAGGCAGCGCCAGCAGAGGGAGGTGGGGCAGAGGAGGCAGAGGAAGAGGGAGGAGCGACGGCAGCCACGGGAGCATGAATGCCACACTGTGTGGGGGGAGACAGGGGGAGGGTAGAGAAAGGAAAATTGCGTATAGGCGCCACAGAATGAGGCAGGGTCCATCCAGACGTGGGGATGAAGGAAGCGGAGGCAGCGCCAGCAGAGGGAGGTGGGGCAGAGGAGGCAGAGGAAGAGGGAGGCGCGATGATAACCACGGGAGCAAGAGTGCCACACTGTGGTGTGGGGGGAGGAGGAGGGGACAGGGTGGGAGGGGTAACGAGGGAAGGGAGCGCACAGCGAGTGAAGAAAAGACAAAGGAAGGTGAGTAAAGAGGAAAGAGGTAAGAGGAAAGAGGCACATAAAGAGGTATGAAAGAGACTAAAAGAGGGCGGGCGGTGGCAGGCAGGCACGGGAGGAGATGTGGCACAATGACTGAAGGCATATGCCACACTGGTTATGCAGCCTCCTCAATTACACCACCCACCACAAGTCCAAGGGGCAGAAGTGTTTTGAGTCAACTCGAAACACAGCAGGCGTGGCACACAGAGGGTATGTGCCACATTGATTATGCAGCCTCCACTGCACCACTCACCACAAGTCCAAGGCGCAGACGACTCGAAAACCTTCTCGGGCAGCCCGGTGCACTCGGGATGGTACGTCTTGGGGCAGCCCCTGAAAGATCAAAAGGAAAAAAAGAACACAGTTTTCAGAGAAGAATAGCGGTCTGTACACCGCCAACAACAGGGTACAATGGATTGCTAGCACCCCACCTCGCCCCTCATCTCTCCTATCATCCCACTCACTCACCTCTTCTCACATGCCACCAGGGCACCTCCATCATAGCACACAAAGCACTAATCTTCACGCACCACATCATCTCTTTTCACACAACATACCTACCTCTCCTTACCAAACCCCTTCATCCCATATGTACCAATCTCATCTCTCTCACTCACCTCTTCTCACATGCCACGAGGGCACCACCATCGTAGCACACAAAGAAGAGCAGTAATACTCACCACAAGTACACCTTTCCTGGATGTAATCTCATTCCTTATCACGCCTATTGTCCCACCCACTCACCTCTTCTCACATCCCACTCACCTCTTCTCACATCCCACTCACCTCTTCTCACATCCCACTCACTCACCTCTTCTCACAGGCCACTAGGGCACCACCATCATAGCACACAAAGCAGTAATCTTCCCACTGCACATCTCCCCTCCACACCTCCTCCTCCCTCCTCCCTTCGCCCCCCTCTCCCTCCACTCCATTCCCCTCGGCCACTCCTCCTCCCGCCTCCTCCCTCCCTGCCACTGCAGCAGTCTGTGCATGTGCTTTCTGAGAGTTCCCTGAATTTTCTCCTGACAACAACTCCACAGCAGTCTGTGAGTGCCTTTTTCGAGCATCCCCAGCATCCTCTCGTGATGACGATGCCCTTCCAGCAACAGCACTCTGAGCTTGCCATGCAGCCACCAGAGCAGCCTGTGCTTGCCGAGAGGACGCCGCAGCTGCTGCCTGTTCCGCTGACTTGCATGCGTCGTGCAGCAGCCGGTTTAGCTCCCTGGAAAGCCTACGAGCCTTGGGAGGGGAGACTGTTTTTTCAGCCTTCACAGGTGTTGTGTTGGAGACTGGATTTTGAGGCGCCTCAAAAGTCGCATCAGAGGGGTGCTGCTGCTGCTGCTGCTGCTTCATGCGAAGCTGTCTTGCAGGTGCTGTAATCAGCTGCTTCTTCCCCCCTTGCTTCTCCTTCATCCTTTTCTCTTTCCCCTCCCTCTCCTTCTGCTTCAGCTCCCTCTCCTCCACCTCCTGCCACTCCTCCACCTCCTGCCTCACCCGCTACGCCGTCACCTTCTTTCTTCTGTTCACCTGCCTCTACAACTGTCTCACCCGCATCGTCGCCACCTCCTTCATCTCCATCTGCCTCTGCTTTCTCCTCGTCTCTGTCCTGCTGCCATCCTGAACCTCCCTGCACTTCCGTTCCTCTCTGCTCCTCCCCACTGTCTTTCTCCAGCTCACACTCTCTCCCACATCCCCCTCTCTCCTCCAATCTACCCTTCACTTCCGCTGCTTCTTCCCCTTCCGCCTGGCAATGCTTCGTCTGCCCCTCCTCCTCTCCCTTGCCTTCTCCCGTCTCCTCCTCTCCCTTAGCCTCCTCCAAAACGTCTTTCTTCACCTCACACGCCCCCCCACAGCCCTCTTTCTCCTCCACTCTCCCTTTCAATTTCACTGCTTCTTCCTCTTCCACTTGCCAATGCTTTGTCTGCCCCTCCTCCGCCCCCTTGCCTTCTCCCGGCTTCTCCTCTCCCTTAGCCTCCTCCCCAACAGCTTTCTCCACCTCACACGTCCCTCCACATCCCTCTCTCTCCTCCACTCCCCCTTTCACTGCTTCTTCCTCTTCCAATTGCCGCTGCTTTGTCTGCCCCTCCTCCTCCCCTTTGCCTTCCCCCCCCTCCTCCTCCCCCTCTTCTCCCCGCTCCTCCTCCCCCTTGCCCTCCTCCCCTTCCTCCCCCATGCCCTCCTCCCCCTCTTCCCCCTCCTCACCCCTCTTTCCACCCTTTGTCTCCATCGGACACGCCCCTCCGCAGCCCTCTCTCTCCTCCACTCTCCTTTTCACCTCCGCTGCTTCTTCCTCTTTCTCCTGCCAGAGATTAGCCTTTCCCTTATCCTGCTCCCCTTTTCCCTCCTCAAGTCTCCTTTTCACCTGCGCTGATTCTTCCTCTTTCTCCTGCCTGTGCTTTGCCTGCACCTCCATTTCCTCCCGCCTCTCTGTTCCCTCTTCCTCCTCCTCCCTCACCTTCCCCTCCTCTCCCTCCTGCCCCTCTTCCCCCTCGTCTACTTCCTCCTTTCTCCCCTCTTCTCGCTCCACTTTTTCCTCCTCTTCTCTCTCCTGTTCCTTCTCCTCTCTTACCACTCCCCTTTCCACCTCCTCTCCCCTTCGCCCTTCCTCACTTCCCCTACCTCCTCCTCCCTCATTGCTCTCTTCTTCCATCTCCGTCTTTCTTTCTCCCACCTTCAATTCATGAAGCGCCTCAGAAATTTCTTCCCCTCCCACCCTCCCACTACCTCCTGCCTCCTCATTGCCCTCTTCTTCCATCTCCGCCTCACTTTCTCTCACCTCCCCTTCCTCCTCTTCCTCCTCCCCTTCATCTTCCCCCACCTCACCCTCCTCCTCCGCTTCCATGTTCATTCCCTGTTCAGCCTCTTCCTCCCCTTCTTCCTCCTCCTCCCCTACTTCCCCTTCTTCCTCCTCCTCCTCCCCTACTACTTCTCCTTCTTCCTCCTCCTCCTCCTCCTCCTCCTCCCCTTCCTCCTCCTCTTCCTCCTCACCTTCCTCCTCTCTGTTCTTTCCCTTCATCCGACTCCCCTCCATTCCTATCAAACCGTCTCCCCTCCAACCCACCACCACTGGCTCCTCTTTAACCTTTCCACCATCCCCACTTCCTCTCACCATTCTCCCTCCCCCCTCATTTCCCTTCTCCCTTTGCTCCGCTCTATCCGTATCTCTCATCCGATTCACCTCTGCTCCTCCCATCACTCCCACTCCCCCATCCCCAAACTCCAGTGGCTCTTCTTTAACCCTTCCACCCCCACTTCCTTGCAACACACATGGTGCTCCTGATCCCTCCATTGTTCGCACTCCCCCAGGCACACGCAGAGCACTAACGCTTGCACCAGCATTGCTTGCACCGAGGGCACTTGCACCCATAGCAGCTGCACTGGCGACACCTGCACCAATGGCACCTGCACCAATGGCACTTGCACCAATGGCACTTGCACCAACGGCACTTGCACCAACGGCACTTGCACCAACGGCACTTGCACCCTTAACACGCACATTCACCTTAGTTGCCTCCTCACTACAGCGTCTCATGCGCATTTGGGTGAAATCTGACTTGGATACACCTGATCTGGCAGCAGCGGCGCCTGGTGTGGCAGCAGCAGCAGCAACGGATGTGGTAGCAGCAGCTGCACCGGATGTGGTGACTGCAAGGGAAGCAGAACCACCACCACCACCACCCAATGTGGTCACCACATGAGCAGCAACACTCCTCATTCCGTCCCCCTCTAACTCCACTGCCTCCTCCTTCACACGCACAGCTCTCCTTTCTCCAGCTGCACCCGTCGAACCCACACCCTGTGATGCCTTCTGAACCGCCACCGCACCTGCAATCCCCAGTGCTCCCAGGCCCGTTCGTCCAACCTCCCTGGCAGGGCCGGCAGGATTGGCAGGGCTGGCAGGGTTGGCAGGGTTGGCAGGGTTGGAAGGGTTGGCACGGTTGATAGGGATGGCCCTTGTGGGAGCACTCTCCATACTCTTCCCCCTCTGCGTGCTGCTGCCACTCATGCCATCAGCGCCTGCACTTCCCACTGCTCCCAGCCCCGTTTGTCCCACCGCCAACTGCTGCTCCCTCGCAGATCTGCCAGGGCTGCCAAACCCACTCTCCACGCTCTTCCCCCTCTGCGTGCTGCTGCCCCTGCCATCAGCGCCTGCACTTCCCAGTGCTCCCAGACCCCTTCCTCTCACCACCAAATGCTGCTCCCTCGCAGATCTGGCAGGGTTGCCAGCCCCACTCTCCACGCTCTTCCCCCTCTGCACGCTGCCGCCACTCATGCTATCAGCGCCTGCACTCACCATTGCTCCCAGCCCCGTTCCTCCCACCTTCAAACGCTGCTCCCGAGCAGATCTGGCGGGGTTGTCAGCCCCACTCTCCACACTCTTACCCCTCTGCATGCTGCTGCCACTGCCATCGAAACCCACACTTCCCAGTGCTCCCAGCCCCGTTCCTCCCACCACCAAACGCTGCTCCCTGGTAGGGCGGGCCCCGGCTGGCGCACTCTCCACACTCTTCCCCCTCTGCGTGCTGCTAACACCGTAGCCATCAGCAGGGGTAGCAGGGCGGCCAGCTGCACTTTCTCCACTCTTCCCTCTCTGTGTGCTGGTGTTACGGGGGGCATCCAAAGCTGAAACCCCGATCACACCCAGCCCCGTACTGCCACCAACCCCCTTTCCCCGTTCCCTTTCTCCGATACTCGTCCCTGTATGGGTACTCGGCATTCCCTGCCTTGCAGCAGTGGCTGTAACAGCAACAGCCCTCTCCTCCCCTCCACCAGGGCTCAAATCCGTTCTTCCATCCATCTTCCATTCGTTCTCCCAAGCCTTCTTCTATTTTCCTCCTCGTAACTATGATCAGGCTCCTCCTCTTCCGCTTCAAGTAAATCTGGCTCTCGTTTTTCACCCTCACTTCAGGGCCCCCAACTGCCACATCAGTCCTCCCGACTCTTCTTCTCTTCTCCTCCTCCTCGTGTTGATTGACAACCGCTTCGAACCCATCCGGATCCCTTTTCACCTCACAAGACCCCTGTCTTCCTCCTCCACCTCCCTCTCTTTTTCCTCCTCCTCCTCCTCCTCCTCCTCCTCCTCCTCCTCCTCCTCCTCCTCCTCCTCCTCCTCCTCCTCCTCCTCCTCCTCCTCCTCCTCCTCCTCCTCCTCCTCTCCCACCTCCCCCTCTTCTACTTCCTCCCCCTCCTCTATTTCCTCCTCTCCCACTTCCCCTTCTTCCATTTCCTCCCCCTCCTCCCCCATCTCCCCCTCCTCTCCCTCCTCCACTTCAATATATTCCTCTACAACCATCACTTCTTCGCTCGATGACTCCTCCTCTTCCTCTCCCCTCCTTCTTTCCATCGGCACCCCTTCCTCTTCAGGCTCCGCTTTCACTGCCACCGTTCCAGGTGTAATTTGAGTCACTGACGCCATCCCACGTGTATTTTCAGTCGACTCAAAACGCACCCCTTCCTCCTCAGGCTCCGCTTTCACTGTCATCATTCCCCCTCGCGATTCCCTTCGCGACATATCCTGTCACGACGTATTCCTTAGTCGACCAAAGAATCTACCTCCTCTTAGGCTCCGAGTTCAACTGACACCATTCCCTCCTCGCACCATCTCCTGTCATGTTGTACCCTTCGCCAGCGGTTGTTACCATCATTGAGCCATCGTCATAACCTGTGACTGTCGGATTTTCGCCAGCTCCTGTAACCATGTAACCTTCGCCTTCTCCTCTCCTAAAGTCAAAGAAATTAAACGGTTTATTTTCCGTTGCTGTCACCGTCGTCAACTCCTAGATTCACTTTGAACGTTATAATGAACCGTCTAGAAAACAGTTATCCATGGTCAATCAGTTCTGACCAACGCAATCGCCAGTTCACTTTACACCACCGCCTTCGCTGCTCTGGCGTTGATAACTTCGCAGTCCGACTCGAAAGCTCTCCAGTCCCTGGTCACACCTGACTAGACGCTAGGCGTGTTATAAGTGTGAGACACTAAACACATCTTCGATCTCTGTATGACCTTGGCGACAGTCTTTAACGGGGATGCTACAGATGCAGTCAGTCGTCAGTAAGGTAACGTCTCACGCTACCAGCCGAGGTTACCTCTTACTGGCTGTCAGATGTCCTTATGTATGATACTCGTCGCCAAATCTCGCACGCCTGCTCAAACAAGCTACCTGATTCTTAACTTGTTGGCAGGATTACAGCCGCCTGATATACTTGTAATCGTTCTCCGGAAAGGACGATTCAAAAACTGCGAAGTAGCTACTCAGATTCGGATTTGTCTCGCGCTGTGCTGTGCGCTTTTACACAACGCAACTTAGGGGTTAATAAAAGGCTCTATGCGACGCGAACGACCTATTCCTGCACTAGGCCTTAAAAACTAACTAAAAGGGAACGACTGACTAGCGTGCCTCGAGCCTAGAGCTCAGCGAAAGGCGGGAGGACAAATGAATGACAGCATCTGTATTCTATGGCACAACTACTGTCAGGCCGCCTTTCGAGGAGCTGCCTTTTTGAGGGGCGCCATCACCCTGGCCTGGGACATGTACTCGTTTGTAGCAGGTTGGGTAATGCGAACATGATAATACCCAATGAATTTTTTCACCTAGGATTGTTACAAGATTTGTCAACAATAAATGCCATTGCTACACAACTATAAATGAAACATGCATCTCTGCTGCACAGCTTGCCGTGAATTCATGAAAAATTTATTAAACGTAGGATTTGCTAAGGACACTGCAGGAAGCACAAGCGCCTGTTACAGCCACGGTAGGTAGGAAGACCTCAGGCTGGAAGAAGGCCAACAATCAGTAGTGGTGCAAAGAGACCTAGAAGACATCAGGATGAAAGCGGCCAGATAAAGCTGCATGGTTCACAGCATCATTGGCTTGGCGAAGGTGGAGGTTGAGTGCGTAGTTGGCCACCTGCACATCAAACGAGAAAAGGGTGAGAATTTCGTCAATTGCAAAAAAAAAGGCAAGTACAACGAAGATATCCATCAATTTTGACAGTATGGAAACAAATTAAAATTGGTTCAGAGCATAGCTTACCTCGAGCTTGTGCACTTGTTCTTGATACTGGGCCAGCGCTTGTCTCAACCTCCCAACCTCCTCGTTCTGCGCCTGATGCTCCTTCTGCTTCTCGTGCTGGATCGCCACAGCTCGCTTCAAAATCTGGTTCTCCTTGCTCAATACCCCCACCTGCTGCTGCAGCGCTTGAACTTCTGAAGCTGATTGACGTGCCTGCAGATAGAAGCAAAGGTGGAAACGACATTCAGACTCGAGAGTACCATAACAAGAGCTTGCTACTTGTAGACTTGAAAAAAGGGCATGCACGAATCCGAACCCTCAAGCTTCCTACGTACCTGTTCCGCGTAAATTGCAAAAGCACTTGATCGATCCGACTGCTTAGCATCCAAAGCCTCCTTCTCAAAAGCTTGCAGCACAAGTAACGCCTTCTGTCGAGCGTCGTCCACGCTTGCTGCTGTCGTCATCTCCCGCACTGCTGCGTCTGCCCATTTAACAGTCAGACCTGCCGATTCCGCTCGCTGTGCTTCATCTGCGGCTGACTTTCGTGCATCAGCTTCTGCTGACATGCGATCAGATGTAGATGTGCATCCATGATTGCCTGAATGAACGAATGGAGTCTGCGATGGGCAAACTTCCAGATTAGATCTATCCTGTAATTCTTCCGCGCCTCCAAATGAACATCCAATTCTCGGATCTGACGCGAAAGCCCCTTCCTGCTCCTGCTGCTGCTGCTGCTGCGGCTGGATAGGTGTATGCTGGAATGGATTTGCAGACGAAGGAACCTTGTGAGCAAAAGCTTGATGACTGCGTCTGGTTCTTTTCGTCAGTGGAGGGGATGGGACGTACACGCTGTCGTCGAAAACCGATCGCTTTCCGCAAACAAGAGCCGACATGTTTATTGTAAGAGTGGTTCACAGAGAAATCTCTACAACTCGCGCTGCTATTGCTATATTGGAATAATCGGGTAGAGCCAAGATGATTGTTAGCAAAAATGAAGAGAAATAAGGAGCTCGATTATAGTCAAGAGTAGATGGTTGATGGCTTCTTGGCTCGGCTAGAAACCTGAAACGGAGGTTGAAATGTTTCAATGTGATGAGCTTGCAGCACAAGCGTATTTGAAGGAGTCTGGCCTTGGTTGCGGGATGCAGATGATGCCTTCATGATGGATGGTTCTGGTTGGTTCTGGTTGTTAGTGCGTGGTGTTGAAGTGGTTTAATTCGGTAAGGTGATTTGCCAAGGGGCAGCTGGGGATGAGAGGAATGCTTGAGAGCAAAGCATCGTCGGCATCATCTCCGCGTTGAATCCGCTTTCTTGTTTCTCTCGCAGAGCAGAAGTCTGTTCCCTCTCAGGGGGGATGGAGCTTGATAACTGTTTGGAGGAAGGGAAATTATACAAGCAGTCACAGTTTTTCCCGGATTATCACGTCTGGTCATAGGGGTATCACAAACAGTCACAGTACAGTAAATTCCTATCGCGGGTGATCACAGTGCTATCACGGATGGTCACACCTCACCGCGAAAAGGTATCACGTTTGGTCACTCGTTGAAATTGTCAACACAAATATGAAACTACTCAAGTCTCTGTGGGGATTCAAGGAAAGTTTTCCGTTTTGTCCGTAGTAATGCGAAATACTTTCGCGATAATTCTCGGTAACTCGTCAAAAATATCTGCAATGTCTTTTACTATTCGATTGTCCAGTGTTTGATCGATGCATAATGTCCCTAAGATATCAATTTTAGACGGGTGAAACTCTAAGGTTAATTTTCTGTCCCAAGACAAAAAAAAACTAAAACCCGTTCGGATGGGATATAATTCGGGAGCATCAACCCTAAACACCTTGTCGCAAGGTGTTTAGGGTTGATGCCTCCCGAAGGACGTGCCATCCTATAGGGTTTACTTTTTTTTTTCTATCAATTCCCTAATTGTCAGGCTATAATAAAGCGCGAGGTAACTAGCAGTCAATGTTGGGATTCCCCAAAATTTCAACTGTTTCCCTTGTGATTTCAAATTATTTATGATCGTTTCAACGAGTGACGTGACCAAACGTGATAGCTTTTCGGGGCGAGGTGTGACCATCCGTGATAGCACTGTGATCACCCGTGATAGCAATCTACTGTACTGTGACTGTTTGTGATACCCCTGTGACCAAACGAGATAAAACGGCCAAAACTGTGACTGCTTGTATAGTTTCCCTTGGAGGAAACCAACTGATGGACGTGATGGCATGCCATGTGATGCCATCCGAACCACACGGTCTGGTGTGGCTTCTGTTTGTTCCATGCCTGGAAGTCGCGGTGCCGTCAACATATGTGGTTCGATAAAATGACGGGAAAACCTTTTAGCCGTTTGACACTCGTGTGGCAACCACCCACAATCAGACAATCCCTTTCCGAAGCAGGTTCGTACTTCACCAGAGGCTGGGAATTGCAGTGCTTGAGGGTCCGAACTAGGTCGGATCTGCAGCGTAGCTGGTGTGCAAAATTGAAGTTGGTGCGGATTTTCGATTGCTTGCGCCTCGTGTGAAACCCAGAGCACCTTCTGACACGGATGGAATGCAAGTGACAGTTTCACGGTAACAAGCACAAACTCCAGTGACCCTCAAGTTTCACACTGCGATTATGCCTTTTCTCTGCTCTTGCGGGCTTGATTGATAGGGATCAAGTCTTCTCTGCAGCAGCTCAGGGCTGTCGCGCATCAATAGCAGCTCAGGGCTGTCGCACGGCACCAGGCAAAACGGCCTCAGGGGATGAATTTCCGCTGCGTTTGATCAACAACAGTGTGATGCCTCACGCTTTGGGCCCGCCTTCGAGTGTCTGTGCTCAGTTTACAGTTAGAAGCTTCAAACACCATGCAGGTCTCAGTTCCACGTCGAACCTAGCTCCTTCTCCGTGGGTTCAGGCAGAGCGCGATGTATCAAGAGGTTTCATCTCGACCGTCCAGATCCCGCGTGCTCAATCATGGCCGTGGGGTCCGGCTTCGGTAGATCCCAATGCTGTAGAGGCACGTGCCACAGCCACGGAACCTGCATTACTTGGAAGGAACATCATCAATGTCGCTACAGAAAAGGCTTCGCAGAATAATCTGCAACTTGCGGAAGCTGTTCCAATACGAAGTACCACGCGGAATGCTGCTGGGAATGACGCTTCTGAGAATGCCAAATCTGGCCTAGCTGATGGGACCGCAGGCAGTTCAGCAGCTGAAACTCGTGTGGTTGGTTCGGCCGGACCGGAGGCCCAGTTAGGGTCGGCTGCAGCAGTGGAAAGTAACGGGGTTGCTGGAGGTCGCAGAAGAAGGAAAAAGCAGCCGAATTCGGATAAACCTGCGAATGCGGAATCAAGAGCTGGGCGCGAAACCAGTATCGAGTCTGCTAATAACGGACGCAGAGGGTCGACTGCATCAGACGTGAACCAGCGGCTGACTTTCAACGCTGCGTCGCAGCCGTTGGATGATTCAATAACCGCGTCTCAGCCGTTGGATGTGTCTGATCCTAGGGTTTGGCTCCCTCCGCCGCCAGACGTGCCCAGGCCTCGAGCGACTCATAATGCAGCCATGCTGGCGTATATCGGGGATGGAATATATGAAGTGAGTCATTGTGTATTCTGGTAAATCTCACAGAAACAAGCGTTTTGAGACGTTACAGGTTGTGTTCACATGCCCGCGCGATTTGTTTTCGCTAGGGCCAGTCTGTGCACGCACCAAAGCATTCGTGTTGGCTCGACCCTTCCTAAGGCGCATTGCATATTGGGGATGGGAGTTGGGACGTATGGTACTCGTGTTATAATTCTGCTGTCTTTCCCCCCTTTCTCTTGCTCTTCAGCCCCCCCCTCGTTTCCGCCTCTCCCCGTCCTTTTCCCCCGTTCTTCCCTTCCCCTGTGGGTCTGTTTTCCCTCTGTTCCTCTCAAGGCAAACCCCCAATGTTCTGATCTGGTCAGTCCTCCCATTTCTTTCTCCCTTTCGTTCTTCCAAGCCCTGTTCCCAGGTATGCACACGTTTTCTTCTCTCGGCTGCATGTGTGAAGCACTTCGTAAACACCTCACCTGCTATTATTGCATCGCATTAATGTCCCCCCGATGTCCTTTATGCCCTTCCTCCCGTCGTCGTCCCTTTTCCTCAGCTGTATGCACGACGCCACTTCTTGAACCCCCCATCTGCTATTGCCACATACTGCCAACGAGTCACAGCTGTTGTCTGTTGTGAGGCCCAGGTGAGGATTGTTTGCCCTGATGCACGCGTCTGTGTGCATCAGACCCGCACGCAGTAGCTGCTATCGCCACATACTGCCAAAGAGTCACAGCTGTTGTCTGTTGTGAGGCACTAGTAAGGATATTCTTTACACAATTATGTGTGTGCGTGTGCATGCATGCGCCCTCGCATACGCACGCACACACGTCATTCACACAAAGGCTTTCTCTCACCGCACGCATCCATGCACGCACGCGCGCGCGCGCGCGCACACACACACACACACACGCACACACACACACGCACACACACACACGCGCGCGCGCTAGTCTGCTGTGAGGCTCAAGTGGGAACACCCACACACTCATTGGTGCACACATGCCTTGGTTGCCTGCAGGACGCCTTACTGCGGCGATTGACCTCCTCGAAGATGCTCACAGAGGAAGAGAGGTGCGTGCATGCATGCTTGCATGTGTGAGTGAGAGTCTGTATGTGAGTGTTAGGAATGCTGTGGGTGTGGGGGTAAACCATGGTGAGTGATGCCTTTGCTGCGGCGATTGGCCTCCTCAAAGATGCTCACAGAGGAAGATAGGTGCATGCATGTATGTGAGCGGATGCACGTCTATGTCTATGGTTGTCTGTACATGCATGCATGTGTGTGATTGCTCGTCTGTGTTTGCATCTGGTAAATTGTTTAATGCACACATGCGTATGTGTAGCGCACGTCCATGCCGTGCTTGTTCTGTGTACGTACATGCATGTGCACGTCATGGTTGTGTTTGTAGGCATTGGTGTGTGTGGCTGTAAACATGGGTCCGTGTGTGTGGACAATCTTCTGCAGTACCACTTCTCTAAGAGTAAGCAGGGCAGAGAGTCCGAGAGGGGCCATGTAAACTTAGATGCCTTAGGGATGCTGTGGGGATGCAATGCTCAACAGGTGCTCCTTAGTCACAAGTGTACTACTCTCGGATGTGAGTAGTACTCATTCCGGGGGAGCAGAGGGGGAATAACGTGGTCCTTAGTCACAAGAGAGGTGGCCCAGGTGATGGCCTAACTAACCCTACATTGTTTGGTGGTTGTGTAACTGGCTGTGTAACCCTACATGCCATGCAGGGACGTGGTACGGTGGGGAGGCAACGCCTCCACGGGTGCCAGGAAGGCCAAGGGGAGGGCTGGATCTACTGTGTATGCCAACGCCACTGCACTTGAAACACTGGTGAGTGATATTACTCACTGCACTGGTGAGTGGGACTTGGTGTGGTGGGGTGACAACGTCTCCACAGGGGCCAGGAAGGCCAAGGGGAGGGCTGGATCTACTGTGTATGCCAACGCCACTGCACTTGAAACACTGGTGAGTGATATTACTCACTGCACTGGTGAGTGGGACTTGGTGTGGTGGGGTGACAACGCCTCCACGGGTGCCAGGAAGGCCAAGGGTAGGGCTGGATCTACTGTGTATGCCAACGCCACTGCACTTGAAACACTGGTGAGTGATATTACTCACTGCACTGGTGAGTGGGACTTGGTGTGGTGGGGTGACAACGTCTCCACAGGGGCCAGGAAGGCCAAGGGGAGGGCTGGATCTACTGTGTATGCCAACGCCACTGCACTTGAAACACTGGTGAGTGATATTACTCACTGCACTGGTGAGTGGGACTTGGTGTGGTGGGGTGACAACGTCTCCACAGGGGCCAGGAAGGCCAAGGGGAGGGCTGGATCTACTGTGTATGCCAACGCCACTGCACTTGAAACACTGGTGAGTGATATTACTCACTGCACTGGTGAGTGGGACTTGGTGTGGTGGGGTGACAACGTCTCCACAGGGGCCAGGAAGGCCAAGGGGAGGGCTGGATCTACTGTGTATGCCAACGCCACTGCACTTGAAACACTGGTGAGTGATATTACTCACTGCACTGGTGAGTGGGACTTGGTGTGGTGGGGTGACAACGTCTCCACAGGGGCCAGGAAGGCCAAGGGGAGGGCTGGATCAACTGTGTATGCCAACGCTACTGCCCTCGGAACACTGGTGAGTGATATTACTCTCGATTGGCTGATTGTTTTGATTCAGTTGACCTTTTGAGACGAGTCAAAAGTCACCGGAGGGCTGGATTACAGTGTATGCCAACGCGACTGCACTTGGAACACTTGTGAGTTGCGTATTCCCTTGCTCAACCCCCCTCACAAGTGTTCCAAGTGTTCCAACAGCCGATACCGGAGGGCTGGATCACAGTGTATGCCAACGCGACTGCACTTGGAACACTTGTGAGTTGCGGCCGTCCGCACTATGATCCAGCCCTCCGGTGAATATTGACCATTGGAACTTGTCTCAATATCTGCAATTGGAGTACTAGTAGTCACTACAGCTAGGAAAGCATGCAGTTTGACTTGCTTTTGCTTCTTGTGCTGTGATTCGTACGAGTTCTTTTGGCCAACGTAAATGTTCACCCTCAAGTTTGTTGTGCTTTGTGTTTTTCCCTTGCTCTTCTCAGATTGGATTCCTCTATCTCACCAATCCTCCCCGCCTTGAAGAATTAATGTACAAACTGGGCTTTGTGTGTGATGCCTCGGATCTGCTCCTCCCTTCACATGCAAAGCGTCAATAGCAACGCATATTATTATAATGCAAATAGTGGCACTCGCTTACTTGGTTTCTTATGAGTCACTAGTGCCATTGGGCTCTAAGAGAACATTTGTTGTAGTTTTACACAAATAACTTACACTTGACGCCCGTACAAGCTGTTGCTAAGTCCAGATGCTTTTAGCGAATCAGCCCGTCACAAAAGCAAGCCAACAGGAATCCACATACTCATTCCGCCGACTCGTTCCATGTCGCGGTTCCACCTCCTCCAGCGGCTTTGCCGCCGTGGATCGCGGCACGATACCCGCCACGGTGGCGCCGTCAACGAAGCCTGGAACCGCGTGATTTGCGCGGAAAGTAAAACCTGCATTAGCGGTGCCGCTACCAGAGCTAGCAGCGGCGGCTTTCGCGGTGGCTGCTCCACCATCAGGATCAACGGCTGTGATGACGGAGCAGGGCTGATCGGTGGATCTGGACCGTCCAGATGGGACCATCGTCATCAGGCTGGCCTGTTGGGCACGATCAAACTCGACCTCTTCCAGAGAGTCGAATCTTCTAATCGCGAATCTTGTGACGAGCCTAGCACAGCCACGTCGGCAGGTCCACGTCAGCATAGGACCGCGTCGCTAATCTCGTCCGCTTCTTGCGCCGCCAGCTCCGCACTAGAGGGTCCTTCCCCGTGGAATAAGGCATCGGCGGAATATTCTGTCCCCCGGTTCCACTTTTCCGCGCCACCCCCGTTTTCCGCCTCTTCCGCTAGCCCCCTTCCCCCCTTCGGTTCCGCCGCCTCCTCCTCCGCCCCGGCCCGTCTTGCTTTCTTTCGTTCCGCTTCCGCGACTTCCGCCGTTCCGCGTACCGCACCTGAAAGTTTCGCCTTCGCAGCCGCCGGGTTTCACTCCTCCGCTGCTTTCGCGAATGGCGCCGCAGTCGGCGGCGCCTCGGGCGCTAGCACTAGCGACGAAAGCACCAGCCAAAATGCAGCCAGCGAGTCCGTTTTGTCTGACGCGCCGCTTACCTCTGGTGCTGACGTCAGCGGCGCGGTGTTAGGTGACGGTGCCGCTGACGTCATCAGTGCTGCCACGTCGGACGTGGGTGTGACGGTGGGGTCTGAGCTGGCAGCGGCGGCGGCGCACTGCTCGGCACCCATTGCCGCGTTGCAGCAGCTGATTGGTGCAGTGCATGACGTGGCAGGCCTGCCCTGGTGAGTGAGTGACGTGTCATGTGGTTATTCGATCTTGCTCACAGCATTGTGCATGACGTGGCAGGATACAGTGACTTTTCCTCATTATAATTAACATAGCAGCAATGGCAATGGGAATCAGTCGAGCCTTTACACCCCGTTATTGTCAACCTCTCGTTATAATCACAGGTGGCTCTCTATAGCAGCAGCAACGGTGGGGATCAGGCTCATCCTGCTGCCTGCATTCGTCTACCAAGTCAGATCAACGGTCAAGATGGCGGTGAGTCAAATCAACGATCAAGAGAGGTTCAGCTGCCAGCTGCAGCAAAACATACTGCTGCTGCAGCTGCACCAGCAACAGCAGCAGAAGCGGCTGGTGGTGGACCACCATCATCACCAGCAGTCACCTCACAGGCAGCAACAGCAGCACCAGCACCAGGTGGCGGGAGGGAGATTTTATGCTGCGTCTGTTTTTGTAAAGCACATGTTACCATAACATTCAACTCACCTGTTACTGTAACGCACCTGTTACCATAACGCACCTTTTACCGCACCTGTTACCATAACGCACATTTTACCATAGCTCACCTGTTACCATAACGCACCTGTTACCGTAACGCTCTTGTTACAATAACACACTTGTTACCATAACGCACATGTTACCATAACGCACATGCTACCATAACGCATGATTGATAGGCGCGTTATAAAAACAGATTCAGCATAAAATCTCCCTCCACTACCACACCGCCACCCCACCACTGCCATCATTTCCACCAGCCGCACTTTGCTGCTGCTGCTGCTGCTGCTGCCTCTGAGGTGACTACTGGTGATAACGGTGGTCCCTACCACCACCACCGCCACCGCCGCCACCACTGCCACCACTACTACCAGCCGCTTCTGCTGATGTTGCTGGCGTCTAATCATCTAAACTTCAATCATGCTCCGCATACTCCTCATCCCCTCTGCTCCTTACGTTCTGTATTTGATCCCCCATGCCTTTTTTTTGCATCTACCCCTCTTTGTTTTTCTATCCTGCCTGCCCCTCATCCGTTTGCGATTCCCCTTTCCCCCCCTCTCTGTGCTCCTTCTCTCTGCCTCTATCATTTTTTTAACTGAAACCCAACCCGACCGCACCTGACCATCTTCACCGGCTCATCAAGCCGGTGATGGAACGATTGCTGCACAAAGTCAAAGCCGCTGTATACAAGCCCCCTCTCTTTCTCTCTCTTTAATTGCACCGCACCCAATCCAACTGCACCTCCCCCTTCCCCATCAGCTGATCAAGTTGGGGATGGAGCGACAACTGAACAAAGGCAAGGCCGCTGCGTTTGATTCCTTACTGCCATCTGCACCCCTTCTCTCCCCCTCTTCTGCAACCCACCCAACCCAACCGCACCCGAGCCTTCCCCTCCAGCTTATTAAGCCAGAGATGGAGTGTCCCCTGAACAAAGTCAAGGTTGGTGCATTCAATTCCCCCCCGCTCTCCCCCCTTTCATTGCATCCCACCCAACCCAACCCAACCGTACCCCATCCCACTCCGCCTCCCAGCTTATTAAGCCGGAGATGGAGCGATTGCTGAACAAAGTCAAGGCCGTTGACTTCTTATTGCCCTCTGCACCCCTTTCTCACCTTCTTTTTTGCAACCCACCCAACCCAACCGCACCCCACCCCTCTCTATCAGCTTATTAAGCCGGAGATGGAGCGATTGCTGAACAAAGTCAAGGCCGCTGTGAGTCGCTCTGCCCCTCTTTTCCTCCCCTCCCTCCTTCCGTCGTCTTGCTCCATTCTCTCCTCTTCTCATCTGTCCATCTCTCGACTCCTCTTCTCTCTCCTCCTTCCTCACCGCTGCCCATTTTCCGCAGTCAACCTGCAAATTGCGTTGGTTAGATTGTCCCCGACCCCAGGTGCCCCAAATAACTCCTTTGTTGTCTAGCAACCTCAAAACCTGTGTTCTTCCTCTTACATGCTTCATTCATGCATCACAGGGTTACGACACAGAGGCAGTGGCTCATTATAATGGCAAAATGCAAGCGCTATTAAAGAAGTAGGTGCATTCGAGCTGTTTTTCAGATCTTAAGCTTGTGTCTCTCCTCTTTTCCCCGTCAGATTGTTTTTTTTTCGTTTTAAAGGTTTTCCTTCTTTATAACGATTATTACTGTAGAACCTTCAAACATCCAAAACCCAAACCCGTGACGCCTGAACCCCTAAAAGCCGTAAACCCATGAGACCCTGAACCCTTAAAACTCTTTAAGAGTTGACGCGTCAAGCATCACTGGCACTGGCGTCCTTTCCCTCCCTGGCCTGCCTCTCCCTCCCCTCCTCTGCCCTTTTAATCCTCTGCTCAGATTTTCTTCCCATCTCCCTGCTGCGTGCACCCTGCTTCTCCCCTTCCTCTGCTGCTTTCTCTCCCCTCCCCCCCAGGCACAACACCACGCCCGTTGATTCTTCGGTGTTATCTAAATCGCGTGTGATGAGACGATTTTTTTACTTGACTCAAAGCTCCGTTTCTCCCCTCCTCCCACACACAACGCCTCGCCTTTTGACTTTTGAGTCGACTCAAAAGTCAACTTGACTCAAAGCTCCTCTCCCATTCTCCCTCAGACACGACGCCTCGCCTTTTGCTCCGCTCCTCGGGATCTTCCTGCAAGCGCCAGTCTTCATCGGATTCTACTTTGCTGTACGTGACTTGTCACTATCCCCTCACCGCCTTGCCTTCATCCTCGCTCGCTCCTAGCCATGCATACTGCCTTCGCCTCATACCCTTTGCGCCTAGTCCTCATACCTTTTGCGCCTCTCCTCATACCCTTTGCGCCCTCTCCCTGCAAGCGCCAGTCGTCATTGGAGTCTATTTCTCTGTACTCTTCTTGCACTTGCTTTTGTTCGCAAAAGCTCTCCTACTCTCGTGTACACCTCCTCGTACATCTTTAAGTGTACGCTTCTTGCACTTGCTTAGAGGGAATCACTTTTTGAGATTTTAAGAGTTCTT